CAAGATTTTTAGTAAAAAAAGTTGTAACATAAGTTACAAAAATGTGAAATGAAATCGTTCTGCCACGCCGTAAATATTTGTCAGTTTATCTCTACGTTTTGCACAAGTTTTTTCTCAGTTTTTCCCAATTATTATGAAAACCATTTGAAAAATAAAAAAAGACCTGCTTAAAATACCAACTAGTTATAAAATCAATATATATAATAATATAAGTACAAAATCTTTTGATGTTTTTCTATCGGAGGAATATTTGTGGTAAAAAACATAAACCGTACAAATTTAAAATAATGAAATCGTTGTGCCGTAATTAGAAAAAAAAATCGTATTTCTCGTCTTTTTTTGGTTTTCCCAATTAATATAAAAACCGCTTTTTATATTAAAAAAAAAAAAAACGAGTTTCTTTGACAGCGGCTATATGTTAAAAGGAACGAAAATCGATCTTTTGTTATTTCTCGATTTGATCGATATTTTTGGTAAAAAACAGAAGTTTCAAAAATTAAAAACAATTAAAACTGTAACACTGTGACATGCCGTAAATATTTGCCGTTTTATCTATAATTTTTTTCCCAATTTTACCAATTATTTCGAGTACTCCTTGGAATATTGAAAAACAACCTCTTCAATGCATTAACTAAAAAAAATTTCCTATCAGAAAACACTTCATAGTAAAATCAAAAAATGTTACACTTGCTCAGAATCTAAAACGAAAATGAATGTCTGATATGTCAGTAGGTGCCCACTTTGGATTATGATAAATATAATGGAATAATGACTTGGTACAGTTATTTTATTTGTGCTGGTTAAAAATAATTCAAACTTTATGGCACTACTTAACAGTTTTTTTGCCTAGATCTATGACTCTATATAAGTAATATTTTTTTAAGTTTAAAAACAAATATCACAAATAATGTTTTCCGAAATTGATTGAACACATTTATATGTTAATATATAGTATTATTTAGTTGAAAAAAGAAAAAGTCTTTCACCTATCATAGCTATCAATTAATATTTAGTCATTAGTTGTTTGGAAATTCGTTGGCACTTTTTCCCACTCCTATTGCATGTTTTACGTTAACATTTTAATTATTTGTATGAAAGAAATTTTTTTTTACGTATGTATACATATAATTTATTTAATAATATAAAATTACAAAATATTAAAAAGTATTAACCATATACAACCATTTTTAATGTTTTATAATAATTTAGTGTCATGATAGTTATACCTATAATGAATAAATAAAATAATTGTTTTGATGTTATGCTATTTCAATGTTTTGTTGAATTATTTACTCAGTAATATTAGATTCTGAAAATAGCGAGAAATTTATTTATGTTTCCATGATACATGTGCTTTTTTTATTCTTTTTATTCAGATCACAGCGAGCAAATATATTGGTTTACTATTTTTTTATTTTTGTGTCAGTGAACAATTTTTCTATCTACCAGAAATTTTGTTCTGATTTTCGAGCGTAGCATTTTCTCCGAATGCAGATTTTATTTCTCTTATCATTTTTCTGAAACGGGAAGAACCGGAAAACTTTACGGCAATAACGATTTCTTTATTTTCAATTTTTGTTTGTTTATTTTTTTTTTTTTTTGTAGTTCTATTAAAAATAATCATAGAGACCTGACATTTTCTCTGAATATTTATATATAAAACATGCTCTAGATGTGGCACAATTTTTAAACTAATAAGTCGATTTTTGAGCAAATGTGGCAGATACCTCAATGTTATTTCGCAATGCCGCCTAGTGAAAATTCTTTAAATTACCCTCGGAAAACGGTGTTTTTAATTTGTACATTAAATTTATAGGGTATAGACTAAATTTTAATCAGTATCAATTTCGATACATTTATTTTTTTTACGAAACACGAAACACGTTCAACCCTATCCACCACTTGCGTGCCGGTGCCTTCTCCTCGACCGCATTTTCATCGGGTTTCTAACTGTTAATAGGACATTTCGAATACGATTTCCGTCAAACATCGGGACAGCCCGCTCCAACATTATAATATGTAATATAATATTTGGCATTATATGATTTTTAACACATTCATTACCTCCCCCCATCCCCTCAACGAGTTTTAAAACGCGGCGTTTATATAATCGCCACTTATTATACACCTGTAACTACTGCAAGTCAATTATTATACAGACGTTATCGGAGATTTTTTTGGATTCGAAAAGGAACAAAACCAAACCGATGAATTATTTCGGGATTTTAAAAGCATAGTAATAATATGATGGCATATCGTGAAAATCTCATCTCCGTCAGGTCCATCAGACCTCGCGCATAAGTGCAGTATAAGTACCTATATTATATTACATTACAGAACGTCGGACAGGGAATGTATCGGCCAGCCGAGTTGTAGGTTTTTCTCCGGTTTAAAATCACGTGAATTATTAGACGAAATGTGCATAAATTCAATTAAAAACAAGTAAAAGTTTGCGCGGCCCGCCGGAATGTTCACGGCAGCAGTTTGACGGTTTCAACCCCCGGGCCCGATATACTACATTACGCCGAGTATATTTTTTATGCGTTTACATGTAATAATAATAACAATAATATAACATCTGCACTTACCGGGATTATGTTACACGCCGGAATATTCGGTCTGCGAAGTCTTTTGGCCGTGTATACGCGGGCGAATGGGCACCAAAGGCCAGGTCAGGTCGCACGCGGTGTATAAATAACGGATTTCGATGAATAAAGTATATACGACATTGTATATATATATATATATATATATATATATACACACCTAGGTATATAGTATGTTGTTGTTGCGAGATCCTGTAGCCAAGCAGCCCGGCAGTCGCTGTGATGGTGTTCGAAAAAAATCAAAATCACCTCCTTAACGGTATACCAGACTCCTTACATTAGCTGGTATAGGTATACATCCGGTGAAAAAAAAATGTACCCTGCAGTATTGAAAATATCTTCTAAAAAAAAAAAAAAAAACAAAAAAACAAAAACCAAGTGACTATAAAGTACGTATTTAACTATACTTACATTGATTATGCTTTCTCGTTGACTCGAATTATTTTCGTTTTTCCGTCACGTCGCCTACCTATAATAATAACTAGGGTGCGGCAAGTTTTAATGCAAATTGCATTTTTTTTTTTTTTTTTTGTTGTTTTGAATGTACTGAAGCAATGCTTTCCAAGCACAAAATTCATTTCACATATCGAAGAATTAAATTATGAAACTTTTATTTTGTATTTATAGAGCATTTTTTGACATTTTAAGTGTATTTTTTGGTTTTAAAAGCATTTTTTCTTTTTTTATAAACTCCATAGTGTTACCAGAAAATTTGATACAATTTATTTTAATTTCCTTGTAAAAGAAAAAAAAATCATATTTTTATTTTTAAAATGTATTAGGTTTGTAGTTTTACCGATTGTAGCAGATAAATACGATGATAACCGTAATAAAGAAAACGATGTAGTATTTATCGATTAGTAATGTAATGGTATTGCACTATTTGCACGGTTATGTTTAATAAATTTATATACCTAATAAAAAACGTTTTTCTCAACGTTTAAAATAATTTTTAGAGCGTTTTTCAACCTTTTTTTTATTTAAGTGCATTTTATTTTATTTTTGAAGGAATATTCTTAGTTTTTAGAGCATTTAAATCCGCTCACTAATAATAACCTAATACCTACTACCTCCGTTGTCGTGAAAAATATTTCGGTAACTAGAATCGACTGTTGTGTAGTTATTCGCCGAAACATTGTGTGAACCAGAGTGAACGGAAACGTCGGCAACGATAGATAATAATATTATAATTTTTTTTTTTTTTTTTCATATTACCTACTTAAAAAATAATTCTTCCTCGATATTGATCGTATCCGTACACGTAGCTATGCGTTTCTCTCCAACTAGCACTAAATAATATGTCTTGAGTGTCAGACCGCAGACAAGCCGTCGGTTTAAAACTTTTTATCGAAACTCGCCTCGCCGATGAAATTGATTTCCCGTTGCTCTCCTGAATTAGTATTTAGAATCCCGTCTCGTCAGACCTCGAGATTTCATTTTCGATTCTCATATTCCTCTTTCCTCTTCCGACTATCGTAATCTCATACGTCGATATTCGGTCCTGTCAGTGGAGGGGAGCTTGGTATTTTTACCAATAATTTTACCCCGCCCGTTAACAAACTTATTCATGCTTTAAACGCTTTAAACCATTGTTTATCAATGTTCAGCTAAGGCATCAGATATGTATATAGGCAATACGTAGGTCTAATATTTAAATGCAAGAATTAAGCTATCTTTTGTTTGATTTTTTCGTTGTTGTTACTATTAATTGAAAACATAAATCGTATACCTTTTGTGAAATATCGACGAAAATAAACTCTTGCGGTTAAAAGTTCGGTAAATTCATTAAAAGGTGTTGTGACTCCGCGACTTTAATAGCATTCGAATGGGGGGTAGGGGGGCTTTAACTCATTCTAATATCCGCCTGTACACACCCTACTCTCTTTTGACACATCTCACGAAAACTCCTGCAGGTTTATCGCTATAAACAAACATCTCGATTTCGAGGGAATTCGGCGTTCTTGTAACCGCGGGACCGTTGCGGTCGACCTGCAATGCCTGCGGCCATTGAAATACAATTTTTAAAAAACCAGGTACACGTTGTATGAAATTTTTTCAAATCGTTTTATTTCCAATAATATAATAATGATGAACAAATAGATTATTATTATGATAAGAGTATTATTATTTTTTTTTTTTTTTTAATAGTTTTGATAAGTATATAATATTATTTTTGAAAGTATTATTATTACGAGTATATAATATAATTAATAAACGTAGTATTGATAAATATAATTTTTTTTTTTTTTTTTTCTAAGTAAGATATTTTCTAAGTGTACATAACGATATATAGTGATATACACGTATGACAATAATAATTGTTATCACTTATTTGTATAGATTATAATATAATAATAATGTATATAATAGGTATTCGCTGTGAACAGTAATAATATATTATAACAATATGGCAATGTAAGATTATAATATTATTATAATTGCGCGGGAAGAAAACGTTTAAATTATTATATAGTGTATTAATTAGGTAGGTATTATAATAGTATTATGGTATAACAATATAGGCGTTCTTATATTATAGATTCACAGTAACGTCATAGTAATATTATGACTGTATAATATTATATATGAGTACTGGAATAATATATTATTATTTTGTAATATGATGCACGATGGCAATAATAATGTTATATTGTTAAAACAACAGTGTTAATCTGATAAAACTTAAATGTTTATTATATGCTCTACGATAAACTTTAATACTGCTATATTCTATATTACACACCGCGCGTGTCATATTATTAAGTGCCGGAATAACATAATAATATTATATATAGGTATATTGTATAATATTTAGGCAAGGAGGTTGGAGTCGCCGCCCGTAGCCGTTTTAAGAATTTTTTTTTTTTTTCTAATTATACTAATTGATTCGAGTCATCCATCTATGGGGTCGTTGAAAAAAAAATTCAAAACTATAAACCGTCATCATAAACACCGATACTTGGTCTGAATTTCACAGTCCCAAGAACATCGCGGAACGAAAAATTAGTGATGTTAATGTTTTAGAATCGCGTTTTTTTTTTTTTATCGTTCCGTGACCATTCTACGCTATCCGTATTATTAATAGTTGATAATATAGTCAAGTAAATAAACATAAATGTAAACGAACAAAATAAAAATTAGTGACTATAGCAGGGATAATTCGGCCATAAGTGGCGACTCCTCCTCATATTAATTAATTTTCGTTTCTCTCTTTCTCTCTCTCTAGGTACAGCGTATTACGCCCCGTTTTTCAAATATATTTTGATAAAACCACCGTCGGCAAATAAATACGTATACTGTTTCGAGAGGTTTTATTAGAAGTTAGGGGTACGAATAATTAACGAATTAAACGTGTATTTTACAGTATTATAGTATTAAATCGTAATGCGCTGTATAATATAGCGTATATAACAAGTATTTGGCACGTTTAAAACGATAGAACGATTCTGAGGAGGTTTTTTTTCAACGCGGTACATAATATTAGAGTATCATAGTTATAATTTGGGTAAAGTTAATTGGTATATTATATAGTTTGATTAAAATATTATAATATTATGCAAGGGGAACGTGGGGACGAAACGGGCACATGTTAATATTTACTTCTCGTACTTATGGTGCCACGCTAATCGTTTGAAAACTAGACATTATAATAATATAGGATCCTTGGTTTAGAGATATCACGCGATAAAAAACGTCACAATCATATCAATTATTATTACGTCTCATCGGTAATCAATTAAAATCGCCACAATAAACGCCTCGTGTTATTTACGTATAGTTGTTTTGGATACGTGATAAACTGCTGTTATGTTTTTTTTATCTTTGAACTTGCGCGATGTTAAATAAATTAAAATTTTTTTAATAACAAGGAGATATTATTAGAAAAAAGAACTATTTGTGCAGTTTATTAAAAAACGGCTATACTATAAGAAAACGTACTCGTCGTGGTGTAATATGGTAAACCCGAAATCGGGGTACGTTTAATCTATTTGTATGCCGTATTAAGTGTGTGCACGAAAAGCGTATAAAATGACGTTTTATTGATCACAATACTTACACAATAGATATTTTAACTTTTCAACCATTCTGTTTGCTTTTTTTTTTTTTTGTTGTACAGTACTATTCGTTTAAGGTACGCGTGAATGATTGTACCTACATTACTATTTATGCGAATTGAATATTATAGTATTCGCTGGACGACAACGGTCCCGTTTCATCTCGGGTACGGGACAAAACGGGCCAAGCGATGCATAAACCCAATAGTCGTTTAACTTTAACCGAATGTTTAAAGCACGTTCTAACGTCTTGTTGACAATAACGCGCGGATCCTATATTATTGAGTTCGTGGTTCGAATCGAAATCGTCGCAATAGTTTTTTAGCGAATTATAGCTTATTATTATATATTATACCTTAGCTTCCCGGTACGATCTCCACGTTTCCCCCCCCCCTAATATGTATTTTCAAAACACTTATATCATAATCGATTATTATTATATATAGATAGATTATTATATTGTTAATAATTTGGCCATTAAATCGGCTTATACATATATTATATTATTATTATAAACATCAAAAAATCAAACGAGAATAAAATTTATATTATGAAGCCAACAATCCGTAAATATCTCTATCCATATGTAACACATCACATTTAACACGCGTGTAATAAAAATATTATAGCATTTATAATTTCCAAAAATTAAACTTTTCGACATACATAACACGTATAGGTAACATACGGTAACATACGGTAACATACGGTAACCTTATCTGTTTCGGTTCAACGTTGAAAATCGGCCGACAACGGATAGTTTCCGTTTCCGGCGGAATTTCAAGTCGAACCGCGCTCGCGTGGTAATGCCAGTGATGACTTTTCGCCGTTTTCCCCGAACAGTTTCGCGGACATTCGCGCGATCCGGTATACGGTACCGGTATACAGTACCCGTTTAGGGAGACGGGGGGGGGGCGTTGGATATCCGTCGGGTCGCCCCCCGTGAAACCGAGATCCGAATTCGGCCTCGTGACGATTTACGTCATTGTCGTCGCCGTTCCGCGTCGCGTTACCGGGCGGTAAAACTCGCGTTCGCGGACGACGCGAATAATTCCGCTCGGCGGAACAGCGCACTCGGCGGTCTCGCGAGTCAAAACGGCGTGCATTATGTCGTCGTCGCCGCCGCCGCGATCGCGTTGCAATATTCTCCGATAATATAATCGGTCGTATATAACGTATATATATACACACACACATATAGAATGAACAAGCGGAACATTACGGTAACCGAAAGCGGTGAAACGCGGGCGACGCGGACAGGACTCGTCGCATCGTCGTCGTCGTCGTCGTCGCGGCGGAACAACGAAAACATATCCGTCGGCGCGATATACGGGTGTGGAAGGGGGGGGGGGGCTTCCGGGCGCAAACTCCCTGGACCCCCTCCCCTCCCCCCTCCGGAACCTCGGCCGGGGGCTTTCGGGCGCGAACTCCCTACAAGCTCCCCGAAACCTCGGTCGGGTTTCGGCTCAGCCGAGCTCGCTCTCGGAGTAAATCCTCGTCGGGTAAAATACTCCGCGTACGCATTATAATATACGCAAGTGGTGCACAAACGATACCCAGGCCTGTACCCCTGCGTGCCTGCGCCGATTTCGTGGACGAAATTTTATTTTCGCCGGTTTTTGTAAATTTCAACGCGAATTTTCAACGTAACCATATTAATGTATATTTATTTTATTATTATTATTATTTTTTTTTTTTCTTGGTGTTTCGTTTGCGACAGTCCCCGGGACGGTCACGGTGCGCGCGTCCTGCCGAACGTCCGCGTCCACGCGAGTGTAGCGAACCTTCGGCCAACGCGCGAGTGCCGCCGGGCCTGATTATTAATTATTAATAATAGAAGCAAGCGATCGCGATACGCGAATGAATTATTAAGCGCTAGTTTTTTTTTAATTTTTTTGGTTTTTGTATTTTATATTTTTTTTGGCTTTTGTATTTTGTATTTTTTTTGGTTTTTACTAATCACCACTAATCACTAATTATTATCGTTATTATTATTTGTAAATAGTTATCGACTTAAAACGACGCGTACACGTATAGAGAGAAAAAAAAAATGACAATATCTTACTCCTGTAATTTATAATATATATATAATAAAATCATATCGTAACACGCGTACACGGAAAACGGAAAAATATTGATATTTCGTTGAGCTTTCGTATCGATAGTTATACTTACTAACGGTAATATCATAGTAAATTAAGTGTATTGAGGCGAACGCGATACTCGCGTGACGACGCGCCGTCTCCGTCCGACGTTAACGGCGAGACACCGGCGGTACGTCCGCGGGACGGAGACGCGACGCTTACGGGCACCGCGCCGTTTTCTTATGTACAGATATTAATCATTACGAACAGTCCGTACGACCGCATGTCATACGGCCGGTGTAATTACAGCACAATATTGTGATATTATTATATTTTTAAAGCGTTGTTTTCTAATTTAATAACGTCCATAACTTTAGAATATAGGTTATAGTTATAATTATTTCTATAATGTAAATCAGTGGCGCGACGCGCGAAATCGGGATAGCGGGTTGATCGTCCGCCACCCCCTCCACACCGATAAACCGCTCGAAATCCTGGCCGCCGTCCGGGGCCGAATACGTCTTCCGTCAATCGCGCGTGCAACCGATTTCCCGTAGGCAACGTCTACACACGCCGATCCCATACGGACGAACCTATTGCGCGACGAACCATGCGGGCAAACGCCGAGGCGACGGGCAGGCAAACTGCGCGGGTAGCAGCCGCTACCCCAGAAACTTCTAACGTGCGCCACCGTGTAAAATTATTCTTACGCGTAAAATAACACACACACACACACACACAGGCGTGAATAGTAGTTGTTTTTTGTTGTTTTTTTTTTTTGAGTGTATACTTAATAGTAATAATAGTACCGATTATAATACGACTTAATAATATTTAAATAATACGATAGAAACGAAATTGTTAACGTCTGTAAATATTACACGAAATCGAGGGAATTGTAATTGTAACGGAGATAATACTAACAGCTAATGGTGTTATAGATAGGTATATTATATTGATTATTAAAATGCATACGCATTGGCGACGGTAAATTATTGTTATTTCGGGGCCGTGATGCGCGCGCGACGTTGTCTCCGCCTTGGCCGTCTCTTACGGCGAACTTACGGCGGCGTAGCGAATACACGCAAGAACGCTATCTGCCGGCGACGTTGTCACCGTGTTTTCGATATCCAAGAGAGATACGAGCGTGCGAAACATCATCACACGATTTATTTATACTCGTATTTAACGGCGCTACGTCTCGCTCGAAAAATCGAAACATCGACAAAAAAAATTCGCCACCCGGCCGGTGCGTTTGTATTGAGACGGAGACGGCGCGCGCGGTTATCGCGTCCTGTTCGCACCGAGGCACACGTGAGAAACTCGACCGATTGATATTATTTTCTCAAAAATTAAACGCGTTCGTATTCTCTCGCCCGGTGTCCGACATTTTCGTTCGATGGTTCAGCCCGGTATTCCGCTGGACGCGTGCACTCTCATAGCACAGCGTTGTTAATAGCTATTACCCCCCCGGGGTTCGCCGAAAAACGACTGTTCGAAACACATATTGTTACGGGGAGGGTTTTTGGATTTTTCTTTCTGGAAATAAGATTGACCTCGTACACAGACGGAACGAGTCCGTTTATCTCTCCAAAAACTACGCGCATTATGATGTGTTCCGGGGGTATTCCGAATTTCACGCGTCACTCATTCGGGAATACTTCACCACTATTACACGGGCGTACATAATGCGATAATCGAAAATCGAAAGAATAAAAGTCGAACGACTTCGACTCGTCGACGCTGTTCTACGAATGCGAGTAATAACACATCGCGGAATGCCTACCGCCTTTAGATTCGCGATTCTTCTTCCTGTTTTGTTTTGTTTTTTTTTTTTTGTTCTGAAAACAATGCCATACACGAATAACGTGTATCTGACGGGTCGGGAATTTTCGTTTTTTTATTATTATCATTACTATAGTCACGAATGACGATTTCCGTTTGTTTTATTTGTTTTTTTTTTTTATTTTTTGTCTATTATCACGTTATGCCTACCAATTACACGTGTACGAACCTATATTATAATGAAATACCGTCACGGTATTATTCGTATCACTACCATATCATCGCGGTTTCGCGCCGTTTACGCATTATACACTTTTAAACACGCACACGTATAATTGTTCCGTATTTTAAACTTTATTTATTTAGATTTCTTTGTCACTTATTATGGCTACATTGTATACTATACATTTGTCATTGTTGTAATAATATTGTATAGAAGAAAACATCTCGCGGAAAATTTACGGAGGGGTGGGGGGGTAGAGGATAGTCGAGAACAGAAGACACACAGCGTACAGCGGATAGTCGCAGATAAGGAGAAGGAGACCGCTGCACGGGTAGTAGTGTGAAAACGGACGTCGGGGAGAAGAAGATTACTGCGATGAACGGGAAACGCTATAATACGCTAGGACATTGTGTCGGAATCGGAATCAGCGAATATAATGATAGTGGTACGGATTCTGTAACGATTGCATCCGAGTCGTGTCCCGGAAAATACACTAGCATTGGGATCCGACGAATTTCGGGTACTGTATACTAGTTTTGGTCCCGGATTTCGGTAAGTAATATGTTGACTAGCTGCGATAAAAAAAAAAAAAAATTATCTTTATTTTTACTTAGGACCTATTATAGAATCTATTTTTCCTGTGATTCGTTCTATCCTTTATAAATTCGACTTCTTGTAAAATACAGTCACTACGGGGTTTTTTTTTTCTGAACTTTCCATTTGAACGTTAGTATCAATTTAAGCGTCATAAAAAAATGCTCATAAACTGATAGATATTAAGACAAATAATAACGTGTTTTATTTTTCTAAACTTCCAAACTATTTTAATTATTAATAATATTGCGGTACTACAGTCGACTAGTATGACCTGCGGGATTCCGGGACCCAATTATTATATTACCCGCATAAACCCGACACCCAACTAATATACAACCCGAATAAACCCGACACCCGGCTAGTGTAGATTTTCGATTTCTTGACCCAGCTCGAATGGCCACGTGAAAAACTTTAATATTGATGGGGAGAATAGGAGAATAGTACGTCGGATGGGATATTATTAAACCGCTAAGAAGATGTAGAATATTATATTATTATTGTTTTTTTTTTTTTTTTTACTGGATCTGCGTATAAATTTTAATAGCGAGATATTATTCGAAAATATATAATAACAGACAACAATAACGTGACTCCGGTATACGTACGCGATCGTTTCGCGGACCGGATATTACATTGTTAATATTTTATTGAAAAGCCGAAAACGTTTCGTTGTGTCCATCGCTGGAAACCCGTTGCCGACGCTGTTCGGCGGTGCCGCCATGAGATTATTGCGGAGGATTTTTCGCGTTTTCAAGACGGTCCGATTTATATAGCGAAAATAATATAATCCGAGCCGGGAAATTCGCGGACCGGAATAAAATAATATCATAACAGTACAACGTTTATAAAACAGGAAACGATTGGCCCGCGCGGTTGCAGACTGTCTCGCGGTTCTGCAGACTATATATACGGTATATCTGTATTACACCAACGGGAAACCTGGAGAAATAATTACACCGATACCAAATTTGAGCCGAATTTCACTGCGTACACATCTAACTGAAAAGAATATTTTGTTTTTGAACCGAGCATATGCAGCCAACCGTCGCTATGTAATACGATATAAATATTTATAAAGCAATTGTACTGTGTTTTTCAATCTACGATATCGTTTACGGGTTGAAATTAAAGATATATGATAGATATTTCGGTTTTAAATTTTATTTTTTTATTTTTTTTTTTTATGAAGTTAAGTAATTTTGCTATTTCGCCCGTCGATCGACTGGAGGCGGTAAACGGTACCTATTTTTAGGCGGCGAAAAAACGCGTGAAATTAAAATCGTCGAGACAGTCGTCAATTCCGCGGGTACAATACGAAACATAATATAAACGAGGCGTGCAACGGCAGCGTCGGGTATTATTATTATTGATGATTTTTTTCGTCGTCGTCAGTGTGTGTATTGTATAATACGTATCGTTTTAATAATAATAATAATATACCTATCTACGTGTAGATAATACATAATGGACAGGACCAATGTATACCGGTTACGTGTGGCCGGCAGCGTTCGGGATTAAGGAAGAGCGATACCAATATCAGCAATATCAAAATCGTATTAATATAATATTCTATTATACTCGTCAATAAATTTACTTTTTTAAAAATTGCTAAACAAATCGATAAGGGAATTTGTGTAGCCATAACGGCCTACGGCAACACTGACTTCGAAAAAACATTACCCTCCACGTCCAAACATAATGCCTACACAACACGTAGTTAGCGCCCTAAGAGAAAATTTAAAACATTTAGCAGTTGTGGTTTAGTTATATTTTGAAAAGGAACTGTTGGCAACAGTGAAATATTGTATCTAGTCCCTTAGAATAATTTTCCTGACAACTAATAATATATCCGTTACCATATGCGTATATTGAGAACTTATTGTATAATTTATTGACGAGCGAGACAGAAGATTCGGGAACGCCTAATAATCAATCTAGCCTATCCGTTGTGTATTATCTATATGTCTATGATAAGGATCTAAAGATTTAACTATTGGAATGAGACTTTCTTAATCGTAATCGTCGTGACCGTAGGGATCACGGCTACCAAAGCCATGGCCGGAGCCATGGTCGGAGCCGTGGCCACTACCGCCTTCATCATCTTCACTTTCACCTTCGCTATCAACGTCATCGACAACGGCGCTGACCGCGTCATTATCGTGGTTGTTTCCCCTAAATAACCACCTACCATGATTGCTTATTGTTCGGTTAATTTTCATCAACCGATTCCAAAATGACGTGCGGTTGCTGACGGGTGATTTCCATGATTGATCGGACATCATGTTGTGACTGCCATTCATTATGAACCAATTGTTTTCCATGGTCATGTTCTCAGTGTTGTTTAGTTGGAAGATGAATTGATCATCTACGGTCTGGTTGACCGCTGAGTGCCCCAGGTTTCCCTGAGGCAGCAAACCTTATTGTGCCGTCCCGGTCCCGGAGAACCTGTGCACTGCTCCGTAAACCATGACACTTAGTAGAAACATGCCGGCCACGGCGATGAACTTGGAACACGTCTCGAAGTCTTCCTCGCCTGTTTCGTTGAGGGCCACACGGAGTTCTTCCTGCCGGCGACGATTGGCCAACTTGCGGGCTAACTCCGGGAACGCCAGGCTCTGCGTGAACGTCAGCTTTTCCAAGGATTCCGACAAGCTGTGCATGCTTACGCTGCCCCGGGGCTCATCCGTACGTAGGTTTTCAAACTCCGGTTCTATCTTGTCTGAGTAGCGGCCAGTCCAAGAAGAACTCCTGCGTCTTCTATCCCATTGATAGTCATCATGATAGCTGTGCACAGAAGGCGTATCTTCTGGCAAACTCGTCAAAGAAGACGCATTTGCCTCGAACGACTCCGCAAACGCGTGGTCCGATTCCTATATACATAATAACATCCACCGTCTTAAAAGATAAGGTCCGACGACTATTTCTTATCAGTCACCTACTTGCTGAGGCGGTTTTAGTTCAAATTTTACTCGCGGTTGAGGCCTTAGACAAAAAGATCGGGACACTGGGTTATGAATGCGGCCACTTAGATAGGCACTATAGTATTAGTACCTACCTATTTAATATAGTTTTCCTATTGTTCTGTGTTGGCGCAACTTTTTGCACTTTATAGTTAGGTTTTAAAATCATAAAGAAAATAATGACAATGTAGTTTGTACAAACATACAATATAGAAAAGGATTGCATTAAAAAAAAAGCACATTAGTTTAGGTATTCTTTGGAAAAAACGTCCTATTTAAGTGTCCTGACCTTATATTCTGAGATCGTGCTCACGATCGATTTAAGTAAAACTTGTTTTAGGTTATGAATTAATAATAAAATGATATATTATCAAAACACAAATTCAATTACCATTACATTATCATGTAAACATTACACATCATAATACAAAAACGATAAATATAAACACAACAGACAAGGATGGCAAATCATTAATAATTACATAACTTCAAATAAGTTTTATAGCCAGTCACGCCTAGTGAGTAAAATTTGAACTAAATCTGCCTTAACAAACGGACATAGTTTAACTGATAGGCAGATAAGAGTCGTCGGACTCAATCTTTTAAGACCAACAAATAAACTTTCAATAAACTTTTAGTTATTATGTTATACATTTAATTATAATATACATTTTTCACTTCTTTAATCAAATTATGTTATTTGTCATTTGGGTTTTTAATAACTACCATAAATAATAATATTAAAAAAAATAATAATAAAAATAAATTTTTTTTTTTCATTTTTTACTTATTCGACCTACACCCGCCTAAACTATAAAATCTGTACAGTTTTTACTTTTGTTTAATCGTAAGCACCGTAATTTTTTTACAACGAACAATATTTTAGGTATACCTATAATATATATTTTACTTTATTTTACTGTTTCCTCTCGGTAGGTACATTCCAATTAAAACGTACATTCTAAACATTAGCCTTAAGGACGTAATTCAAAGGGGGGGGGGGTATGAGAAATAGATTCTCCCATAAGCTGTATTTATATATTGTCTTATACCTACAAGTAATTAAAATACAAACTTATAAATTAGGTAAGTATTACGAAACTAAAAAAAAATAAAATGTTTAGTTGTATTAGTATAAGTTATAAATATTTACTCGGTAAACGATAAGCATGATTTCAAAATAAATGATCCATTTCGCTTTCATTCTTATTTATTAATAAACACCGGGTACCCTGCCATATGTTGTATAGGCCAATGAAGCAAATGCGTAGAGGCAGCACATTGTAAATAATATTTAAAAACGCGAACACCGCGGTAACGGAGCAATGCGGGTTTTCGATCGAAACACATGTGTGCGTATACGTATTCTTTTCCAGAAACCCAATTTTTTATGTTTGTTTTTATTTGTAATAAAGTGGTTTTCAATAGCTAGTGCGTTATATCGTTTATTTTTGAGTAGCCACAATACGTAGCCTCATTTTGAGTCCGATCTGTAACCGATTAATTTATGGTCGTTTGAGTTCTCAAAAAAAGGTAGATTTGTACCGTCGAAAGATAGGTATACGACACATACATTGTTCCTAATTACAGTACCTACTATCTACACACAAAAATAACAATATACTACATACATATAGATTATAAATATGAGAATAGATGGTAAATAATCCAGTAATGTAAAACTCATTTTATCGAACGAATAGTGATACTACGAACGCACGCCAACAGAATACACAATTTGATTATTACAACTTCGTGTACCTACACACTACACGCCGTGTCATTGTCACACAGTCAATAGTCACACTACATAGTAATAATTGATTTTAATTTTACAAGCCAAAATAAAAATGGAGCAAAAAAATAAGAAAATTACCAGCTACTAATAGTACTCTATTGAATTTTTTTTTAAAAAGAAGCCTGGACCTGACGTAAGTATTACAATTTTAAATTATTCAATACACTAAAATTATGCAAAATTAAATAAACACCAGTTAAAAAATGTATTAAAAATGTAACTGTAGTCACTGCAGTTTGTTCAGTAGCTGGATTTTTTTATACAACAACTAGAAGAAAGATTTTCAACACAAATTTATTTTGATATCCCCACCCATGAAATATTCTCTATTACTCTACTGATTAGCCTATAGGTGCCAAAAAGTGGAATACGTCACTGGGCCAGTGTCCAGTAGTTTCCCATGTAAAAATAAATACAGTCCAATAATGAACTAAGTGTATCTAACCAGTTCATATAATAACTACTGTTCTATGGGCGAGCTAACAGCTTATCAGTTTTTTTTTTTTTTTTATTCCATCCGTATTACCAAAGTAACTTAAAAATCAATAAAAATAATTCGATTTTCATACTTAAAATACTAATAACCTTGTATAAGACTGTGTAATACTTCAATATTTCTAATCTAGAATTACAGAATTTCACCTTAATCCATTCTGTAATTTCGGTGTCAAATGATAACAAACAAACGTTCACATTTATGATTATTGTTGGTTATCCTTGAGAGATGAACTATACCAACGCGTAATTTTCTGTACGCCTGTAAGATACCTATACAATTCCGTAGGACATTATTTTAATGTATCTAATAAGGTTTAACCACCGTTAGCAATATAAGCGCCCGAAAATATTTTCGTTCCAATAAATATTTTCTCAAAAGTGAGATAGAATCATGGAAAACTAAGTTGGAACAATCAATTTGCAAAGATATAATAAAATAAAAATTTGAAATTATTAATTTAATTTAAATTTTAGATTCTTTCAAACATGTACCTATTGGATTTATAAAGACTATTTTTTTTATATACATATATACTGTGACAACAATTTCTGAACAATAATTGAAACTGATATTTTATTTATGTTCAATAGTTTTTTGTCACTACGCAAAATAACGCCTCGGTAATAAGAAAATTAAATCACGTTTTTTCGTGATAACAAAATTATAATTAATCGATACGGAGATTGTCCATAGAATATTTTGGGATTAAATAAGCTATGTAAATTGTACAGAACTGAAATCATTTCAACTACTTGTCAATTCGATAACTCTTTATCATTGTATTTAATAGTATTTATTAAATTTGTAGGACGATTTTTGATTTTAACAGTACCGATAGCCGGTTATTGGTTCCGTAGATTTTCATACAATCTGGCGGCTGGTATTAATATTTTTATTTTATCCTATCCGGTATACTAAACGATATTTTTTTTGTTTTTATTATTTTCCTTATTATGTACAGGTACCCAATAAAATTATAATAAACATGATTATGAATTTACGAAAATGCATTAGTATACCTACCTACCTAATAATACATTATTTAAACATGTTAAATACAATACGTAAATAAAATATGCTTCAAAAATTATTAAAATTATTAAGATAAGTTTAAACATTGCGAGTGTTTGTAAGAATCGGATATATGAAAAAAAAAACGCCTCGGGTAACTCTACGTTTTTTTTAGGCGGAAAATTAAGAATACGGGATAAAGGAAAGGAAGACTCATTTATTATTTAGTGACGTTGAAAGCGACTACGGCAAAGAGGTTTATCTACGTTGGATCATTTGAAAAATGAATTTCATTTTGTGGTTTTAATTTTTTGTCAAAGATAATATTTTGTTTTTAGTTTTTCGCATTAAGTTTATGAGGGTGTATCGAACTGAAAATGTCGAAAAATTACTGCAGACAAAAAATAATCAAAATCTAATGTTATAACCGGCGGGGAAAAATAAGGGCTCACAAAGCTTTAGGAATCTCAATTACAAATTAAATATTTTGATCGTAATATCCTATCCCGTACTAGATAAAAGTATAGTAATAATCGACAGGTTACATATAATATTGCGTTGCATATTATAATTCCGAATTATTTTTATAATTCGTATAAATATTATAAATTTGGAATAAAATAGTTTTATCTATTCAATATTTCGATCAAATACATTTCACCGGGAGAGGGGGGGCGATTTTTGATTAAACATTTTCCAAATCATCTGAATAACAGAAATTTTCTAACTTCCAAAAATACTTGTACCTGTCGTTATACGGTTTAATAAATAATACATTTTACGATAATATTATGATAGGTAGAACACGACAATTTTCCTAAGAGTTTTCCCAGCAAATGTCAAAACCGGTATAAAACATGGAAAAACCGGGAAAAACATGGAAAAACCACGAAAATCGGTACAATATTAGACAAATATTATTAAAGAAAATATATTAAGCCTATTTAATTATTTAACATATAAAAATCTCATGTCACGGTGTGTTTGTGTTCGCACTACAACGGCTGCTACTAAACGGCTCGACCAATTTGAATGATTTTTTTTTATATATTTGGTAAGTATGAGAATAGGTCGTAAAGTATTTTTCATCCTATTATCCCCACCGCCATTTTAGTATTTTAATTCTATTTTTAAGTATTATTGAATTATTTATTTTTATGGATTGACTATAGGTTAAGTTTAATTCTTGTTTTAACGGTTAAACCAGTCTAAATCAGTGGCGTATATAGAAATTAATTTGGGGGGAATATAAAAAAAGCTTTTGGGTTTTAGTTAATACATATATTTAATAAATTCATAAATACACACGTGTGCCTTCCCAACCATACATTTCGGGGAGGGGGGGTTGAACCCTCGAAACCCTCCCCTATAATGCATAATAAAAATAAATACCTATATTGGCTATATTATTATAACACGATATGGTCAAGTGAAGTATTGTGTAGAAATATTTAACGTAATAATATATGAGCTTTTATAAACTTTATAGTGCATAACCACGCTTGTGATTGGTGGTAATTGGTCGATGATTACGATACACACGCTCTTACAAGCAATCACAGACCGCAGTGATGTTCTCATATTTGATATTATTACTTTCTAATAATAAATACTTAATATAATATTTATTAACTCATACGTAAAAACTAAAAATAACTTCAAATGATAACAGTCAACTACATAACTAGTGATAACAACGTTCATTTATATTTATTTTAACTATCAAAATAATTCAGATAATAGCCTATACTTATAGTAAATTTAACTTTTCGAAAACATTAAACTAAATAATATCGATTCTCAAAAAATAAAATTCTAATAAATTATTCCAATACCTTCAAATATTTAAGATACTATACTTAGATTAATGCTCCATTTCAATTAATTTGATTGACAAATACAGTTAAATTAAATTTTAATGGTTACGGCCATAATAGTAAAGAGTTAATTTAGCTAGGTATCCCATTTCAATGTGTGTACCCTAGTAACATGGATGAAATGAAAAAAAAATGTATAAGGTCGGTCAAATCGTATCAATGGTATCTATGGTAATTAATATAAACAAAATTAACTATGTATATATTATTAGATATGTGAATAGGTCGTAAAGTATTTTTCACCCTCCTACCATCACCCATCAATTTTAATCACAGTTTTAGTATTTTTGTATGAAATCACGCGGTCATGGTCAACCGAACTTCTCTTTGAATTGTTTATCGTTCACAATGGTTTATCATTAATTATAAATAGAAATTAAATAATTGCATGTATCCTACCTTTCCAATTATCTACCTACAATAGTAGTGTCAGCAGTATTAGCAATTTTTTTTATATTCTAATATAAAAAAAATTGAAAACTAACGTGTTTTAATTTCGTTTTGGTTTTTTGTCAAATTTTTCCCGAAAACAGAGATTATTTTAATTACATACACTGTATTGAGTCTTTGGTTATGTAGCGAGTCTGCATTTTTTTGGAAGTTTACAATAATAATTATCATAATGAAAACATTTGAAATAATAAATTGTATTCATTGCCAACATTATACCAAAAAAGTAGGTAAGTACTCTTAGTAATACAATAATATGATATATTAAGTATAGTTATGCATTTATTATTTATTAATCATTGAATACAAATTATGGTAAATTTTAAAAATTCATAGTAATTAACAACTCTAATCATTAGTAAATATTTATATTACCAACATTCTGTTTCAAAATAAATTTACAAAATGGCCATCTCAGATTTTGTGAACATTTTTTTTATTTTAGGCCAAAAAAATGTTTTTAACAAATATAAAAGAATCTTAGCGCAAAGCTTTCGTAATTATTCTTCTTCTTCTCCTTCACTTTCATCCTAACTATTTGAAGTCGGCCACTCTTGTCCTAAACTTCCACTGGAATACCCCACGTCCTTCTCACATACGCTTGTCATCCTCATAGCATTCAATTACCTAATTTTGGTTTTTCTCTCCTCCCTTTTCGTCTGATTTGTCTCTGCTCATCACATACCCAAACCAACTCATTCATTATCCTATCTTCTTCCATCATTCGATCTATCCACTTGAGCATTATCATCTCTGATAAACTTATTCTATGTGCTATTTGTTTGTCTACTATTCAACACTCTGACTCATACAACATATCCAATCTCATCACACTTTTGCAGTAGAACTTAACTATAGATCTTGTTGGAGTCCTATATTGACACATAAAACATCTGACACTTCTAACCATTTAATCCTATAGTCATTAATTCATTTTTGACTGGGGCAAGATTTCCGATAGAAGAGTTGTTTAAAAACGGAGAAAAATTGATAACAAAAAAAGCACACGTTCATCAGTAAAACAAAACATTTCTCACTGCACTCAGAATCTAAAACTCAAAAAGCTACCCTAGGATAATGGAGATAGATGCAGCCACTGTTATAGGTAATTTAATATATATATATATATATGAATAATCAACGTTTAACCATTGCTAACGAATAAACGATTCTAAACGGAGTTCGGTTGATAGTGATGCTTTGTCAACAATATAATATATATATATATGACATATTATGGTAAAACAAATTACATGTGCATTAAATATTGTCTTAAATAATATTTGTTTAATAATGTACCTATTTTCCCGTTCTTTCCTGTTTTCTCCGATTTTTTCATGTTTTTTCTCGGTTTTTCTCCTTTATTGAGAAAACTCTTAGGAAATTCAAAAATGACCTCCTTAAAATACCTCAACAGTCAAATTTCCCTTCAGAAAATGTGCTAATCAAAATTTTCGAGCAACATTACTAGAAGAAAAGTTGTTCACAGGAAAAAAAAATAAAAACAAAATAATAAACATTATTGTAAAACCAATATTTTTCTCACTCCACTTAACATCTAAAATTGATTAGTCACTCGTATTGAAAGGTTTGTTTTATTTTTATAAATCCAAGATTTTTGTTAGACCGGTTACTTTTATTAAAGGCAATACGATGATAATTAACTATTGTTATAAAACACCTGCCGTGAGCTTTGTCGACCTTTTATTCATTACCGATTAATTCTAATAGTACCTACGTACCTTTATAAATCTTTACCATCGACGTCACAACAATGATAATAATATTTTCACTTATAGCTACGATTGAGTTTAACTTTGGTTTTGTTGATTTTTGGAAGGCGAGTTTCTCTTTAAAAAGTTTACTGAATTTTGTTTCACGACACAATAATACCCGTCAATACCGAACCGAAAGTTTTTCGTTATTTTCCTCTTCAATAAGCATTTGGTAGGTTTTAAACCCAATTAAAAAGAAATAAAAAAGAAAAATATTTACAATGTCCCGTCGTCTCAAGGACATTTTTTGAAGTTTTATTTATTATTATTTTTATTTTCATATATTATGACGTCGTGTCTCGTTTTTAAAAAGGTTTTAAAAAGTCTTTCGAAACCTACACTGAACGTTTGTTTTTTTCATTCTTCATTTTCACCGCGATATTAGGTACCTAATTTAATTGTATTATTCCTACATATCATTAAAATATTATTGTTGAAAACTATCTGATAAAGTCTCGTGTTTTCAGTCTTCCTTTTATAAGGTTAAAAAAAAAATAAAAATTTAAACCGCTTTGTTGCACACATTACTTTCACGTTTTATTATACTGTAAAATTGGTATTAAGTACCTGTTGTAAATTATACAAAATAACACGATATACGCAACAAAAAAAAAAACATATTTGTAACAAAAAAATATCAGCAAAGACAACAATAAACAGTTAAAGGATTTTTTTTTTTTTATAAAGTCAATACGATTTATATTCAATTACAAAATTATCGGAGAAAGGTCACGCCATTTTCATTGTTACTTTTTACATTATTGTTACTTTTCGAATCGAATGTATAGGTACCCTTTTGTGTAAGAACTTTGAAGGGTATGATGTTTGTCATTTTCTCCGATTTCTCATTTTAATATTAAATCATTATAATAATAAGGTTACATAAAACAAAATATTCAAATACGATTTTATGATTTTCTCTATCTCTATCAAGTTTATGGAAGAGATATTGAGAGTGATATTATTAGGCAATTTCGACAAAATATACAGCTCTAAACTGTTTTAACGGTTTTAATTTTGGGTTGTGAAACCGGTTTTTTAAGTTTTCGTTTTCATTTTTATAAATAGTTTTTGAACAAAATTTGTCGGATTCCAAAAAAAGTCATTTTTTTTAAATGGTTACAACATTTATAATTGGGTCGCTATATGGACAGGTTTTTTTCTTTAATTTGTTATCAATTGTGATTTATTATTATACTTATCCTTTAAATTTACGAAAATCTTGTTATTTCGAATAGGTAGCTAATAGGTAGGTATTAAAATTAAACAAACTAAAAAGTACTACAATTGAACGGTTATTGAAACTGATTAATAAACTCAAAGTTAACTTTATAATTATATTAATAATATATACCGACAAATATCAATAATATTATTACTCCTTAATTATTAATACAATTTATAACATAATATTGATCAATCATACTTTTATTTGTAGTATTTTGGTTTAAATCGATAACATACACCTGTCTTGCTATTATTTGGTGTAATATAATTATGTTTAATTTCCCTTTTGTTTAAACCTTAATGAATTATTCAAAATAAAATTCGTTTAGCTCCAGATGTTACATAATATTTTAAACAGTCGTGTATTATAAGGTATCTGTTATATTAAACATATTATTATATTCATGTTACCTCGATTATCGATCTAACACCCGATTGCACATCAAATTGAAAGTCATGGAACATCGATTTATATTACAACGCACAATAATCTATTACGTAATTTTAGAATATCAAAATAATTATTTGATAATAATATAAATATTGAATGTATTATATTAATGTAATTAAATTCAATATGAGTGATTTGTCATGTAACGTTGTGTTTAATTTATTACAATTATACATAAGGAACAACAATAACAAAAATAAATTGAAAAAAGGTCTGTTTTTATTATTATTGAAACAAATTAAGTAAATAAACACGAAACAATGAACGTGAGCAATTAATGTAAAACGGAAAAAATAATGGTACCTATGGCTTAATGGTGATAATACCAAATAATTATGAAAATACATTTCCATCGTCTAGCACACTGTCTAATTAATAATCAGATTAATCGAATTTGAGTTATCCAAATCAATCGGGTTATTGATAATCTAGGTGGTCGAGGAACACAGATTGATTATTTATACATATAATCAGAGATGTTATAATATTATGATATTTTATCTTCTTATTTTCTAAATAAATTATATATAATAGAGTATGATTTATTTTATACAGTTATGATAAAATTATAATGCCGGGTCGCACCAAATATTTACCCAGAGATAAACTCGTTTATTTGGAGTTAAAATAAATTCCCGAACTAGTGGGATTCAACTTTTAACTTTAAATTTTCGTGCCCGCGCAAAAAAAGAATTTACAAACTGAATTGATAAAAACCAGAAACATTATTTTACAATACATTTTAAAAATGTGGTTTTACGAATATTTAAAGACCAGTGCGGACAACGCATTACAGTTTAATAAAGTCAGTGTGAGAAAACTTCGAAGGGGGACTATGTTTACCAAAAAAACGACGTTCGATCCCGAGAACTATCTTAACCCAACTAAATTGTCAAGAAATCCTTCACAGGAAAAAGATTTCAAAATGTTTTTTTTCCCCAAGAAGTTTTTTTATACAAATTTTATGCTAATAAAATATAATAGTAAAAGGCCCTCCCCTCCAAAAAAAAAAACAAACGCTAAAAATATTATTCTACATACTATATGCCTGATCGGTACAAATAAAGTAAAACAAATGTATAATCAAAAAGTTATTGACAAATTTATTTTGAATATTAATCTAACTCGTTTTTAAAATTTCATTAAAAATAGCTCAGTGACAATTGCTAAATCGTTCGCCCCGCATTTCGAAGACTTAAAATTAAAAAGGACGGAGAATAAATTTACCTTAAACAAGAAGGGGAACTCCGCCACTCACCACTTCCTCACCACCATAACCACAGATCATAAGTATATTTAATAAATAATATCAATTCATCAGCAACAGTTTCTATGATGTGTTTACAGTTTAACATTCTATTTTATTAAACCAACTTATTATATAAGAATTATGGGTTCTCGTTGCATGTTTTAATTTTTTAAATTTTGTATTTAAGATAGTGGACGCGTACCTACAACTATAGGCGAGCGAAGTAGATGCAATATACATACGCCATTTTAAGGAACTAGGTCATATTGCTAAATATTTAAAAAGCCGCAACTCTTTCATTATATATACCTACCGTATCTACTATATATTATAATAACTGTGCACAAAACCACACTAGCGGCACGGTATACAATAATAATACAACGATACACGCGGGAAACAAATATTTGATTAGAAGTTAAACAATACATTTTAATTTTAAATATAAGCGAATTAATCGCGTACGGTGTAATTTGATAATAACATTATAGTAGACAATTAGTTCCTGTTTTATGTACGATTTAGCGTACACCCACCTATCGTTTATATAATAATTGTTTACAAATTTTAAAAAAAAGAATTTTAGCAATTTAGTACTTTGATACAAATATGTCTAAAACTCAATCTTTGTATCAATCTATTTCACATGTGATAAATAAACCTTCTATCCTTTACATCAGTCGTATTAGATTTAATGTCACAATGTTACACGCAGGGACTGGAACCGTACCGAAAAGAACCGGTTTTGAAACCGGAACCTCACCCAAGCCCTTATTCAAATTAATTTTAAAACCGGAACCTTGCCGGAACACTTATTTAAATTTATTTAAAAACCAGAATCTCACCGGAACCCTTATTTATAGTTATTTTAAAACCGGAACTTAACCGCAACACATAATTTTTTGTAAAGGTTTTTTACGACTAATTTCGGTTTTGTTATAATTCCATTAATTTTATTTATATCTGCCATACCTGTCATAAATGATAGGTAATAAGAACTAAACAAATAAGTAAATCTATTATTATTATTATTAAGGGGATTAAAAATATTCAAAAATAATCATTTAATGTTTGTACGTAATAACTGATAATTTAATAGGAATTCTCAAATAAAATAAAATCAATATTTACTGCATATTATATACCTTTAGGTCTCTAGTTGAGGGTGGCCATATTCAAAAAAATAGAAAAACAGAACAAAATAATTTCAGTAATATTTATTAATTATTATAATTTTTTATTTTTGTTTGTTAATTTTTCATAATTATGCCTATATTTTTAACTATTTTAAATACACCCGCGTATTTTAGATGTATTATCACCGGTATTTTTCTTGTGATTATTATTTTTTATGAATACATAATCGAAATCATTGTCCTAAACTATAACGAATATATTTATCAACAAATTAGTTTTATTAAAAAAATAAATAAAATTTTAAACATATTTTAAAACTATAAAATATTCATATTTGATTAAATAAAATAAGAATTAATACGGTATAATTGGAATTAACATAAAAAAAAAACAAGGCAAAAAGATTCCTGAAAAAATTTCGTCAGGACAACAGGACACAAAGCTGAAAAAAAGACAGTCCTGCATAAAACAAGACGTCACTCTATTCTAGTTACCGCAATAAGAAGCAATTCTGAAAATAGGGTTAATATTTATAAAGAACTAGGTATGTTATGATTATGTATATGATACTATCATTATCTGACGGTACCATTCGTACAGCACTTAGTAGAAATTTTTTGGTATTGACCCTAATTGACGCCAACGAAACGTAAGTAAAATTTCTCACATAAGTATAAAACCAAAACAGGAAACAAAATTTTCATATTTTAAGAAACAAAAATAAATTGAAACCGAATGTTTAGTTTTTTGAGAACCAGCATTAAAACCAGGACCACTTATTTTTTTGACTAGGAGTCGGACCGCAATATTTACCAAGGTTCCAGTCCCTAGTTACATGTCACTGTCTATAAATATTATCAGCCCAATGAGAAATACCACTGGAAACTTATTTATCCATGAAACAATATTCCTCCTCTCTACCCTCTACCCTCCAAGAAATAAATCGAACACGTAACGAAATTCATCAACAAATTATATAAGTTTAAGCAAATTTTTTTTTTTTTTTGAGGATCGCGATTGAGGAATATCGATTGACAAAAAATTCAATCTTCATGGACTTACAGTATTTAGTCTAGAGAATGCTTAAATTATGATGATAGAATATTTACTCATTTTACTTTTATTTTTGTAAAAATAAGGCATTAAAAGCTTGTCTCGAGTTACATCACAATTTACTCGAAAATATTAAGAAGCTGAATAATTTACAAAGAATTCAAAAATAAATAAATTATCATTGCGTAAATTAGACATTACAAAATAACATAACGTTCGCATTTGAGTTAACATAACATTATTGTAAAGAGAATTTGTATTTATTTTTCATTTAAAGCGGCCCATCGTTTGTACAATAATTTCAAATTTATTATTAAATTCCAAATCCTATACTATTTATACATTACAAATATTTTATAAAGAACCGCTTTTTCCTTATAATAGATTATATATTCACTTGGGGCATGCTAACCTTTTTTTTTTTTTTTTTAACATGGGTGAAACGAGTTTTTAAACGATGACCCACGAGAGAATGAAAAACCGAAAACCTAGGGACATCAGTCCCTTGAGTTTTGGATTTATAATAACTTCTGTTATTATAAATTTATTACTATAACCATAAACAATTATTATTATAATTAGGATTCAGGACTTATAACATTTACTTATTTTTTCGACATAAAAATTGAACTTATCATTTAAAATATATTTTTGCTTAATTCAATATTTTTTAATAGTTTTTTCTGTTTTTTTTTTTTTTATAGATTTTGTGTTTGTATTACAACAAAGTTGTTTTAAGTACTTTTTCAAACACTTTTTTCTTGGTTGTAAGTGCTATAAGCTATAAGCTCCGATGATAACATTTTGCCCTATCTAAAATGTTGAACTATTTTATTAACATTGCTTTTTATCTAAAAAATACTGTGGAAAGAAAAACTTTGCAAAATAAACTAAATGCAGTGATAGAGCATATCATGTAAGAAAAATATATAGTGACTACATTATTAATATTAATATATACATATTCAATATGAACGTTTAATATACATATATATTAAATTATTTTATTATACATTTTTATATAAATATATAGTCAGTGTATATTATGTATGTATTTGCAAATGTATGTTTGAGTGTAATACGATTTCGTGTTATACGTTTTACAAGTAGGTTAGACTGATGTCAATGCGCTTAGCAAATAATAAAAAAAACCGTGTAAATACGATTAAAAAAGTTAAATAAAAATTAAATTAAGCGGAGTAAAAAAAAACAGCTCATCTCTTCTCTTATTTCGTTTAGAGATTATAATAATATGTAAATTAGCTCGTCCACAGAACTGATTGTACTTATCATTTGATAATAATACTGACGTAAAAGTGTTTATAATACATGTATAAATAATTTTAATTTTAATAATATAACTAAATGAAATTAAAATTACTAATTAAAAAAATAACTAAGTTATTTTCTAGCGTTCTTGTATTTTTTAAATGATTTAGTTTCAAGTTATCAAAAAAAATTATAACAACTTAAATTTTAACTTTTTAACTAGTTATTGCCCAGCTTTGGTATCATATAATATGAACTACCTATGTTAAAGTATTATATTAAATACCGATCAGATACGACGCTGATAATTTTAGATACATTTTCGAATAAGCGCACGAAATTTATGTTGCTATTAAAATATATGTATACTCATATATATTTATTAATATAGGTACCGATCTCAATAAAAAAATAACATTACTAAAGTGAAATAAAATATTTCGTTTTATACCTAATACACTAATATATTAAAACGTAAATAGAATATATTATTAGGTTCATTCGAAATTTAAATAATATTTTTACTGTTAAATTTCGATCGAAATCTCAAAAATTTCGAAATTTAAAACTTAATGATTGGAAATTAATAAATATAGTTTTTTTTTTCCGTGAAGATCTAACAGTAAACCTTATTTTGAGTTGTAAATGTATACGCATACATAATTCAGCGGTTTGCTAATTAATATTCAAGAGCTAAAATATTGTGAAGTTTGTGTAAACTATACATTGCATTGTATTGAATTTCCTCTAAAAATACAAAAATAAGAAAATGAAAGCGGCAAAAGTTTGCATTCATTATCCCCCCTCCTCCTCAAGTAATATTAAATCAACAGTCATAGTGCGTTGGTCGATCGGCAATAATAATACCTAATATGCAAACTTGTATAGATATTGACAATATAATAATTATTCGTTATCATTTTGGATTCAAAAGTTTAAGTAATAATAAATTCGATCAAATATAATTAAATATTAGTGCGAATTATGAGACATACCATTACGATATTAGAGTTTATTCGTTATCGATAACAGTAAACTTTAACATATTAATTTGCTATCCAGTTCTAGAAATACGTATAAAACACGCGTCTACCTTTATATAGCAAAATAAAACATTTACTTCAATTTAAATGAAAGTAGTTCTCGTTTAGCAAATATATTTATTTATTTATAGGTACATTTATTTATCAGGGTGGATCATTGTGTTTACCCTTGCGTTTACTTTACAACGGTACAAACGCGTACATAATATTATTATGGATATGTATGTAAAACAAATTAAATGTCGGCAGGCATGATGGACACGATTAGAATTCATATAAAATTTTAATATAATAATACCTACCCACTTATCAACACTAATGGTTTAAAAATCAAGAGGTGTTAAATTTCGAAAGACAATATAAAATTCATTAGGTGTGCACCTACCTACATATTATTATATAGTGTAAATGCCAAAAACGAGTGCGTTTATTTGTGTAATAATTTATGAGTTTATTCAATATTTTCGCGTAGGTATTGTTTATTGATGGACACTGCAGAAAGTGATATTATTAAATTATAATAATTATTGTGTCTTACGCATATTGATGGACGGGTGCAGAGTGTAGAATCGTTTATAATGAAAGTTTTTTTTTTTTTTTTTTATGGGTGCTCAGCAATACCAAATCGAAGCCGAAAAAAATACACGATAAAATGATTTCCCTAGATATTTTACGTTTTACGGTTAATGGGAGAACGGTGTTCACGTTTATTTGTGATACTAATGATAATTTATACTAAACATATATTTTCGTAAATACTCGTAGTATACTTACTTCAATGGAATTGTCGTCTACAGAACGCCTTAGTTTTGATTGTTCCTTTAAGTATTTTTCGAATTCAGGATGTATATAAACATCACCAAAATCTCCCGATGTCAATGGTCTCGGCATCTTGCGCATATCATTTGTAGACGAATTATTTTTGATCGCCTTTTGCTCAGAGTGTACCTGAATAAAATAACACAAATACACAACATGCATTTAAACTAAGATAACATTATGAATTGAATGACTGCATAAAATAATGTAAATATGTAATTTTATGTTAATCAAAAAACTAAATGTGTATAATAGATAATATTATAGCTAATAATGTTGTATTAAGATATGATTATAATATATTTATATTTAATATGTTTATAATGGCTCTGCCCTTAATTAAATTAAATTAAATTAAATTTTAACCAAAATCTGTACAATTTCAAATTGTTAAATCTAAAAATTGAATAACACATTTGTTTTTCCATATCATCCCGTGTTGAACTATGTGAACTCTTATCTCGAGTATGAAATACGCATAAATAAGTCAGCGGTTCGTTATAATTAATATCCTAAGAGGTGAAACATTATAAAATTTAAGTAAGCTGTATGTATAATATAAATTATGTATTGAATTCTTCTCAACAATTTAAAAACCAACAATAAATCTCAATGGACGCTCGGGAAATAAACCACAATGCATTTTTTTCCATAAAGTTAAACGGTAATTGAACCATTATTTTAAACGATTCTTTTATTATTTAATGCGGTAATTGTGCCACTCATATACAATGTATCCTGGATGACTCACCGTGTTTTACTGATTTTTATACTTAGAAAAAAAAAATATGAAAAAAACAAAATAAAATGAAAACCCATTTATTTTTTAAATATTTATAAGTTGAAAGTTTTATTACGATTGTGATCGCCCTATCGCGTAATATAGTAAACTATAAAATATAATTTTTTTACGCTAGTGGTTAAAGTGGGAAAATACTACAATGGGGACTTTATTTTTTGAAAATTGAGGGGCGTTCCCGAGAACTAATTAAACCTAATCAAACTTTCAGGACACTCAACACGGAAACAGGATTTACAAAATATTTTCACACGTGTAAAACGTTATACTTAAGGTGTTCACAGACTAAAGCGGCAGCGGTAGAGAAATGTCCGCGGTAACGGGACGAAATAAAATATCGTTGACCTAAACTAACCAAAGCAAAATATTACAGCGAAATCGCGCGGTAGTAGTTTTAGGTCTTCTATAATATTTCATTTTTATCATTTATTATCTTTCAATAACTATTATATTACACATATACACTACACGGACTACGTTCAGTATATATTATATATCTCACACATGCGACTTGCCTGATCGGTATTTATTTATTTCAGATTTGTGTCATCATGGACAATCATTGTAATGATGATGATGATAATACTTAAATATTTTATACAAACGTACAACGAACAAACTAAACGAACATTGGTAATACACCGAATACCTGCGTACTTATAATCATTTTAGAACATTTATCATCGAGATATATATTGGATAATTATTATACTTCACATATTGATGGACAGGTACATAGTAAGGAATCGTCTATTTATTTTAGGAATGTATAGAAGATCAAACCGAAGCCAAGAAAATGAAAATTCTCTTAAAAATAGAAAAGAGAAAAATATATTTTTACGTTTCTAGACTCACGAAGACCTAACGTTAATAGGAGAGTGGAGATCATGGTGATTTTTAAAACTAATGCTAATTAATACCCAACATATATTTTTGTATAAATACCTTAGAAGAATTGTCATCTCGAGAACGGCTTAATCTCAATTGGTAACAACTTTCCAACTCCTGTTTGGGATGTACGTAAACGTCACCAAACGCGTCCGTTATGCTCAGCAAGTCGTTCGCCTCCTTTTGTTTTAGTGAATTGCATTTATTGGTAACCTTTTTCGCAGGACTTGCCTAAATAATATTAACACACATAAATTTGAATAAAATTACAAATTGACATAATATAATATAGTGGTATGCATGCATGCAATAAATAAAAGTATCTAATATAATAATATAGGGAACAGATTTATTAAAATATAATTATAATAAAATATATGCGGTACATTTAATAGATTTATAATAATATGTAACCCTTTAACTTTAACGAAAATCTTTAAAACTAACAAATATTTCTTCAACAGAAAAACGACAAAAGATTTTTGTTGGATTTTTAATTTTTTTGATAAGTAGATATGTCATTTTTTTCATTTCCCTTGTAGTTTTTCTTAATAATTGAGCAAAACCGGAAAAAATACAAGAACTTCTTTCCTAATTGTTGAGCTATTTACAAACATTTTATGTTTGCGAGGTTTTTATATAGTTTTTATTTGTTATCCAAAATATAAAATAACTAATATCATTATTGTGAAAATTGTACCATTTTGCCTATGTTTTTTTCTCAATTAAAAAAAATCACAAGGAAAATCAAAAAATGACCACCTCAATCTCAATATACCAACTATATATAATTTTCTAACAGAAAAATTGTCTATCCACTCCTAAAGTTTATGATTAGATATTAATGTATAGAAAAGTTGTTTATAGAAAGTAAGAGCACACATCCTAGATTTATATATGTTAATCCCTAGAAATTAACATAATATATGGAAACATAAAACAACAACGAAGGTGTTCTCGGTGATCTATGTTACTAACGATAATTGATACTGAAAATATATTTGAATGGATATATGTGTGACTTACACTTATACTTACCTCAATTGAAATGCCATCTTGAGAACGACTATTGACTATTGAGTTGGAATTTGTGTATACTGCGCGATTAGGGTGCAGATAAATGGAACTATGTTCTTTCGATGTAGATGGTCCAGCAATATCACGTGTACTAATCTTAGACGACTTCTTTTTGGTCCCAATAGGACTCACCTGATTAAAATCATTTTATGTTTGTTAGTTTTTATTTGATAGATACTATATAAGAATTTAATTGTTTAACCAAACAAAAATGCTTGACAGTTTAACAGGAAGTTCATTATCAGATATAAGTTATACTTAATGACTAAAAAAAGAGTTGTGTGGGGCGTAGCATTTTTTTTTTATAATGGTTTTAAGATCGAATTTTTGTGAAAATACTAAATATTGCGGACTTTTAATTATATAATCGTATTTTTAAATAGGTAGGTAAGTATATACTTACTTCGTTACTGATCTCAATCGAAACGCTGTCTTGAGAACGACCGGCTCTTGAGTTGGAATTCTGGTGTATTCCGACGTACTGATAAGGATCTCTTGATGTAGATGGCATGTCACGCATATCAATCTTAGACGAGTTGTTTCTGGTCGCTCTTTGCACAGGTTCCACCTGTGTAAAATTAAATTTGTTAATTGGATCCCGAATAATCTTTTATCGATTAATTGAGTCCCGGAAAAAAGAATATTAAGTAAACTGAGTCCCAGCAAGAATCAAATTATACACGCGATTTGTTTAAATATCTAACTTTATTAGAAGTTAAATAAACAATATATTTTATAATTATTGTGTAAATTGTATAAATTATAAATTAAAAAGTCGGGCATACTTCGCAAAATGGGTGGGCTACTGTAATAGGTGAGAAGTTGAGAAGATAGGATATAGAGAGAAATTTAATGTGTACCTGTACACAACAATTAATTATTGTCGACGAAAAACAATTCTGAGTGAAGTTATATACGTTTTAATAAGCCGTAATATTTAAGATTTTCGGCAAAATTATTAAAAAAAAAAAAGAAGAATACTATATTGTACTCGTCTTTTTCTAATCGGACAAAATGCAAAAGTATCTAATATAATATAGAGAATAGATTTTTCATTTTCATCAGATCGTTTTAAGGGGATTGAATACCAATATTTTCGTTCTTCGTCCAACACAAACGGTCCGATTGATGTTGTAAAGGGATAAGAGTTCAAGAAACGAATTTGAAATCATCGTGAAATGTACAACGTACAATATTATGTATACATGATATCGATGTAGCTAATTTTTTCAATTTAATTTTAGTTTTTTTTTTTAATACATTTTAAAAAATTTAAATCAAACTAGAGGTATAATTTATAATTAAAATCCAAACGAGTGAAAGATTTTGTGTACACTTTACGCATAATTCGAATCTATTTTCAGAATCCGTATCGCTTCACTATACGTCGATCGAAAAGGTTGCTAGAAAATTGATCTGAATTGTTATGACGCGTATGCGGTAGAAAACGAAATGAAATATTAGTATCCAATCCCTTTATTATACAAAAACGACGCAAACCTGTAGGAAGTTGCTCCCGGAATAAATATTCGGTTCCTTATTGACTCCGCGGCTTGACGATGACGAATCACCATTTTGTTTGCCATACCACATCGGCGAGCGCGGTTCCTCTTCGATATCATTGCCACTACTTTTTATATCAGTCATTTCGATTTCAATAGTCGGCGGGTAATGCTTCTGCTTCTTCTTCTTAGGCCTGTCCCATTTCATTTTGCTTTCCATTAAAGGAATCTGAGGATTCGATATACAATGCCACATTAATATTACAAAATATATAATATTACTACACGTTCAATATAATTTGGATATAGTTATCAGTAAATCAATAAATAATAGGTTATTATAACATATATATATATATACAGTGTGTCCCACCGTGTTCGACGGATTTTTCTTGTGCGGTTAATATTCAATTTTTTTTTTCAATCGGTTTTTCTACGAAGGGGGACATCGATTTGAAGAAAAATTAAATTTTCATTTTCATTCTAAAAATACAAAAAAACCTTATTCGTCCACTTTAGAAAATAGCCATTTTGTAAAACATATTCAAACAATTTTAATGTGTCACACATTCATATCCGATAAATAATTTCTTTGTTATGGTCGATTTAATTAGGCGTGAAAACAAATAATTCTCTTCATCACGTTATGCGATAAGGAATTACAATCAGCATGGTAGTTCTTTACCTTCTAATTGGTGTCACGCTTATTTTCTAGAAATTAAAACGGCTATAATCCAGAAACTGTTAATCGGATATGATTATGTGATACATTATAATTGTTAGAACAATATTGTTTTTACAAAATAACTATTTTGAAAATTTTATAATGTGAATAAATAAAGTTTTTTTTTTGTGTTTAGGGGATAAAAATAAAAATGTAATTGTTATCCAAATCTATGACCCCTCGAAAACAAACCGACTGAAAAAAAATCGAAAAAAATTTAATATTCACAGCGCTGGAAAATTGAGTTGAATTACTTTCATTCGGTGTATAATATAGCAATAACACAACATAAAAAAAAAAAAAAAAAAATTAAAAATGGGAAAAAAGTGTATAAAACATCTGACCCATAACACTGTATGATTCAATTAAACATCGTATAAAGCGACTGTAAAATGTCAATTATTATCTTATTGGAGCTTAATACGTTTTGCCCGTACATCTCTAAAACGGGATTGTCAAAACTATAATATTATAAACTGTATACACACATTATATATTATGTTATAAAGCTTTGTAGTATTTTCCTAAAACTAGATAGATCTTTGAGGAGTTTGTGTTTGCATTAGAGTCACTGTCGTCTTTAAATAAATATTACGAGTTTATACACTAAATAGTTTTATGTATATAAAATTTAGCCGGAATAAACTTGTTGAACATTTTTATGACCCAAATATAGTTGGTTTTTTTTTCTCCTAAGAAAACCACCCGCCGTCGTAAAACGGATAGCTTTTTTTACCGCTTTTATTCGTAATAAAATATTATGTACATAATATATCTATTGTTTAATACATATATATAGGTACCGGCGGAGATGCCTTTAAATTTCTAAAATTCCCGTAGGTTTTCGCGAGCATTTCCAACGTCAGATGATAATAATAATAATACAATACATTATGTTTCAGATACCGATAAATATTTTCGATTATACGGGGGGGGGGACGAAACCGACTTTGTGAAACTGCGTGACAAGCGTTGCGTCGGAAGTTCGTCGCGGTGCCGCGGAATAACGAGAAAATCCCGTACGTAATGGTCACCCGGACCGATGCGCGTGTTATTATTGTTGTTTATTATGTATACGCGCGTTTTAACGAAATAACGTGACAGTTATAATTGCCGGATCAATTATTAATTACTGCGCCAGTGTCGGTCGAATACGCATCGTATTGTAATACAGTAACCGGACTCGGATGCCAGTTCTCTATGCGAAAATGTTACAAAAATAATAATACACGATATCCGGAATAATTAATAATATCTCTTTTGCGAATTCCGCGCGCGCAGATTTTCGGGGATGGATAACAAATCGCTATAATATACGGACCCGCGTTCGAAATTACAAGGAAATGTCTGAAATTGCAATACAAGTTATGCAATAACCGTATTGTATAGGTAGGTAGTAGCGGGTACTATTACGTAGAATTCTCGTTAACGGGGGAAAAAAAAAAAAAAAAAAAAAAAAAAACCGAAACAAAAAACAAAAAAACCGAAAGGGAGTAACGGGAAAAGAGTTATGACTCGGCGCCCCGTCTACCGGTTGCGCGTTGCGCGCCCTGATAAAACGCGATTAGTCTGTTTTCCTGTTTTTTTTTTTTTTTTTTTTAATAATCCGCGGATAAGTCATTTTTTTTTCCGCGTGAAACTAACATATTATTATTGTTATTGTATAACCTGCGCCACCGTTCGGACGTCTAATTTACAATATTTAATCGTCGAGTACAAATACTATTATCGACGTTAAACAACAACGTTACAGTTTCATCGGAACGCCAATAATGTCTGTTTCGCCGCAGTGAAAATGTAATATTACGCGGCACACGATACCGAATCGCCGTATAATTTGGGGGTCGGGGTAGGAAACTCTGTCGTCGATAACAACTATTTTTTTTTATTTGTATTATCATTACGAACGTCCGTTTTCATAATGACAGTGCGATACGCAAAAAGTTCGATAGAAATTATTATCATCAACTCCGTAATATGTAATATTCAATATTGTTGGTCCGCCGTTCCTCGCAAATAGTTCCCGCGGATACGACTGTGTCACCGCGGCCGCGCGCGCACAGAGAAAACGAGTATAGGTAGGTATACAAATCAACTAGAACTAATCAATCGGGAAATTATTGTAATTTTAATGATACGGGAAATTATGAATAATTTAATAGACATACTAATGAAATATACGATTTAATAGAAACCCGCCTACGCATGAAGTATATTTTAACATTTCCTATACCTAGCTACACAATACTATTAAAACCGTATAGAATAACGAACCGTTTCGTGCGAATCGTACGAAATAATAGATGTGCACTTATATTTGAATTATTATCGCGCACGTATACGAAAAACTTTAAACCACTTTTTTTAGAAAATATTTTTAATGCATCCGGGGATATCATCCTCGCGGGATTACAAACGAATAGGTACCTATACCGAATCAAATGTGGCGTAAGATTAGTGTAATATATGTATTATAGCACGAAGAGGTTCATATTATACCTATAATAATATTATTATACAGTATAATAATGTTGTTGGCGTTATTTTTTTTGAAAAACAACACACGTCCGTCACATTATAAAAACGAATTATAATAATATATATTCGCACGATATTTTATTTTTTTGTGATTATTTTTCAATTTTATTTTTATATAGTGTATAGTGTATGCCTATCGCGTGGATACGTATAATACGTATAAAAGAAACCTGATCCGTATGTAAGTACCTTTCTAATAATATTATGATATTTAAATATTTTCTCATAATATAATATTATGATTTGGTTTATGCAAAAAGAGTCCTTATCACTTAAATTTAATTTAGTCCACGAAAAGCTTGTGTGTCAATAACATAAATTGATTTTAATTCTATATATTATAGTTGAAACAATAAAAAATTAAAAATCTGTGGTTGACTTGTTTTTGCCGAAAATGGCGTCAAGGACCGTTAAGGACATTTTTGCATAAACCAAATCATATGTATTACACTAGGCTTACTAACTGTCCCATCCGACATTACCCAAGTCAAATGAAATACAGTTCCAATGAACTAAGTAACCAGTTGAGTATCCTCGCGACAACTATTATAGCCCTTACTACTTATTTATTTTTCTATTTTATTTCATCCGTATCATCGGGGTAACCCATAAATTAACAAAAATACCAATGTTCTGTGTGCGAACTATAATTGCACAGATGGACAGATCTAGCGACTTAATATTTTTATAGTGTTTAGAGATTATAAAATTTGCTTAGCATCAGAAATTTAAATTAAATTGTAATACCCAATATACGTAATAAAGTTCGTGTTTCAAGATGAAAAAAAAAACGTCTTATTCGCGATAAGAATATTATCCATAGGCTATAACAGGAACCGGAAACTAGTATTTAAGGAGAGGATTTAAATGGAAAAAAATGGCAAAGTCCGGAAGAAAAAAACTAAATATTATTAAATGCGACAAATTGACACTGGTGAATTATTTTGACAAATTAAAATATAAATACAGCGAAAGGAAAATCTTAAAAATTGCTTAGTAAAATCTAGAAAAATCTGGATGGAATTTCAGAATTTGCCAAGATTTCGCCAGTAACAACTTAACGTAAATCAAAATATTAGTTAAATTCGTGTTAAAAACGCAATTTAAGATAAATAATTAAATTCAATATAATGTTAATGATATGATGATATAATGTTAATGATTATGATAATCCTTAATGATAAAATGCAGAAATATATGTTAAGTCGTAGAATTATTAACGTTTATGTAAACACGATTACCGTTTAGATTGAGACTTGTATAAATTTATCACGAAAATATTTCTATTATATTTTACATTTTCTAAACGAACATTTTTAATATATAATCGAGGGTGGTCGAAGATCAAAAATAATTATCTTTTTAGTAAATAGTAATTGCATAGAAAAAAAAGACGGATGTACTTCGCAAGACGGGTGGGCTACTGTTGTAGGTGAGAAGTTGGGGAGGTAGGATATAAAGAATATTAATCTATATATGTATGCCACAATTAATCATTGCTAACGAAAAACGATTCTGAGTGAAGTTTATTTAAACATGTTTTAAAAAACAATAATAGTATTTATGATTTTCGTCAAAATTCTATACTACAATTCTTATAGAAAAAAAAATAATACTACATTAAACTCAACTTGTTCTTGTTCACCATTAACTTCAAATTATAATGAAACTCCTGTTAAATTGTCAAGCATTTCTGTTTAGCCTAACAATTTTATCCACAGAATACTTATACCGAATACAAATTATGTAAAAAATTCTCAAAATTAAAATTTTCATAAATAGCTCAAAAATATTTTGAAAATTTTACCAAGTCTATTAAAATCAAATATAAGTTATAAGTCCAAAATTGTGTACACTGTACATAAAAAATAAACATCATTGTAAAACCAATATATTCCTCGTTTCGCTCAGAATATAAAATATAGATACTTTCCTAAAAGAAAAAATAATAATAAATTATTTCACTCCTAGGGTGAAAATATTAAAGAACTATATTCATTTTACTTCGAAGTTTTCGGTTATACACCATTTTCCTTTCCAAGATTACTTTGGATGTCTAACTATTTATTATAATGTTCTCAATAATCGATAATCGAAACATACAAAACAAAATTATTTTTTTTTTTATCTAAGTAAACTCTACTTAGGTATCTATTCTATTTTCTATGAGATGGTTCGAATATGTTATGTTATTTTCATTTGTATTCATCTATATGTAGATGATTTTCGAGCGATTACCTATTCATCTTTGTCTGTAAATAAATTGTACTTATCTGTTACTAAATAAAAATATAACCATTAAATATTCGCCATTTCTGATACAATATAAATGTAAAATTAGAACTAAGGTATGTTCAAATATGACAAAAAAAAAAATCTACACATTAATCATCGCATCAGATTGCTGATTAGTAAACATTGTCTAATACATTATACATTCCACGGCCTATACCTTAATGTATATGAAAATATGAATACAATAATGTTTGTTTATAATTTCCCTTGGGTCTGTTACGATCATGATGTTTGATTCATAAACAATTTGATCCAATTATTATTGTCTTTGCATTAATATACGAAGGTATACGTATTATTATATGATCGCTGTTCCTATACCTATAATAATATAATCGATCGCAATTTTATAAACAAACTTATGACGATTTGCCAAATCAGTGGCGTAGCCTACAGTGGGCGGATCTGGTAAGCCCAGACCTACTTGCTTGATTTCCGAAATCAACACAATTTTAAAATCAACATTTTTTTTTTTTTATAAATCCCGTTCATGCATTTATATTATTCTTTTTGGCCTACCCAGAAAAATATTTTTTGCCACGCCTCTGTTCGCCATCATAATAATATAATAAATATTATATTATTATCGTTATTGAACGTATAGCATGTGTTACAATAGCAACGTCAGTGATAGTAAAAGAAACTATACTCGATGGATTTTTATAGAACCGGGTTTTAAGAAATTTAAAATTATCGAAAAATTTAGGTAAAATTATGCAATGCTATGCGTATATATTATGTGCGTGTAAATCAGAAATGAAAAATACAAAATATGCGGACAAATACATTATAATATTATAGCCGCTGTAATTTTTTTATCATGAACTAGCGTGCAATTTTTAAATCATTTCAAATAATATAATATCGTTATTTTAAACCGTAATTATTGACATTCCGTATAATGTCTGATAAAACCCAAAATCAAATTTATCACAAACAATTACCGTACAAATAATCCTTGAATCGTGATAATGTCACCCTGTGTACATTATGGTGTCTTTAAATTCTAGAACACGTATCTACAATTACAAACGGTGTTTATCAAACATAATTACCATAATTTCTTTGACCTAGGCTAAAAAATCAATTTAAATCTTACTCCCACGACCGTTTTATTACGTTTAAGAATCACGAGGTCGCATGTCTAGGTATAATTAACGTGAATTCAAAATACCTACCGAACAATATATTGGTCGTCTGTGGTTTGTAAGTTTATAGCGTCTAGCGTTACGTTACATTTAAAATTATTTGTGCGTGTAAAAATAAGAATACAACAGAATTTCGTAAAAACTCTGTGCAAAATTCTCACTCTCGTAAACCATTTTAAATGTAAAAATGATCAATTACCATTTTGCAGCCGTTCCATTTCAAAATGAAATAAATAGAGCAAGGGTGGCCAAAGAATCGACAAAGGATCGACAGGTAGATCGCGGACGATCTCAATGTCGATCTCCCTTTGTTAGAATTTGTTTTTATATAATTAGTATGGATAAATCACAGTTGCCGAACATTTCTACATCTTAATAGATTATTATTTTGTTGTCAGATTATCAAGTAATACAGTTCAACGGTGTTTACACGTATAATGCGGAAATTTTATTTCTGGTACATTTGACTGATAATTTTATACGAGTATTATAGTCTTAATAAAAGAGATATGATGACGAACATCATTTAACAATATATGTATTTTAGTTTTGTTATTTGTACACGTATGGTTATTATTGATACCTCTATTAGTTGTTTACATTTTTATTTTCGACAGTCGATTTTCAGTGTTTTCTAAATAAATCTCTACCGAAAAAAAGTCCGGCCGCCCCTAGAATAGAGTGTCGTGTGAGTATTGTATCATTATTTCATCGGTATCGGCGCAGTTACATATTAAAATAACTATGGCTGTGATTGAACAACATAATATTTCTATATTCCTTCTAGGGAATGCACTAGTAACAACTATTATTTTAGAATAGGCAACACGGTATTAAAATATAGGAAGCGCATCGAAAACCGTGGAGCTCGCGTCACGAGGTAATTTCAAATTGCGTTCCCATCCCGATTAGATTCGCCGTCGTATAATCACAGTCATCGTCCCGTTAAAATCGAAGAAATAAAACGATTTCGTATAAATATATTGTAATTTCAACAATAGAATTTCTTATACGTTTGACTTTAATTATTATTAGCATATTTGAAAAATAAATTCGGCGAAACGGTACTGCAGTGATCGAGACACGGTCGTGCGAGCCTAGTGTACTGTGTACGTATCTGCAGGTGTATGTTGGGTAACCAATCGCGAATCATTTTCAAAAAAACGAAAATCGATAATATATTTTTAATCCATCTTATGTAATACGATTTTTATTCAGGGTTTTTTTTTTTACACTTTCCTATACTTACAGAATGCGAAAAACAACACACGCAGTGCATGTCGTTTTTACCTGACAACCGATACGTCATCGGAACGAATCAAAAACACTGAGTAACCGTATTTATTTTTATTTTTATTATTATTTTTTTTTTTTTTGTTAAAGTAATGCTCTTCATAGGTTGTTACATGAAATAGGTACTCTTATATCGTTCTTTGGGACAATAATCTTACAATTATTTTCTCAATAGTTATGTAATATACAATATTTGTTTTTAAAACGGAAGTTTTTTTCTTCATAAAAAAGATAATAGTTGTTTTTGTTAAGTTATTTAATATCCTACATTTCATATTATAAAATAATACAATTTTTTTTTAGAAAAATCAATAATCAATAATATTACGATATTGAATTTTTCAAGACGTTCTCGTATTTCATAATAACACAACAGGTATAGTCTTTTTAAAAATATTTTTCATATCTTTAATATAGTCTTGGACAGATCTATTTCCAATTATTATTTACCCGTACTGAATTGACATTTGACACATTTCACAAGTTTCAATTAAAGTCAATAAATTGTTTTTAAATAAAAGAAAAAGAAATAGATACAACAAAACTGCAACATTTATAATTTAAGCATTATTATTCAGATTATTATTATTTATATATTATTCATAAATTAAAATCGGAATATTTCAGAATATAATATTACTATTACATTCTTTGAATATTTAAATAACTTACTAATTAATCCGTCCGAATAATTCGCATTCAAACATAAATGTCTAACTTTGATTTTTAAACAAACTGTACAGTTCTAAATTAACAATTCGTCAGAAGAAAGGAACTTAATCTTTAAAATGGTTTTACTTTCATTACGTAAAAAAGTATAAACATTTAGGGGAAAGGGTGGTTAGTGACGTTAGAATGATACACAGGGTAAGTTTATACTTTAAAGGGGTGATATTTCATGATTTTTGAAATTGTCACGAGGATTTGTGAATTAATACAATACAGTGTATTATTTGGGTATGAAAACGAGTTGAATATTAAAGAAGAAAACAAAAACCGCAATTTCTCATTTATAGAACCAACAAACTTATGAAAATTAATAACAATTATGGTGGTTAAAAACACAGTGCTATCGAAAATCGCATTATCTTTAATTATTTCATTACTTGTATTCCAACGCGAGTTTATATTATACTCGTATATTTCCATAATTTAGAATCCTAATTAAGTAGGTTTGATAAACCTGTTAGTGGACAAAATGCAAAGTCAAATTTGATGTTTTATAGCATTTAGTTTACATATAATAACAGACTAGCCGACCAGATTTCATCTCGGGAAAATTTGGTTTATAATCTCGAGGGGCTCTCTTATGATGATGTGGTATTTATCCATAAACTAATTAATGATAATTTAGATTGTGCTATACTATAACCGAGCTGGTAAAATGTAGATTTCCAAACATTATTATGAGATCAAGCATCCTGATCTTAGTAACTCAAAATAAAAACAAATTAATATTTGCATCAAAAATAGACCTGTTAAATGTCATATTAAGGGTGGAGAGAAGTGAAAGGGACGATTTTCCCGGACGGCAAAATTTAAAATGAGATAAACTTTTAATGATTAAAAATGGACATTTTCAGAGGAAATAGAAAAAAAGGTTATCTTAGGTAAGAAAGACAAAGAAAATATTTGAAGTTTAGATATATCCATTTAGATAGGGGGGGGCATGCATTTTTTTTTTTTTACCCCGGTGTGTGAAAATCCTAGATATACCACTAGCTTATGTTACATTCTCTTCTCCACTAACATTTTCTGTTAAGATCTCTATGCAAATAATTTGCTATCAATTTATTTTGCTCTAATGCCGCGTGTATAATGTTTGATTAGGTATATTATTTTCAACAATATGTAATAGGTGGATGAATATTATAACAATATTTCTGTAATGAAACCCTGATAATGTTCTTATCTAATATCTGTACACCTCAATAAATCATTGTTAACGAAAAACAATTCTAAGCTAAGTTGGGTTAAACGTTTTCCGATAAACTTAATAAATTGTATTAATTTACAACGACAAAATAAATAAAATAAAAATTGTCCGTGTCTTTTTCTCGAATATTTGAATTAAACAAATATTCACATAAATGTTTATCAAAATATGTAATTTTGTATCAAATAGTCAAGCATTTTTAGAACGCAAAAAAAATTGTATGCACGGAAAACCTATTAAAACTCAAACATTTAAAATGAGAAAAATTGTATCACTTCTTTAAAATGTCAATTATAAGGATTCAGTGAAAATTTCAGGTTTCTATTAATATTTTTAACTGAATAACAGTAAAAAACTAAATTTTAAAATAACCAAAACCATTTTAACATACAATTTCCCGGTTCCCCCCCCCCCAATTATTAAAGAGATTAATAGGAAAATCTTAATATTACTTTCCTAATGTACTGACTAGATTCAAAATACTCCATGAAAGTTTCTTCATAAAATGTCCTATAGAAGCAAAATTACTGGTGGAAATGTTTTACTCAACAAGAGAAGATAATATATAGTTGATCTAAAAACACATAATCATAATAAAACCGATATGTACATTCTTTAACACTATGCTCAGAATATAACAAAAAATATGCGGTCGTTCTGCCCTCCCTTGTATGAGATAATAAACGTGACGGTTGTATGAATTGTCATGTAATACTCAAAACATCCCGTTCAAAATGCCTCCATGTATATTTTACTAACTACGTGTAATATATTAGCTTATGAATATGTACGTTGTATTACTTGTAGTTTATGCATAAATGCTATGCATAAATGCTATGCATATTTATAATTTTGTTTTAATTTTTTATTATAGATTGGTACACATGGGTGATTTCGTTTCATGTATTATTACGTGCAGATAATTTATCCAGTTAAGTGATATTATTAGTAATTTAAATCTCAGTATTATGCACCTATACCATGGATATATTATTTTAATTATTATACGAATGACTCACGTCAAAGCGTCATAGCGTATAAAGCAAAAACCTTACTAGTTACTATACCGTTCAATTCACATAGATGGATTTATTATAGCTACCTAGATATAAGGAATGTAATGATATTGGAACTTAAATACTCAAACTTCATATTTATAACAGTTCCTAAAGTAGCGTACAAGTGCAATGGCAGACTATTTCATACAAATCAATTACGTATTTCAATGAAAAAAAAATAATACTATTCGCATAAAATAAAAAAATTTATCCCGAAAAAATTCAATACTAAACCATAAATACATTATAAGTTGACCAATGTATAAATTATCAAAGTCTTAAGAATATAGTGGAATAAAAAATTTGTATTCATATTTTTAAATTACATTTTCGTGTTCTATACCTATCCTACGCGTTATGTATAATATTTTTTAATAACTTATATTACCCGATAAATTAATTAATGTAGATGATAAGGTGTATGAGATGGATACAACAATAACCAGAATAAATCTTATCAAACAGTAAAATTACACTATTTACTTATACAATCAAAATTAGTGACCATAGTGACCATAGATACTTTTCATAGGTGAGGACTCAACTCTACGCATACAATAAATACAAAAAAATAGGCTGATACCACTGAAAGGGGGTGCCACTGTTTTAGGAGGAATATGGAAGATATTAAGAGAAGATATAAAAATTAATTAAGTTTATGTCTGTACGGAATCATAAACCATTGTTAACGAAAAACAATTCTGAGTAGAGTATTATTGGTCACATATTTCGCTGGTGGCCAAGATTAACCACCGAAAATCAACAAAAATGTATAGTTTTTCCGATTTACTAAAAGCATTACAAAGAAAATCAATAAATAATATCCCCAATGAATCAACTATGGATCAAAAATTATTAAAAAGTGTTTCTATAAAGTTTTTCATTGGAGCAAGATTTTTGGTAGAAAAGTTATTTACAAACACAACAAATAAACACACATAGTAAAATTAATATATTTCTCATTTCGCTCAGAATCTAATATCAAAAGTATTGCGCAACTATAAAAACATAAACGTATCTACAAATAGACGCCAAGTTTTTAAAATGTTTTCGAGGACTGAACTTATTGCTTTTGAACTTTAAGCTCATTTAATTTTAAAGAATTTTCCAAAACATAAAATTAAAAAAACAGCACTTCTTATTTTAAATAAGTTTTGACATTCGATAACAATTTAATTTCTAGGTGAACACAAATAAAGTTTATTATAAGAAACTATAATTTATAAACATTCACCGATATGCATTCTGTGTATCATTGGTATAGTATGAATCATTTGAAACATTAGATATCTGGTAACCACGTTACGAATAAATTATACGAGATTGCAGATGCTAAACAAACAGTGTTTATCATATCATAACACGTAGGATTATTATACAACTTGATAGTTTATTTTATTTAACAGCAATAATATTTGTATCAGCATTTTTCATTTATGGTGGAAAATTTCGCCATTTTAGCGTTAAGAATAAATATTTTACATAACCGTCAGTATAAAAGATATTTTTCATCAATAAAACCTTTGAAGACCAAGCCCCGGCTTAATATTTTCAATGAGAGCCACAAGGTCACACGGAAATATATGTATAATGTATATTATTAAATTGCTTAATTTTTAATTTTTGTTATTATAATTATATAAAAGAATTACGCATTCATAAAAAAATAAATATCAAACTATTCCAATATTATAATATTAGTTTACGTGCAAGTATCATTGCAATTCTACTAAATGCTTATTTCTATATATATATTGATTATTTTACAGGTTTCAAAACTCATTACCTCATTATTTTATATTGAAAACTATCAAAATTCAGTTTTGTACACGTACACGTACTGCAGTATTATATTTAGCTGTTATATAAATAAACGTTTCAGGGTTGCCATTCGCATCGATTTAGTTGCAACACCCTAACGGTGTTGGACACGTGGTCCCTTTTGAATACCCTCCGAGACGTTTTAACGTTACTGGTTTCAACGAAAATAAAACGTTTAACTGGAAATAAATACCGGCAATAACAATTACATTTTGTTTTTGATATCCTATCTACGTCCAATTACTGTTTCCTGGTTTACAAATACTAATATGTTTTGTATATTTAGTATTCATTGACGTTTTTTTTTTTTCTGCAATCTTCGCTGTCGGGATCTTAAAAAAATTTGCAGTGAGTAAAGAAATAAGGAAATAAGAATCGAAAATGTGTGATGGACGGCTATAATAATACCTACACGGATTGTTGGTAACAAAAAAAAAAAATATTAAGTATACGAGGTGTGGCTATTAAATAACGAGACTGCTTGCCTAGAGGGCGCCTTAGATGGGTAGTGAAAAAAACGAGTAATGCGTTGGGTATCTAGATATCTTATCTCTACACGTACCAAAACACGTTTTCGTCACTATTATAGTATTTGTGCAGTAGTGGTTTGAAACGAACGTGTTTTTTTCTCGTGCCGAAAACCATGTGTGACAAAAAACAGGAGCAACGTATCAATCTCAAATTTCTCGTTAAATTGAAAAAAACTCCGACCGAGTGCTATAAATTGTTGCAAGAGGCCTATGGAGGCAATTCTCTATCTCGTGCACGTATTTTTGAGTGGTATATGCGCTTCAGTGAGGGCCGAAAGAGCACTGAATGATGACCAGCGCCTAAGTCGCCCTGTCACTGTTTCAACTCCGGAAACAGTGACCAAAATCAACCAAATTGTGCGTGCAGATCGTCAAATGAGCATCCGGATGATTGCCGAGGCTGTAAACGCCGATAAAGAAACGGTTAGAAAAATTTTACATGAGGAATTACATATGACAAAAGTCTGTGCGAAGTTGGTGCCAAAAAACCTGACTCCTGACCAAAAGTTCTTGCGTCAACAGGTCTGCTCAGATTCCTTGAAAAGTTAAAAGAAGATCCCGGACTGATGAAAAACATTATAACTTGCGACGAAATATGGATTTTTCAATACGATGTTGAAACAAAGCGACAATCGATGCATTGGAAGACACCTGAATCGCCCAGAATCAAAAAAGCAAGGATGTCCAAATCCAAATTTAAGGCAATGTTGATCGTTTTTTTTGACATTAACGGTATCGTGATGACTGAATGGGTTCCAGAGGGTCAGACTGTCAACCAGATTTACTATTTATCAGTTTTGGCAACACTGCGAGAAAGAGTTCGTAAGAAACGGCCCGAGTTGTGGAAGAACAACTCGTGGATTTTGCACCAGGACAACGCACCTGCCCATAACGCACCTGCCCATAACGCGCTATCTGTGAAGCAGTATTTGGCCGGTAAGCGCACTCCAGTGCTCGAACACGCACCGTACTCACCAAATTTGGCACCGTGCGACTTTTTTTTGTTTCCAAAGATAAAATCTGCTTTGAAAGGGACCCGATTTGAGTCGATGGAAGCGGTAAAGCAAAAAACGGCAGAGCTCCTAAAGGCCCTCACCAAAGAAGACTTCCAGCACTGCTTTGATCAATGGAAAAAACGTATGGAAAGGTGTGTGGCGAGGGGAGAGGAGTATATTGAAGGGGAGCATTTGAATGTAGAATAATTTTTATAATAAAACACTTTTTCGTAACCAGTCTCGTTGTTTAATAGCCACACCTCGTATTCGTATTCATATAACATCAGGTATAATAAATATTTTTTATCAAGCGCAATGATAATTAATTTACAGATTTTAAGTACCAGTGCACAGCTATATCAAACATGAAATTAGTGCAATGCTGAAGAGAAAAAAAACGGCTTTTTGTCTCAAAGTATATATTTTAATCCAATTGACCGGCTCTTTATCGGCTCTTTACTTATACTAGCCTACTCTTTGTCGTTTCATAATTGATTATAAACTTTTTCTTTTTTTTTTTCTTTTTTTTTTTTACGTCAGGCATTTAAAAAAAAAAATAATAATAATAGTTTTAAAATTAACATGGAACAATAAAAGGTTAAACAAAAGTTTTCATTAAAAAGAAAGTTACGACAACGATATTGTACAGTTATGACTGTAGCCCGTATTACGGTAAGTTATATCGAAGTTGTAATTGTACTAAAAGCCCGGAAGGAAATAAGATAAATGTAATATAAAACTATTTTTTTTTCAAATATGATACCTATACGGAATAAATTTTAATTTACTACTTATAGTATGCACTTATTGTTAAGCGTATATTCAGTATATTTTTTTTCCTTTATCCGTTATTTACTTACTTTAATTTCAAGGATGTAAAACTAAAACATCCTAACGCTTATATTATATTATATACCTACAATACTAATAATGACAAAATATCTATATCTGAATGTTTATCAACTATGTAATATTAAATACTTTATGATAAAATATGAGCGGTCAAACATTTTTCCCTTCGATATTTGTAATAGATAATATATTTTATAAGACGTATGCTTATTACTTTGTAATCTATAATAACAAAATTGTTGATAATAATAATTGTTAAAAAAAAAATCAGTCCCTCCTCACCCTCTCACCCTAATGACAAAAACCATTTGACCGTTAATGTGGTAAAATTAATTGCCTTATCATAAAAATAGTATTTATAATTTGAAAACGTTACGATATTATATAGTAATATGTGGAAAGAGATTCAGCAAATATTTTAGCCACCGCCCGGAAATTGATTCCATAAAATAAGATATAATTATATTTTGTTTTGAAATATTTTGGTCAATAGAGATTCTACTGTCTCGTTATCTGTCTATAAATACTAACCTCACTAATGTTATTTTCATTGGACCCATTTTGTTTTTATCACGAAATTGTATAACATTGTATTTAAATGCACACAAAACTATCGACATACTTCGTACCATTTAGGTAGATCACTGTCGTATGTAGAAAGAAAGCTGAGAACCTATATGATATTATAACGAGTGATTTAATTTATATCCTTAGGCAATAATAAAACGTCGTAGCCAATTAAAAATTATTCTGAACGAAGTTTGGTTCATCGCATTTTTGATAAATTATAATTGGAAAATGTATCAATTCGTAATTATACGAATAAATTACGATTGTTCGTGTTTTTAACGAAGTTTCACATAGATTTTAATTTGAAACAAGCTTATAAAAATAATAATACAATATATTTATATCTATAAAACCTAAAACAAAAAAACCAAAAACCCTAATTACAATATTATTATGCACATTTTCCCTTAGAGTGTCGTTGCATAAATTTCCCGGTCCTTTAATGGACTACACAAACATTTGCCCTAACAAAACCTTCCTCCTCACCCTCTACCCAAATAAGGGCTATATTCTGATGGATCCACGACCTTAATGTTATATTAATATATTGTCATCGCTGGGTATAGACTTTCGGGCGAATCGAGGGCGATTAAAAGTACCTAAATCCCGGTCGAAACCGAGGGCTTAAACGAGAAATTTACGTGGGTAGTTATACGACCTACCCAACTATCTAATTTCCAAGAAGAGATAGTTTATAATGTAAGGATACTATAATAACCCGTACGCCTCTCACTAGTTGCGCGAACGTTCAAGCCTGACAGCGTTCAAATAAATCGACCGTATTGTAGGTACGGCGTATATTATGGTACTTAGTTTATTTAAACGGAGTTTTTATCGCGTTTTCGTAATCCAAATAATATCAAAAGTGCACGTACGATTTCGCGAAATACACGGGAATTGGATACCGATACTTTCCCTCTGTGTCAGTATCGCATACCCATACGTATAGTACCTATATGTATATATATACGACATATTTGGTCCGATTTTTCTTCAACCCGTCCGACCGACGTACGCGATAATGAAAACTCTAAAATGTCTACACTCGAGTTCAGCTTAAATCGTAGGCGAGACAGTCGGGCGAATGTTTTTTTTTTTTTTTTTTTTTAACAAATTTTGAACGTGAAAACCTTGCGTTGAGAAATCGTTTCACGTCGAAACGAATTCGAATTAACGGCGTACATTGAAAACCAAACGACAACACACGACTTCGTGGAAATAACACGACGACACGTTCGTTTGATTGAATATTAATTTTTACGTAAAAAAAAAAGTTACGGGATTTTTATTTTTCCATTGTGAAAAAGGCCACTTGATATTCGAGATAGCGATGACCGTCTCGTATTCTAGTAAATTAAAATAAATATTATTATTTTTTTTTTTTTTTTTACATTTTCATAATGATCACGAATAAAAAAAAAATGTCTAACATCACACTGCGCACGGTATGCGTGTTCTGTCATTTACGTTAACGTGTTGTTGAATAAATTTCGCGTTTACGTATTATAATTATACGCAGACGTATTATTTGATTTAAAGACCCGGGTAAATTTATAAATGTTCACGAAAGTGAATATTTTCGATAAATAATTTTGTGACAATACGCAACCCGTTACCTATATAAGTACATAATATAATGTTATGATATTATAATGATGACGACGTGAAATTCGACAAAAAAAAAATAATGACGACTGTTACCTATCACTATATTTTTCGTATTATTATTGCTTTTATTATTATTGTTATTATTATTGCACACTTCACGTAGTTGAATGTTTTTAAATCCGTTTTCTTGTAAGCCTTGTGTATCGTTTCGCTTTGATAATATGCACTTCGTCGATCGAATGAAAATTATCTACGTCGAGTACCTGTACATATTATTATTATCATTGTAATGTGTGTCGAACGAAAAAAGAAAATATCAGTATCCAATTCGTATGATTTACAACATGTGCAGGTATATAGTATTATAATATCGAGAGTTTGCGTGTTATTTAAATACGCGTTTAGGTGTCGCGATAATCGCGTAAGTACACAGCGTATATTATACGTACGTCATGTGTGCAAACAGAAAACGTATAAAATTTCATCGTTATTTAAGTAGGGCAACGTCTCAACCATTATGTTATTAGGTACCTACCTGTTTACCCGCGAAGATTTTAATCCGTGTATGCATAATGCATGCGTAGGTACGCGCAAGTTCGACAGAGGGCCGTATTTACACTGTTCATGCCCTGGGTCAACCATATTTGTGTACAGCCTCCCTCCAATTAAAATAAATACAAATTATAATAATTCTTCACCTTTTTTTATTGTTATATCATACAGATAATAATATTAATATTTTAAAATACGGCGTCATAATAATGTGTACATGTTACGGGCAAAATAAGAAGTCGGACATTGTGTACAGTGCTCGGGCACTGTGTACAATGTCCAATTTTCGAGAGCAAAGTTGTAATAAGTTTATATTGTCTGGGCATTGTATACAGTGCCCAACTAGATTTGGGCATTTTAGATTAAAAATTGAACATATTAAAAATTAAATAAAACATCTTACTAGGTACTTTAATAAACACAAAAACTTGCAATAGACGACTCAAATATTAAGTGTCTATTAATAGTTTTAAAAACTGTTATCCATAGAGTTATTTAATTATCAATAAAATGTAATGTTAGGTCTTAGGTAGGTATATAGTATATCTCAACAAGGTAGTCTCAATCCTAAAATATATACAATATTCGGCAAAATACAATATTTAAACATTTTTTCGTGCTTTTCACGTGAGGGATACTGTGCCCATCCTTTATACACGCCACTGATCTGAACCGCGTTCAGAATCGTATTTCGTCAGCAATGGTTTATCGTTGCTCACAGATATAAATTGAGTAACATTTATACCTAATTTGTCCCACCTATCTTACGAAGGCGGTATCCCGTCTGCAGCAATATCAAATCATTTTGAAATATATGTGTATTGTGACGACTCAGAATTTTTTCGAACCCTATCTCAAGCGGCTAGGGCAAATATTCCTTCCCTGAATGCAAGAACCTGGTCCGATATTGTACTATTAATATTTTACTTCAGTATATTATCGAGTTCAAAAAATAAAAATTATTATTTTATTAAATGTATTAACTAATAAGCGAGATTTTCGTTTAAATTTGATTTCAAAACACTTATTAAAAAAAAAATCGTCCGATGATTTCGAAAATTTTACCGCGTTTAGGTAAGTTATGTACAAGTATTATTATCAAGTTTCCAGTCTCTATGTGTAATACACATTGTGTATTTATAACCGAATTACAGCAAAAAAAAACCTAAAAATTAAAATTCCTTAAAAGCTCAAAAGTTTTGACAATGATATCGAAGAAAGTAAATCAAAAAGGCAACAACAAAGGTATCTTGTGGTTTTTCGATCAAATCATTTTTTTCTGATGGAAAACGTCGTCTGCGTTTTTATAAAATAATGAAATCGTTAAATTGTACGTTTTCCTACTTGTTTATCCACTTAAGCTCTTTATTTAAAAAATGACCTCTTTAAAGTACAATCTAGACAATTCGAGCTTTCATAAAAGTTGCTACACGTAAAAATCGGAATAAATTTACTAGTAAAAACGTATCCACAGACTAGAACAAAGGCAAACAAGAAAAACAAGAAGAAAAAAAATAGACAGCATTGTAATACCAATAGCTCCCTCGCTACGTTTGGAATCTAAAATGTATATATTTTAAATACATATTTCATTAGCGTGATATATTTGGAACGCAAAATAATACATTATTCATTCCATTATCGTTTAGATTCCGGTTATTTTGATATAGATCTACCCACATAATCAAAAAATAATTATATTCTCGGGATTTTTTATTTCATTTTTCCGCGATTTTAAAATATATTATTTATGTGCTCGTATACAATAGTAATACACGTAATAGGTCGGTCGTGTTTTCAATATTATTTTTAAATACATACAAATACGAATAATATTAATAATTGTTCAAAACATTATAATAATGTAATTATATTTTGTTATTATTATATTCCGTTATTTATTACTTTATACTATTATTTCTATATAATATTCGAAACATACTGAAATCGCTTTGGACGGTAACCAGATTTTCATTTTTTTTTTTTTTCGCAGTATATAACGTTGAAAATATATACTGCGACGATGATAATAGGATCGGGGACCGATTGTGAATTTGTATGCGAAAATGTTAATTCGAATATAGTTTTCGAGTAGATATAAATGTTGGTTTTATTTTTTCAAATGGGTATTTCGTCAAAATTGCCTTGGATATCGGTTGGTTTATAGTGTGACCTCGAGTTCTAATAATTTCGAAAAAAAAAAAATAACAATAATAAAAAATATCTCTACCGTCGATGTAAATTAGGTCAGAACGACTTTTTGAGTGTATTGAATTATTATTGTTAGGCGCCTATATATATATAAAAAAAAAAAAAAAAATGCTCGTATATGGCTTGCCAATTACACCATAACGGTAATAACGCAAATAGAACCAAAAGAGGCCTATAATTAGTGAGATTTTGATTACCGAAATGCTATTTTTAAACAAGTTAAAGTTTTTAATATTATTTATATTTACATATTTAACTTTAGTCGCACTTTGTACTGTATATATATATATATATGTTTTGTTTTATCCCCTGACAAGTATATTAAACAATTATATACGCATATAGTTATTATATAATAATATTCTTCGAAATATATAGGTACTTAAACTAATTGACTTTTTTTAAATACTGTTTTTTTTTCCTTTATTTATATATATGTATAGGTTATTATCATAATACAATATTTCATACGTGTGGGTGTAAATCTATTTCCAAGTAAATGAAATTATAACGTACCTAGGTAAGTACGTTTTTTTTCTTTTTTTTTTCGCAGCTAGCCAAACAAAATAATAATAATATACTATTACTATATATATTATACTAATATAATAATATTAATAGATTTTGACGAGTAGATTAAGCCTTATATTATTAGTATGATTATTATTATAATGGGCAATACGATTTCCGTTCTGTACAGGTACCTATAATATATCACAATAGGTACCAAATTATTATTATTATTATTGTTATTTAACGAGGCGTCAAAATTCTGTCAAATAGATTGATGGGAGGTTTGGAGGAAGGGGAGGGGGACGTGTCACAGGCCGGAGAAGCATTGAGAAACAGACGGCGCGCGTTGTGAGACACGCGAACTTATAGACGGAAATAGATAACTGACACCCTATACCTGGTATATACACGAGTATATAGGCGGAGAAAGGCCAAAGAAGAGATGGATCGTCGGAATCGCGAGAGCAGTGTATAGGTAATGGTCGGTGCCGTATACAGGGTGAGACGATACGACGACGGGCAGTAGTGGAGGTTTATATACCTAGGTATATTGTTAGTTACCGTATTATTATATAAACTGCAGCAATGATGGCCAACCGCCGCAAAAAGCTTTGGGGTAAAGGCGAGTGGAACGCAGAGAAGATCGCGAATAGTGAACCGTAAATACCTAGATAAACATTCCAGGACGGGAAGAAAAAAAAAATATATGACGTGTATACCTACTACGCGGTATAGAGTTCGGATGTGGTAACCTTATATTGAACAATAAAAAAAAGCGCTGAAAATCCTACAGAAATAAAGATAAAAAAAACACCGAAAATCTTAAATAAGGAAAAACCATCGCTACATAATAATAATAATTTTACTTACTACGCGACGAAAATAATACTCGCAGTTTAGCGTCCGGAATCCGGATCGTATCGATTGAAAACAATACCCGAATGTATTACATTTCAAATTCGAATTCGAATGTTTTATTCCATATATTTATGGACTAGAAATAATATTTTGTAGTATCTATTTTTATAAGATATATCCGTATAGGTAATACATACGTAGGTAAAAGAACGTAAGTGAATATATTATTATAATATGTATTTTATAATTTTGATACGAGCATTATAATTTATCACTAAACTCTAAAGTGTTAATTGAAAATTTCGAATTCATGAACGGTTTAAAGTTCAAAATAAGTATTCGTATATGTAGTTCAGCAAGTACGACGATAAATATTTACCCCTCCCCCTTGGCGGTCACGTAGTCGATAAATCCTAGTGGGACACCGTATACGATATTATACATAAAATTATATCGGTAGTATTACGCAAATTAAATTTTAAGTTTTCATTTTACAGTATTCCTTCAGGCAATTAATAAAACATTTACAACTAAACGTACGGTATAATAACGGATACGTAAACCTATGTACCTATCCGTATTATTTAATATTGTAATATTGTGGAATTTTGCGTGTAACTTGATAAAATTTCATTTGCCGATAATGCAAATTAATAATATCTTGGTTTGCATTACGTATACATATATAATATTGTATGCACGGGAGATCGTGGATTTGTATGTTTACTGCAAACACTTTAAAAAACTCTTTTTTAGTGAAATGCAATAGGTACTATAAAAAATTTGGAACTACCGGCCGGTAGGTATTTTATTTGAGACATTTATTAAAATTTCCAAAACTTCACTAATTTTTGTGGGTTTTGACAATATTTTGACAGTAATATTATGATGAGCATGTGAACAATTAACGGAGATTTTTTGGTGAAAAATATGACACTATACCATTGGGTTATTAAATTTGTCCTACACTGCCAACAGCAGTATACATTTTGTGTACAGTGACTCACAGAATTCTAACAAATTCAATAAATTTTGTTATTTTCGGTATTTTAAAAAATAAATGCATATTATAAAAATTACTGAAGCATTACACTATGAACTTCTGTTTTATATATTTTTTTAAATTTTTAAAAATCGATTTTTGAAGTATACGATAATTTATATTGTTCATTGCCACTAGGTACTAAATAATATCAAATATTGCCATGAAAAATGATTGTGTTAATAATTTGTTTAAACTTCAAAAAAAACGTAGAAACTAAACGATTCGTCATTATAGTAAATATTTTATTTCAAAATATATTTATAAAATGGCTATCTTAGATTTTGTAAAAACAATTTTTTATTATTAGTTTTAAAACAAGTATAAAACAGTGAAATCATAGCGCAAGCTTTCTTAATTATTATAAGAAAAACGTAGGTACTTAAAATATTAAACACAACAAAAGTTATTGCAATCATCAGTCCTTCGTAAGATATCAAGTACTCACTCAAGATTTATAATATTTTCTGTTTTCGTTTTTTTTTTTTCTTATAATACGGAAAGTATTACGACTTACGTTTTCATGTACACGATATTGGTACGTATTATAAAAAGCCGGCTTACTTACCATAAATATTTATAACTAAATTAATATTACGGTTTAACCCCGGACACGAAAATAAATAAACCTTTATAATATTTTATATAATATAATATATAGTATCTATATACTGCGTCTGTAAAATAACAAAAATTAAAAAATGTTTCACTTAATTTTGGATGAACCAATGTTTTCGGTTTATAAGGACACGAATTACCTATTATACTGTTTTATTTCATTATTATTATTTTTTTTAAATCAAATAACACTTTTCTGTCAACAGATTTCGTCGGAACAACATAACCACTAAAGACCACTTTCTGCAGTAAATTGTAATTTTTTTTTACTGCCTTTAAAAACTTGCCGGATGAACGTCGAGATTGTTTCCGAAATTAAGTGTTTTCCAAGGTAACCAAAACTTCAAGCTGGATTTTCTTCTTATATTATTATTAAATGGATTTCGAAAACTAAGGTAATTATTTCTTATAAATATTCTATGATTATATGCTATACTTGTTACCTGTCAATTTGTAATTTTGTAATTAATATAAGAAAAATACAATTTGTTTTCTAATACCCTCTCATATTCTTAACTAAGAGCTAGTTTGAAAAGCAATAAATATTTAGATTCTACACCCTTATAAATATGTAAATTTATGTAAAATATGCTTATTATGTGAAAATTATAATAGACGTTCTACTTACCCCTACCCTCCACAATGTGAAACTAATGTTTAGAAAATTGCAATTTTCAGATTTTTCTCATTACTTACACCTACTTCTGTGCCAAATTTCAAGTATCTACCTATACGGAAAGTGGATTATTACAATTTCGATAATGAGTGAATGAGTTACAAAAATGCAAAATTTTAATCAGTTTAATAGTAGGCACTCATTTTTTAATAGTGACTTAAGCTACTTGAAAAAATCGTATAAGGCAAGCTGATGTGAGGAGAGGGGGAGGAAAATTAGAGCACCCCGAGATTCGGTTCGGCATACATTTTTCTAGCTCCTCATGTAAAGTATTAAAATATGGAAACTTTAAAAAGAAACAGTAGGTATACGGTTAAAAATCTAATCTTATTTCTAATTATCATAATATATTATAATTTATAACAATATTATATCGTAGGTTTGAGATAATTTTCACTTTTATAATTTTTGGAATTAATTGTTTAAAAAAACAAGTCTTAAAGTGTTATATAAGTTTTATACTTCCGTAACTACTTAGTTTCGGTATAATACCATCATCAAGTTACTGATTGCATTGTATTACGTTCATATTAAATTGTAATGTTACATAAAAATTTGAAAACAAAAATAAACAGTGAACAGTTATTGTACTTGATAAATAGTAATAAATATTATATAATGCAACATTGGTCTAAAATATGCTAATAGTTGTATGTAGGGATAGTTGGAATCATTAGTTATTATAGCATTCGTTTGTGTAGGTTTTATATAAATATTAAATTAAAATTTATTACTCATAATTTTAATGTTTAGGCCAAAAAGTTTAATTGATTATTATTTGTATTTCAATAGTGAATTGTATATGTTTGTTAATTTTATTTAATTTATCAACCATATTTTGTGCTTGTCTAGGTGTGCCTTTAAATATAATAAAAGTATCATCTAAATATCTATGATATTGTTTAATATTGGGATTTTTTATAAAGTGTTTATTTTTATAGTTTCGTATGTATATTTCTGAAGAGAAGAACACTTAATGAACTGCTCATAACTATTGAGCCTTCTGATTGTGAGTAAACTCTATTATTATAACTAAAATAATTTTGGTTAACGATAGTTACAACAATTGTTATAGTTTCGTTGATTTCTTTAATGTTTATTTTTTTTTAGTGAAGTTAAATTATCTTTTAAAATTGGTATTGTTTCTAATTTGAGAATAGAAATGTATATGTTTTTGATATCTAATGAAATCACTTTACAGCCTTGTGGTATACAATAATTTTAGTTTCCAAACGTAGCGAGGGAGCTATTGGTTTTACTAAGATGTCTATTTTTTTTTTCTCTTTCTTTGTTCTAGTCTGTGAAAACGTTTTTTCTTATTAAACTTGCTTATTCCGATTTTTACGTGTAGGAACTTTTCTGAAAGCTCAAATTGTCTAGATTGTATTTTAAAGAGGTCATTTTTCAAATAAAAGAGCTTAAGTAAATAAAAAAGAAGAAAAACATACAATTTAACGATTTCATTATTTTATAAAATCACAGACGACGTTTTCCATCAGAAAAAATGATTTGATCAAAAAATCACAAAATACCTTTGTTGTTACTTTTTTGATTTACTTTCTTATGGTATCATTGCCAAAACTTTTGAGCTTTTAAGAAATTTTAATTTTTAGGGGTTTTTTTGATGTAATTTAATTGTATTAATAAATACACGTAGATACTTTAAACTTGGTAATAATACTTAAATTGGACTTATCTAGACGTGGAAAAACTTTCAAAATCATCGGACGATTTTTTTTTTTTTTAATAAGTATTTTGAAATCAAATTTAAACGAAAATCTAAAAAAAAATTACGGCACTTCAAATTAGGTATTACCGAACTGCGCTCGGAATCGTCTTTCGTCAAGCAATGGTTTATCGTTGCTTACAGTTATAAATGAAATAACTTTATGCATCCTACCTTCCCAACATTTCATCTACAACAGTGGTCGCTACCATCCCCAGTATCAGTACTTTTTTTTAAATATTATTAATTAAATTTTATATATTTTTTATAGAATGTATGTTATTTATATTGAAGTTGATTTTTATATATTTATATTAGTTTATATTAGTTTTGTTAGTTTGTATAAAGAGGAAGTTTTGAAATTTACTAGAAGCCTTAGTGGACAATCTTACTCGTATAGTTTAATAAATGGATGTAATTGTAGAGCTTGTATAATTTTATTATAATTCTTGTTTATTTCTTTGAAAATATAATAAGCTCTCATAAACAGGTTCGTGAATATTGTTATTGTATACTAACTAAATACAGTATATTAATACTGTATTAAATCGTTTAAAATTTACTTTAAATATACGTGAACGCAATTTTAAAACGTATTGAATATATAAAATAACATCTTACGATAATGGGGTTGGGTGCAGCTGCTCTTATAGGTAATTTAATATATACCTGTGAGCAACGATAAACCATTGGTTACAAAAAAAAAACGATTCTGAGCGGAGTTCTGTTGATAGAGATGCTTTGCCAATAATATATGTCATATTATAATAAAATAATTAAATAGACTTTCTATATTCTCTGTAATAATATTTGATTGATGTTGTACTAATTTTCCTATTTTTCCAACGTTTTTTTGGTTTTCCAATGTTTTATCCTAGGTTTTCACATTTACCTAGAAAAATCTTGAGAAACTCGAAAAATGACCTCCTCAAAGTACCTTCCTAGTGACATTTTCTTTTAGAAACGTTGCTATCATTATAAATGGAGAAAAATTGTTGGTTGAAAAGTTGTGCATTGGGAAAAAAATCTTAATACTTTAGTAATATATTTCATACATTTTCCCGTTTTTTTTTTCGATTTTTCAAACCTGATGAGAAAACTCTTGAGAAAATCGAAAAATGACCTATTCAAGGTACCTCTCCACACTAATTTCCTTTCAGAAAAGATGCTACACTTAAAAATCTGAGCAAGTCTTCTGGTAGAAAAGTTGCACACAGATATAAAAAAAAATATAAACATCTTTGTGAAACCATAAGTTTCTTCTCTCCACTCAGAATCTAAAATACACGTGTAAAATTAGCTGAACAATAATTGTTGTTCTTGTAAAATTTAATTGGATTTGATATAAATAGAGTGAGAAATATGTATTTATACAACTTTCACTTTATAAACTTAACAGGGACAAGTTTCTGATTACATTTTTTTTTTGCATTACAATTTTAATAACACGATATTTATTTTAAGACGCAGAACTTTATATGGTTTTATGAATATAACATATTCAACCGATAAAAATAAATGTTTGAAAATACATTTATAATTGAAATACGTATATTTTTTTTCGCATTTTATTTAATAATAATATTCTAGTACTACCTACGTCATATTGAAATATTAACGTTAAAAAAAAATACGATAATTACAAGCCAACGAAATAGTGTATATATATTTTAACATATTGTTTAGTTTTATAACAATTTTGAAGGGTATATGAGTAAATGACTGTATCAAAAATCGAAGTTTGTGTTTGGAGTGATATTGTTAGTACCTACATGTTTTATAGGCGATTGCTTAAACTGCAGTGAGTTTGTATAAACCGTCAAACAATATAAATATAATAACTAATAAAAGAGGGGAACCTCATTTTATGACTCAATTCTAATAGTCTACTATGTAAACTCCGCGTGGGTATAATAACTAATACTGTAATATTATAGTTCACTTTATCACTACTTCTATGTAATTGATTTATGTATATAGATAGGTAATATAAAACCCCAGTATGGTACATCCCAGGAAACGCTTATAAAAACAGTTGTGCACCATGAAACAATTTAATCATATACATGCATAACTATATCTGATTTTTTCATATTATAATATTGTTTACTATTATACTATATAGGCTCTTTAGGTCGGACGTGTAATCTTTATCATCTTATACCTATAGCTATGTTTCCATTGCGACGTGTACCTGCTCGTGCAATCATGCAATATGATTGGTTAATATTGATTTGGTTAGTGGTGCAACCAAGATTAACTTTTGGGAGAAGTGGTTTTAAATTTAAAAAAAGTTTTTACTGCTCACGGGTAGGCTACTGTTCCAGGTGGGTACTTAGAAAATTATAGGTCCCTATAAGATAGACCTACAAGATAATCTTGTTTATATATTGTGCGCAACACTAAACCAATGCAAAAGAACGATTCTGAGTGAAATATTAATGTAGTATATTAATCGTATTTATCCCCTTCTTGCAAAGGTAACCCACAAATCAATCAAACCAAAAGACATAGAATAAAAATAACTGCTAAAAATATCAAAAAAAATTTTTCAAATAAAGTACTATCGGGCAAAATACCGCATCTAATTATGATACCATCCGAAAATAATGTGAACAATTTGGAGTATTTTTACTTGCAAAAAAGGTGTGTTACCTGCCTCTAATTTTTAAGAAATAGATACTGTTATTATTCCGAGCAATATAAATTATTACTTAGGACTTGTAAAAAAAAACCTAAATTACAAGGGGATAATTATAACCCACAATCTCCCCCCCCCCAATGGTTGTACCAGTGGATTTGGTCAGTGCGGTAAATATTTGGTAGTTTAATCGGACGACTGCCGGAATTTACCATGAAGTAGGATTCGTTTCTAGTTTTTACGTGTAATTACATATTATAATTGAATAATAATCGAATACAGAATGCACGCACGCGTCGCCAGTGGTAACGGCCAGCTTATGTTTGAAGAAGAATTTTTTTTCACGCGGTCATTTTTGTACGCGGAAAAAACGTTCGAACAGAACGTCATTATTAGATCCTCTGCGTAGAGAACTAAAATTTTATGTATATTTTCTAAATTACAGTTATTTTAGATGAACCTATACATTCGCGCGCGTTACGTTCTGCGGGCCTTTTGGCTCGGCGGCGGCGGCGGCGGTCAATCTTGATTGTGTCCTATTGTGCGCCAGCAATTGATTCCGCCGTCGTCACCCCGTACAAAGACGGCGACGCAAAACAACTGCAGATTTGTAATTGCACGCGATTATTTCGGTACCCGTATACTGGAAATATTCTTAATGGCTTTTCGACGTCGTAGTCGGTTCGAATTGCATACCTAATCGTCAATTATTATCGTAGAAGGCGCGCGGTTCTATCGTACCGGCAAGAAATTCGGAAATTTAAAATACCCGCCGCGGTGCGCTGACGGATGGCTCCAGACGGGCGATGGATACTCGCGGTGGTGCATACGTCGTGCCGTCATCTCGCACCTCATTTCGCATTAAATCGACGCCGAAAGTTCACCGCGCAATAACAATAACCCGGCCCGAGTCATCCGAACGAATTTAATACGATATTATGGTAATGTAATTCGATCGCTATTAAACCTGTACACACGGGTTCATTTCGTATAGGTATATACTCGATCGCAAAACGTGAAACGATTTTGCCCTGTTTGATTTCGGTGCGCGTACACAAACCGAGACGCAGACCGCAGGCCTCTAACCCCCGTCGCTCATTATTATACACCCGATATGTGCGTATCAACAAACTAGTGCGTATTATATTATCTCTGATTCCTCGTTTGACACGAAAACACTCAATCCACCACTGTTTATTACCTGAAACCGATACTGCTCTGAGAAATTCATAGTGCCCGGATGACCTAATGTAAAGGTGTAAACTCGAAATGCCTATTCGATGGATAAACCGCTACGAGTTAATAGACAAAGGGGAAACCATGATCGACGGAATCCAATAGTCAACGCGTTTTCCCAGTAAGACACAGACGAGAGGTCGTAGAAATTCTATGGATACCGGGTGAATCGTAACAATTAAGCGACCAAGTTTTATTTCGTGTATGGGGAATGATTTTAATATAATATACGCATCTACACCCGCAGTAGTGTAGTAGTAGTATTCCGGTTTAAAACATTAATATACAAAATATGTTTACATGTATACATAAAAAAAAAATACATATTAGGCATATCCATATAGGCAATTGAGTGTAGTATCCGTGAAGCTGTGTTAAAATAAAAAATAATCATTACACATCTGCACGACGTAGCGCCACTATGCTAACTCGACTATATTGTCGTATTATTAAAAACGATTTTAATTTACCGTGTTTTGACCACACACATCTCCCAACCTTTCCATTTAAAAAATCCTCAGTGGGTTACGCCTAGCTAAACACAACTGCAAAAAGAAACCCAGTAATAGAATGAGAATTTTTAATTTTCGCGTGCTACAGTGAATTTTGTCGAAAAACCGGTGTCCAAATTCATTTTTAAAATTGTCTTACGAAAATTTCTCAAGTAAATAATAGGTGCGGAAAATATGCATCTTTTTAGGTACCATGTGATTCGGATGAATTTGCATTATTCAAAAAAGTGTTTTCCGAGAAAAAACGCATATTATTAATATCTCTATACCCAGAATCCAATAGACATTACAATGTACATAAAATGTAATATGCGTGTGTGTGCGTGCGAGTTCTTCATAAAATAAAAACGGCTGTCATAGAGTCAATAATATAAAATTAATGGCAAAGAATCTAACTCACCTGATATATACCCTTTATTTATAAAACACATACACATATAATAATATCACACAGGAAACGAGACATTTTTAACGCGGACGTAAATAAATATTATAAAATAGTAAAATTTAATATTCCCTTCGGTTTCCAATATAATAAATAATATCATACATTCAGTACCTACGTCTTCTATGTACACGGATAGCAAATAACGTATTATCCAATAAAAAAAAAAAAAAAAAAATTATAATAATAATAATGTGCGACCAAAAGTGAACTAACGTTACACAATACGTTTGAAAAGGTATTTTTGGGTCTTTCCATTTGACTTTGGGTATGATCTGGTATAACAAATGATATACCTATCCGTATTAAATGAATAGGTAGCTTTCAAAATTCAATCGTATAATATTTTTAAATTTATTTAATATGCCAATCATATTATTATATTTTAATATATAAACCTAAATCGTAATAAAATTGTCAATGAAACTAACTGTCTAAAACTATGAACAGTATATTTAATCGGTTTTTCGATTTGTATACAAACGATTGAAACTTATAACATTATTATAATATTCAATAGTCTAATAAGTATATTAGTATATAAGTATGTTCGAATCTAACTACTATGTAGACAAATATCCGAGACAAACAAGATAATAATAAACACTATTCTATAATAATTTTTATGTCATTAGTTTAAGTATTTTTTATTTTCGTCGTTTCATCTAAAATAGAGTGCGTTATTTATTTGTACGGTACAAATTTGATTTTATAAGTATAAACTATACGATTTTTTTTTGTATTATTTAATTACTTGAGTGCGGATTTATATGCATTAAAAATCGACCAAATATACGCTAAAATATCTTAAATATGTATAACTATATGCACTAAAATGTTAAAATATACATGACAAATAAAAAATATGCATTGACAAATTTTTTTTTTTGGAACATTTAATTAAAATAATAGGTTTAAAATTATGGAACCCTACTATAAATAATTTTTTTCATTTTTTGCTTCACTTTCATCATTTTGTAGGTAATTTTTATGTATAAGACTCTCGATAACGACGATTTATCTTCCGGCATTTTGATAAAAATAAAGTAATAAAAACGCGATTCACCACAGAAAGCACACACGAACGCACGGTAAATATTTTAACGTGACTGAAATAATGTCAATGGTCGTAATCGATATTTTCTTATCTTGATATACGTATTTTATTTCACCGATTATTGACCTGAGGTCATATTTGAGAAAACCGTTTGTACCTACAAGTACACCGATTAATTTATTTTGATATTAATCAAAATTATAAAAATATTTTTATTTTTTCTTATATTACAATAGTATATATTTCAAAAATGTCTAGAAAAAAAAAAACAAAAAAAAATACCGAAATATGCACTAAAAGACGAAATACGCAATTAAAATTATAAAATAATCCCTTAAAATGTAAAAAAATGGATGAATGTCGAAATATACAAAAATATGCACTAAACAAGTTTCATTTTTTAAATCGTTGAAACACATTTTGTGTTCACTTAGCATGTCATACGATCAACCAGAATAATTATGCGAATGCATACAAATCCGCGCTCTAATAATTACATTAGATTATAACTTCAATTCACGTTAAACATTTTAAAAATGAAAAACGATAATTCCAAACTTGTCGTCGGCATATTGTTTGTTCGAAGGTTCGGATTTATAATGACAGTCTCAAAAACTATACAGGGCAACAGATTTTAACGAACGTTACCTACATCGACGGAACACTATTTCCTAATGTTTTGTGGATAGCCGATGGCTGTACAAATAAATTCGAAAAAAAAAAATAGTAATAATTATAAACAGCTAACGATCTTCAAATTTTTTTCGTGGACAGCTGAGTACGGTTTTTTATGCTTAACATGCAAAATGGACAAAATAGGATTTCGCGAAATTAATTGGGTTAGTTTCCGCAAGATATTCCAAGACATCGATCATATTATATTCTCACTTCATCATGAAGTTTTTTTCATCAGTTTTTGTTTAAATTATTACAACGCAATGCATATCAATGAAAATCCTTTTTTTGATGATGAACTCCCCCAAACCCCTGTTACTTACGCCCAAGGTTCAAGCAAAAACGATTATGGGCCATCCCCAGTACAAAATCCTGGTTGTGTCACTGATTAGTGATTACGTACTTATACCTACAAGGACAAAACTCTATTCAGTAATTGTATGTTCCTATAGCCGTATGTATTAATAAATTGATCTATACCTACGTTAATTCTACAACTCGCGGAACGATTTATTTGTTGACCAACAATCGTAAATTGCATCGCGACTTTTCTTGGAAAACAAAATTGAGTTGTTTAAACGATTTTAACTACATATGAAAAACGACGAAAATTCGACTGAATCGAGCATGTGTCAAAACTTTTAAACAATTCATTTTTGAAACCATCGCGAAACTAATAAGTTTCGAGTGGACATATACCGGGGGTTATTTTTCATAAATAAATGAGAGATGTTTTCTGAGCCGTGTGTGAAAACATTTTCATTTTTAATACAATTTATAAGTTTTATGACGTTTTTAAATTCATATCGATTTATAAAACACCCTTTAGTATGAGGAGTTAATCCTTGTGAGAGAGAACCCATGGTACCTGTTGTAAGAGACAACAAATAGTATTGCGTCAGGTCAACAGCCAGTGTAAAAAAACTACCGATAGTTGAATGCCATTGAAATCGGTATGAGATCACTTAAGGACAGCCAGTGTATGCGAGATGGGAGATCAAGCCAAGTGGAAGTTTAGAACCAGAGTGACCGACGGGACTGACCTCAAATGATGAAGACAAAGGAGAAAAAAAATAAGTACAATCTATCGGTCAGTATAAAATCCGGAAAACAATTTCGGAGAATTTAATTCAGTGAACTTCAGAGAGACACTACTAATTTTCATTATAATTTATTATTTTTTTAGAATGATAAAATACATCAAAACAACCGAGATGCCTAATAAAACAAATAATTTCCTAAGAAACACATGATGCCCTCAATAATCCATCCTCTGACTATTGTACTGGGCACGACTTACATTCAAGTCGGTAATCAATTATTATCTGTATCACTGTGCACTCTTTTTCTATACAATATGTAATTGGGTTATTTAACCCGTTTAACTATTTAAATAAATAAATAAATAAATAAATAATATACGATATTTTAATAGATCAACAATTTAAATAGTATTAGAGATGATAACTTATATACAAATTTAAAAAAAAAAAAACATTTTTGTAAAACTAAAATAACGAGAAAAGAAGAGCAAACATTATTTAAATTCTAACTGCACGCATTTATTACGCGGACAATTTATTAAACTAATGGAAATGGATTGTCGCATTTTGAATTATATAAGAAGAACATAATGCATCTATTGGTACTATATTATAGTATAGTACCTACCTATTATATACATTATACAGATATGAACTTAGCTTGGTTAGTATACAGATACAGATCAGCTATCTTATTATTTTTATTATTATTGTATTATAAATTAATTATGGTGAAATAAATAAATAAAAAAACAAAATAAAAATATGTACGCACATATATTTGCATGAGTAGCGTAATGAAATTAAAAAGCAAACATCTACGAAAAATAAAACATATAATATAGGTTTCTGGGTCAGTGTTGACTTTCAAGAGTACCTATATATTTCGTCGTCATAATGATGTTCCGATCAGATTGCATTGATACCTTATACCTGTACGAGTAAATATATATACATATATAATTTTTTTTTTTCAGGTGTCTTCGTTCGACTCTGTAAGATTTAATACCTATAACAATATAATTCGATCATCGACGAAAACGAAAGTCTCGTGTAACCCCGCGGCGAATTTTGTTTCGCAGGGAATGTTTTGAAAATAACATCAATACCAACGGTATCCATACCGAAAGTATATAAAATACATTACAGCAATAATAAAATAATAGTAAATAATAATAACTACGGTAGCCTGTCGGTAACAGACGAGCGTAAGACACACGTGTTCGTGGTTTTAATTAAAGTGATAATTAAGACGGGCCCTCTGCTCATGCATAATAATATTATAATATAGGTAATATAATATATTAAGATATATTCTAGAAAATGAAATTCGATTTACGCGAGTATCGACGTTTTCGCGGGTCGACTGACTTTCGAAATGCACGAGTATTATTATTATTATATTATCGCTTCAGTTGAAGATCGCTAGGTTTTGCAGCGGCGGCGGCACAAGCGGGGGGCGGAGGGTGTCGCGAAGGCTACAAATCTAGTAGATATTTCAATATTACTTGAGAATAAAAAAAAAAAAAAAACCCAAACGATAAAGCGCTTGACGTTCACGAGAAATCCGGAAAGCTCGAGATTAAAATTCTAAATGTTATATAATATTTATTTTTACTATTTTTAGATTCTGAGTGAAGCGCAAAACTTATTGGTTTTGCTGTTATGACGTGCGCTTTTTTTTCCGTCTATGAACGACCTATATACACCGGAAATCTCGCTTTGATCATCAAATTTAGGAGTGATTTCTGGTAGCAATTTGTGTTTTGTTAGTGCGCTAAGGAAAAGGGTTGGGAATTTTTGATTTTTGTTGTATTTTCTAAATAATTAAAAAACAGGGAAAATAACGAACCCAAATTCACATAATAACGGTCTCTGTTATTTTCGATTTTGATTTTTCTTTGTAATTAGATTAGAAATAATCGTAATGTAACAACACAATTTTATTCACCTTGTTTTAAATATATATATATTATTAGGACAATTATTAATTGATTTCAGTATGATGACGTATACTTTTTTTACTGTCCGTGTTACCACTTTTCCACCAAAAATCTTACTCCAATCAAAAAATTACAAAAAACATTTTTTGTTACGTTTTGGATCTAGTTGATGCATTTAGAAGTTTTTTGATTTTACGATCGGTTTTCATAATATTTGGGAAAAAAAACGTAAAATATGAACAGATAAATTTACGTCATTAACGGTTTCATTAATATCGATAATTTTTTTTTTTTTTGTAATTTGGTTAGAAATAATTTTAAAAACCTGACATTTTCATAAAACACTTACATTAAAAGTCTAATGAAGTTATAGTAGTTCAAACTTGTCAGGATTTTTTTTTGTGCTATTTATAGGTATTGGAAATTGTCGAGTGTTTTATAGTTTTATATGGGTTTATGTGTATATAATATTGTTTGGTTAAACAACAAAGCTTAAATATTTAACACAAGGTTCATTATAAAATCGTATTTAGTAATAAACAAAACAAAAAAGTTGAGTCTAATGTAATAATTCCCCCCCCCCCAATAGCGTTTTAAGTTTAAAATATGTTGGTCAATATATTACAGTGTTTAAAAAAACACGTTTAGCCAAACATAGCTCAGAATCGTACTTCGTCACCAATAGTTTATCGCTGCATACCGATATGAACTAAATGACTTACGTGTTCTGCCATCCCAACTTCTCACCTACAATAGTGGCGCATACCCATCACCGGTATCAGCCCTTTTTTTTTCTTTTTTTTCGTGACAAATTGACGAATCGTGCAAAAAAAAGAAGTTTTCGAGATAAAAACAAATAAGTATGGGTAAGTACATTTCCACGTTAGCGTGTGAATACTAACAATTGCGTGTCGTGCACGTTAACCTCAATTTTATTACTAGGTTTTTTTCTTCAAAGTTATTTAAAAAGGTTTATTACCTGCATTGTTTTTTTTTTTTTTTTAATTTTTGTATATATATATATATATAATATGAATAAATATTATGTTTACAACCCCTTCTGGATTATTAATTCATAATCATTATTTTTGTCCTTCGTTTAGCCTTGATATTCCTTATCGATCACAGTCGACATTAAACCTCGCATCATATAATAATATCATTGCCAACAAAGCCGACGTTTTTTTTTTTTTTTTTTTTTTCGGGGTAGGTGCCTAATAATAATGACTTTTTTTTACATATAATATGTACAATAAAACATCATTATTAATATGTAGATACGTACACAATAATTAATTGAATTCAATATGTAACCTATCTATATTATTATTATTGTTGTTGTTATTATCGGTATGCTATATTATGACAATAATCATACTTATCATTGTTGAATATCGATTCGTTATCGTATAGTGTAATTTTACTATCGCAATTTCCACGGACCCCGCGACACTCGACGACTATTATAATATAACGACGCCGCGACTGTTTATCGCGTTATAATTATACCGATACTGTGATAATAATATCGGAACGATGTTATAGCTAGTTATAAAAACGTGACGCCGTATTTTGATACCTAAAAAGTACAAGTACTTAACAATATAATATAGTTATTTCGACAATATTTTTTTTTTTTTTTTATGTATAATAATTTTACAAGCATAATATAATTTTATTAGTACCCATTATTGTTATTTTAAATTTATTATCTACTTAATGGTGTATAAATACGAGTTTAAAAAAAATAAAATATTATACAATAATAATCGTGTGTGATGAAAACGGTGAAGGCTGCCGAAAAATAAATTGGACATACAAAATGGGTACCTGTATTGAAAACAAAAAAAAAATAAAAACATCGACCTAATATTACATTATAAAACATATTTTTTAAGTATTAAACGCTATCGAACAACTCGCGTAGTCAACCTATTCGTAACATTATTTCAGTATAATAATTATTGCGTTATTCCTTGGAATACATATATTATAATGTACAATATTTAGATTATTCGTGTCTATATCTATATATTTTGCTTTATTGCAAAATGTTTACTATATTAAAAGTACTATATTGAAAACGTTATAAAATCAGGGGTGGTCTAACGGGGGTGAAGGGAGATATCCCCCAATGACCTCATTTCCTTTCAAATTGTATAATAATATTATATATACATGTATATTATTATATTATCTATATATTTATTAAAAAAATCAGGTATGTTAATAATTGTTATTAAAAAATTATCCTTATTTCATTCCCTCGGCTTTCTTTAGAGGTCTGTACAGGTGTGCACGGTACAAAACCAACAAAAATAATCTCCTCCCGTAACAACATAGTGAAATTCATATTGAAACTCAACCAAAATTGTATCATTTAAATTCGCCTATAAAACAGTTCTTATTTCCGAGATTTAAGGTCATTTGATCCAGAAAAAACTGCTAAACTATAGAGTACCCATAAAATTAAAATTAAAATTAAAAAAATAGAACACTTAAAAAACGTAAGTAATAAGTAAACCTTACGATAAATATAGTATGAAAAACAAAATAAATGCTGTACATACGCATTTTTAAATACATTTTTTTTTTAATTTTTAATTTTTTTTTTAAACAAATAAAATATATTTTCACCAAAAAAAATTGTATTTTGATGTCTGTTCGTCAATTTATTTGTTTTCTGTGTACTTTTATACTGAACCAAATTGCATAGAGTAATTTATTATATTTTAATAAAATATTATAAAACTCAAAAGTAGTTTTGAAAATATGTTTTTTACAATGTTCATTGCTTATTATACCTATGCATAATACACCGTATATAATATACCCACTAAAATGTTCAAAACAATAATCCAAAAATTAAGCAGAGACTTTATTAAATAATATCGTAAAAGACAAATAAATTTTAAAAAAACGTCCTAGGATAATAGGGACGGGAGCAGCCACTGTTATAGGTAATTTAATGTATACCTGTAAGTAACGAAAAATCATTGCTTACAAAAAACGATTCTGAGCGGAGTATAGTTGATATTAATGCTTTATCAGCAATATATATATATGCTGTATTTGTTTAATGTTATATCGATTTCTCCAGTTTTCCTACGCTTTTCCTGGTTTTTCCATGTTTTTTCCCAGTTTTTCACATTTGTTGAGAAACCACCGAAGAAAATCAAAAAACGACCTCTCTAAAGTACTTCCCAGTGAAATTTCCTTTTAGAAAAATTGCTATCATTAAAATTTGGAGCAAAACTGCTGCTAACAAAATTATCCACAGAAAAAAAAAAGGCCGTAATATTTTTCACTAATACTTATATTTCTTATATTTTTCCATTTTTCTTCTGTATTATTTCGGTTTTTCACATTTGTAGAGAAAACTCTGGAGAAAATCGGAAAATGATCTGTTTAAGGTACCTCCCCATACCGATTTCCTTTCAGAAAAAGTGCTACACGTGAAAATCGGAGCAAGTTCTCTGGTAGAAAAGTTGTCCACAGAAAAAAAATATCTTTGTAAAACCATAAACTTCTTCGCTCTACTCATAATCTAAAAGTTACATATTAACAATAAACAAAAGACGGGATCAATAAGGGACAGAATTGAAATAACCGGGACAAAATGCGTCCCATATAATTTTCGGCGGGACGTATAGTCAATGGTCATTAGGCATCCTACGTTATGTCCAAAAGTAGCAAGATAAATGCACGTATTGTGTAAAATACACAACACAGAGCAATAGTTTCTATAGATCCAAGGGAAATTCGACAAAAATAAAGAGACAAACAGTTGTGCTGAGGGTAAAGGGGACGAATGACTCCAGCGGCAACATTTTATCAGATTTAGGAGAGGGGCAGTTTTGTTGAATGTATTACTTTTGTTTTCATTACAAAATGTATAATACGTTATAGAGTTATCAGTTAACATGCTGGAACACAGATTAAATTATTTGCTATGTGGTCTTTATTTGTTTACCTCTACTATAAGCCCAAGAAAAGTTGATTTATTCCCAACAAAACAATTTTTAAGGTAAAAAATCCAAAAAAGTCAATATTATAGACTGTAACAAATTTCTTTAATTGTATTTCATAGATTGATTAATCTATGATTTTAAGTTTTTTAAGTTATAGGTAATTGTTGTAAGCGCTATTGTATAAATAGACCATGAGTGATTTTATTTCGAGAACGATCGCCTTTTGTATAAACTTTTCTTAACATGTGTTGTCTACACTTTGCACCCCCAAGTAATAAGTAATATGTGATAACATATTATCATGTCAAATAATTTTAAGTTTAATGGAATATAAATGAAACGACTGATAACGTAAAAAATTTACTTATGCTATTATTCAGTACGGTTTTTTATTTGAATATAAAACACTTTGACATAATTGTAAATTGTTAAACCTTAGGATATATATTCTAAAATGTTATTCAAAACAAGCAGGAGACACGTTTATCAGTGATTGAGGGTAAGGAGGGAAGGTCTGAGGTAAAGACTATAGTGGGTGAAAATATGTGGTAGAGGAAGGATGGCAATAAAATTGTTTCACCCCGGGATGCTTATATTCTAAATGCGCCACTGGAGACAAGTCAATATTGAACGTAGGTACCTATTAAAAACAATATTGAAATTACAATGCGTCTCACTAATGTGGTGATACGAAATATTTTAGCCAGATAAACTAAAATAGAACAGAATAAAATTAATTTTTTATTTTATTTTTAGGTTGAGAGATTAGGTAAAGGGGTGAGGATTTTAAACCTCTCTCCCACTATTTCTCTCTACTAAATATTTATATGTCAGTATTCATTCTTTTCCAACTCCCAATTCACTCTTATTACAAATAATTAATAAACCCCTAACTCCCCCATCAACAAATAATTTACACCTACGCCGTTTAAAATACACATTTCGAAACGTTAATTTCCGAAGGTCGTGCGAAATAAAGGAGGAAAGCCAAAAAATAAGTGGTTGAATGCGATTTGAAATGATATAAGGACGGCGGGTGTATGTGAGGACGGTGTATAAGGATTGGGTCAAGTGAAGTTCAGGACGAGGATGGCTGATCAAATATTTAGGAGGGAGGCGCATAAGAAAGAGAAGAAAATGAAAGTTACATGAAAAATTCAATTCGAATGGAAAAAAAAGGGTTTCCATTTAATAGCTTTTAATAATAATTTTTAATAGTCTTTAATCACTTTGTCATTATCAATAAATCTTTTGAATTTTCCTTATATTTATTACGATCAACATTTTATATATAATCAAATAATAAACATTTCAGTACAAATTAAATAAATTCATATTTATATATATTTTTTTTTACACGTTCGAAATGGCTGCCGCTAAAACGTCTCGCGCTCTAATGTCCCAATCCCAGGTACCCGTCAGGAACACTTTGTTTTATTCGCGCTACTTTTGTAAAATTACTTATTATAGTCTAACACAAGATAATATAAAATTGTGTACAATTATAAATATAAATTAAAATCGTATACAGCAAAATATATACATATTAATGTATATTAATGTATACATTTATACTTACTCTTCGTATAAAGCTCGACAAATTACTAGAATTATAATTAAAATCGTCTGCCTCTATCGTCAGCTGCGCGAAGAAGTCTAGGAAATTCTGCAAAAAGTTGACAACCCGATCGTTTTAAATGAATTGCTCGGAATAAGCTTCGTCGAAAAGATTTTGGATTTTTTTGTGACACGTCGCAGTAAAATTAAAAAACTTTTACTTAACTTCCGTGAAAGGAACGACTGCAGAAATTCGCACTGCCATATTATAAGATTGTCTATTCTAATTATTATAAAATACGAAAAAAAAACCGCTAAAAACTGTTCTGTTTATAGTGTATACTGTAAGTACCTAATGATACGCTATAAGAACCTGCAGTAGAGTAAAAAGCACTGTAAAATACAGAAACTTTATTTATATAATATAAATAAGTTTGATTGACTATAATAGGACAATAGTAATTTTAAAAAAGAGCCGATTCTAGGAACGGGTGTATTACTGTTGTTGACAGGAAGTTGAGAAGGTATAAAGTTGTTTAATTTGTATCAGTATGCAACGATAAACCATTGCAACGATTCTGAGCGAAGTTTCGAAGTTATGCGTGTTTTGAAATTCAATCGCTTTTACGATTTTGAATACAACTATAATTTTAAAACGATTATAAGATAAAAACTACTATATTACACTCATTATTCACCGAATTACAACAGCAAAAAAAATAAAATTGAAAATAAAGAAACATTTTCGTAAAGGTTGTGTTTTTCCAAATCAACTACTATCATTAATTCAATATAATTGAAAAATAATTTTTAATTAATCTGTAATAATATAAGATCTTGCATTTTAGACTTGCGTAATTAAACGATAATTATGATCAAAATATTATTTATAGAAATTTGTTTTAAATTATTGTACATTATACAAAATTATAATGTTTAGATTGATATTATAGGATAATAATAATAATGTGGATTACAGAGTATATTATTTGTTTCCAATCATCTAACAAGAGTTTTCTATTATTTTTTTCCCTTAATACAAATAGGTAGGTTACAGCTATAGTAATCATAAATATCATAAACGTTAACGGCAATCTTTGATCGTATTTTTTATCATAATCGTTTTGTGTTTATGTTACTTTATCGGGTCAAGTGTAATGTGGCGAATTATTTTCATATATTTCATCGATTGAAGTAGGTATATTGATAAAATAACTTGATATAAAATAATTTGATTAAAGAATTTAATGTTGACAAACGAACATTTTAATTTGTTTTTAACTATCACCCACCCCACCCGTTGAAAAATCCTAGATACGCCACTAAACACCAGTATATAAAATTAAATTTGTTTAGCATAAACCTAGACTATAAAGTTAATAAAATAAAGAAATAATATGAGAGTGGTCATCTCATAAAGTATAATATGTTTAGTGCGAAATATTAACACTTAAACTATGGAAACATAGTTAGACACTGATTAAGCTTAAACACTGGAATAAAGCAAATAAATCCTAATTAATTGTGCGTGAAAATGTAATTTTGCACTAAATACAGCGCTGCATTGAAGACTGAATAACAAACTGCTATTTCTTACCAAAAATAGCAGTTAATGTTATCTTTAAGAATAGCTGTATGCTAGATTGCAACGAGCTTCAATAACAGCTAATTACATTAGCAGCGATAGTGTCATAACAGATAACCATAACTAATACCTAGTTATGCTTTTATGACCTGAATTTATCAAATTTTTAATAGGTATTTCATGGGAAAATAATTATCTAATTATAATGAAAATGGTTTTAAACGACGCGTTACATATTTATTCAAATTATAAAAAAAACTCAAAATCACACCTTTTGTTTATAAGGCACAAGCGGTTTATCTGTTAATAGCTATTAAGAAGTTCATAGCAATTAGCAGTCAAGCAATAAAGTCTATTTTTGTAGTTTATTATATTAAAAACTTAGTTTATAGTTGTTACTGCTATATCACGAAAAATATGTAGAAATAAAATTAGCAGCTATTTTTGAAATTGATTAGCATCTTGCTATTGCTATTTAAAAATGCTATTAGTGTTTTATACGATTTATATCTTATATGTATAGAATGTAAGTATTGAGCAAAACTGAAGGCAATTTATTCAATTTTAGTAATTATTAGCCGTGACAAAATCACGAACAAATAACAGAAGAAAAACGGAGAAAAATTCCCTTTTCAATTATGTTAAAAATAATGTTAGAAAATATTATAGATAAATTATTGTAAAACATTTTCATATTCGCATGGGCGATTTTAAAAAAAGGCTTCACTGCAGGGTTGTTGCGCTATATATTATATACCAGTAGATTCGGAAACGTTAAAATCGAAATCGGCAGTTTTTTCCTGCGTAAAAGTCACAAAATAATCTTAACAATCGGTGAGTTACTGTTTTTTGATTTTCGTCGAATCACTTACGTAGAAGTTAAAAGTACCGCACAAATTATTATTTATTTTCTTACATTGCCGATACGCACGTTTGAAAATAATAAATATCTGTATGCCGTTCCACCAAAAACTCGTAAAAATAAACCTTGAAATTATATTATTATTTTAACAGTACCTATATAAAGTATTGTCGTGTCAATCGATGACCGTTCGGCGTAGTGTAGCGTGCGGACGAAAATATTTTATTACTCGCAAATCTATAGATAATACCTTAATAATAATAATAATAATAATAAAATTATTAGGGCTCGGACTTTGTACGGCGTTGAAAAATGACTAAAAGTGATTGCGTTATTGCTCTATAAAAACATCGCATTAAAATTACGTTAAAAACAAACTTAGAAAAACAAACAAAAATCCTAATAAAAATGTCCAATTCAATATAATTAATATCAATATTAAAAATTAAAAATTAAATAACTGTCTTTTTGCGTAAAATTACGCGTTGTTGAAAAATGAGCTAAAAAAACGTACGTCAAAAATAAAAAATAACCAGACTTCTGAAAAACAAAAAAAAAAAAAAATACGCGTAAAATTTCGTTGAAACAGAAAAAAATTGCAATTTACAAACAAAAATACCGTAAGAAAAATCTTAAAATGATCTCCCCGGTGCACCAGCTGGATGCGATTTGCTTTCAGAAAAAACGCTTCATTTGAAAATCCGAATAAGGTTTTAGGGTAGAAAAAAAAAACGCATATCGTAGAAGAAAAAAAACGCATATCGTAATAAAAAAAAAAAAAAAAGTTACAAAAACAATCTAAAGTCCGAACCCCCGAATAATATTACGAAAAAAAATTATTTTCTTCATTTTTAATACGTAAACAATGTCAGCCGTAGACGGAAAATTTAAAATGTGTACAGTAAAAAAAAATTATATTACCATTGTGCCACTGCCGCTGCTGCCGCTGCTGCTGCTGCTGCCGCTGCAGTCGGAGGGTTGATGCGACGGATATTTAACGCGAGATCCGCAAGCTGACCCTGTTGCAGAAGACGTCGCGCTCGGGCACGATCAACACGTTGACTGAGAAGTAATAATGATAATATTGTAGAGGTAGGTAGGTACACGACGTCCCCTATCAGTGGCGGCGAATGCGGCGGCGGCGGCGGCGACGGCGGCGGCGGCGCCTTGACAACGGATTTCGCATATGGTGTACACCCCCCTCGGGGTTATTATTATTATTATTATTATATATATATATATATATATATATATATATATATAAGGTTAGGATGCGCTTTCGGTTTTCGTCGGCTTTCCGCGGACCGTTCGCAGAGCGTGCGCAATATTTATGCCGGTGCGGTGACGGCGGCGGCGGTGGCGTAAGCGCGCGAAACACGCCACGGATAAATAAAAAAAAAATTAAAAAAAAAAAAACAAAACAACAAAACACGCCCCTTCCCGCGGACTGACGGGGGGGGGCACGAATAGGGAGGGGGGGAAAGTCTGAGGGTGGAAAGTATGGGGGGAGGGGGGTGGAGGCGGACGGCGGCGTAATATTATTACTGTTGTACGAGTATTAGGCGCGAGACCGTGGCGCCGACGTCAACCATCGCGGAACGGACGTATGTAAGGTTAGGTCCGGTCGCCGCCACAGTTGCAGTTACACGGTACGCTACTAATACGACAGTATTATTGTAAACTACCTGCGTATAGTGGCGTCGAATGTATATTATTATAATAATATAGGTGTATAATTAATGGGTACCTGCCCGACGCCGGGGGCGGAGTAGGAACCAAATTAAGGCCGGGAGATTAAAATTCGCCCGTCCTAAAATAATAATAAAATACGTACCTATACCAAACAAAATTATTTTCGCGGTTTGTTTCGAACCGGTAGCGCGGCGAGTACTTCAAGTAGTTTGAGCGGAAATAAATAAATTTTAACTCGAGCCACGGGCGCAGACGTGAGGGCTGAGGGGAGTTTTCACCACCTTCGAACAATTTATAAAGTGATCTCATCGTTTTGCATTTTAACGCGGGCCTAACTTGGGCAATATACACGGGGAAGAGGAGTGAAGTTTAATTTAATTTCAGTATAGGTACCTGAACACTTATAACCATTATAACTATTATAATTTGATCATCTAAAATCTGACGAATATTTTCATTGTTATTATTAATGTTTCGTGTATTCATAATGACCACTTAATGAGAGCAAAATAAGAAAAATATACAAAACAAGTACGTCACACGTCACAAGTACATATCACGCTCAAATCTAAAGATATACTAATACGACGTATTGGCTGACGAATAATTTACTATTTTCAACAGATAAAATACATTTGTCGTATTAATAATGACCGGTTACGATTAAAAAACACACATCAACCTAATATTACACTAATAGCTATACGGTATTTTTGAATACTATATCAATTTTTGGAATACAACCAGTACTTTACCTGACGAGATGCATGTCGTAAGTGGACATATTTTGATATGTTTCAATATGACAAACCCATTACGAACATGACTGCTCAACAGTTATATTATTTTACGACTTCCAAAAATATCGCTGTTACGGGATTCATAGTCAATTTACAACTTTACAACGGAACGTTCACTCCGAGGACTGGGAAGCGTGGTCGGTCCGGACGGATCCAGAGAGATAGACTGATATAAAGCCTAGTGTGAGAGAAAAAATGTGCACTCCAAGGAGAGGCAATTTAAAACACATTTATTATCGCATGTATTTTTATCCTCGAAATAAAACTCCATTCACCGGAACGCCAATACCGGTGACGATAAATATTTTTGAATAACAAAAATAATATTAGATAGATATTTCATTAGTTAATCAAAAGCGTATCATTGTTGTAGACTGTAGTAGTGCACTTATTATCACACCAAAAACACTTCGTTATAACTCCGTGTAAGAACAAGCCAAGTAAAAAAAAATTAAATTTAGTAATGGTTAAATCTTTAAAAGAGATCATGTAATATGGAAACTAAGTAAAATGTAATTTTACAATATTACAAATACCTATGACGGCAAATAAAGTTAAATACTTAGTTAATATATTATTTATAAATTATCAATTTATTTATGAAATTCACTATATTATGGTTACTTATTTATATTTATTGTAGTACTTACATATCCTGCCAAGTAGTTAAACAATATGCTAAGTATTAAATTTTACAATTGATCTAATTTGTTGTCATAGGTATTTGTAATATTATAAAATGGCATTTTACTTAGTTTCCATATTATATCACGTCATTTAAAGACTTAATCATTACTAAATTTAATTTTTTTTAACTTGGCTTGTTTTTACACGGAGTTGTAACATAATGTTTTTGATGTGATATCAGCTATTTTTTTTATAAAAAAAAGTCGTGATTATATTTGATTTTGTTAAACCTGAAGATGAATTTTGATCATTTTTTTTTATTTTTTCTTTATAAAACATTGTTATAGGTTATTATTTATTATATATAAATATAATAATAATAACAATAGTAATCCAGCTAGTATCGCTGGTCTCCTATTAAGGTATATTACGGATTGATGAAAATTAAAAATTTAAATACCTACTGGCACAGCCATTGTTGTAGGTGGGAAGTTGGGAAGGTAGGATATAGACGGTAATTTAATGTATATCTGTGAGCAACGATTAACCATGGCTAACGAAAAAATGATTCGGAGTGGAGTTTGGTTGATAGCGTTGGTTTTTCCAACGTTATTTATACCATATTATGGTAGAATAATTACATATGCATTAAACATTTTCTTTAATTATGTTTGTTTAATATTGTACCTATCTTCCCGTTCCAGGGATTTTTCCCGTTTATATAACATATACGTGTCTTGGCATAATATTTTGCTAAGTTTTTGAATAATACAAATAATTTAAAGATTATAAACAAATATTAGACCACCCGGTAACAATACGATCCAGGACGTCTGGAAAACTCGCATTTCTAGACCGGCCATTCCGTCCCCGCCCGATGCATAATATAATATACACGGAGATATTGGTGCAATACGTTTATTTTAATACAATATACATATATATGTATGTTTATTGTATACAGCAAAGTATATGTGTATAAACTTGTAAAGCGAAGAACGAGCGCACGTGACTATACACATACATGTGTACATAAGTTACGACGATAGCGGCTGTCAATTAATTTCCAAACGATCGCGTGCGGCGCTGTAAAACCGACGATGATATTTGCAACAACAACTGCCGATGGGTATAATAGGTATATTTAGGTGTACCCGCCGCCTTACATATACGCCGCTTTGAATGCGATCGCTTTTTCCGACTGTACAAACAAATTATCCCATCCATATATATATATATATATCTTTACCCCGATCCATACGACCATTTTTGGATTGCATATACCTAGCCCCCTAGCCACATTTATATAAATAGAAAGATAAAGAGAGAGAGAGAGAGTACTTGGAATTACAAATGATATCGAAACGTCTGGTGCACATAATATGACTGCGGGCACTCCAAATAAATCTACAGTGTAGGTTTCCTTTCTTCCTCGTCGTCTTCTTACAAGCTACTGCCTTTAAGACTTACGACCCTCGTAGTAAATTTGTCCGCCGTCCTACCCTATCTTCAAAGCCACTTCCCTTTCCGCGTTGTCTGCGCGGTTCTTCTATACAATCATATTTACCCGGAAGTCATTGGGAATTGGACATAGAGCTGTCATCTGCGGTGTATAATGTATAAGACACATTAATATACATTAATTGATAATATACGCTGTTTAAACCAGGAAACTGGAATACAGCCGCGTACTACTGCTGTGTTAAATTACACAAAAGAAATAATAGAAAATCTAAAAGCGAGTTGTTAGTCAGGGGATTATTCGATTTGATTCTTCGGTTTCAACAAAAAAAATTACAGAAAATCGGTTAAATGCCTATTTTTAGGGATCAAAATTTCCGAAAAATACCCAGGTTAATATTTAAAATTTCCAGAAAAAATTCCAAAATTTACTTTCAAAAATAGCTTTTTAGAAAAAACATTTATTTCCTCTTAGTAGGTTATATTTATATACTATAACCTTATTATTAATTATCATTTTGATAATTTTGACTATTGAGTATTTACTACGTAGTAATAGTAACTACTTAGGGGTTACTAATATAGTAGTATTTATATTTCATTCAAAAGTTTGAAAATGTTAAAACTATCAAATACTTACCTGTTATCAGTCACAATTCACCTAGAGGCCATAGTCACCTAGTTATAATTTATTTTCAATTTTACCCATTCCATAAATTGATGTGTTAAAATTAACATGCATAAATATTTGGGTGTGTACTATTTAATATGAATACAAGAGTAGAGTTTCTTAAGAATAGAATATTTTATGTTAACAAAAAAAATGTACAGCCTTAACATAAATACATCATAATGGGTAACGTTATTTTTAGAAAAAATATATTTATATACATATTAATTATTAATCATGTTTGATATTAATATAATCATACATTTACTCCGATTACCGATCGTACGCCGTATTGATAATAGTATAATACTGTTGGGGCGTTGAATACTGTTCGTTTACTAAATTGTACAAATTTCAAATTTGATAATAATTATATTTAATAATCAAACCTTGTACAGTGTACTTTATTGTACTTGATTTTTAAGCGTGCCTACCTACCTAAATAAAAATTTTAATTTTCCGAAAAATTTGGTTATTTTAATATTCTCTAATTTTCTCGAGTTTTTCTGGAAATGTTCCGGTATTTTGATTCATATTTATTTTGTTCACTCCATTTCATTACTACCGTTAAAGCCTACACTTACTTCAATACTCGTAATAAAGCTTAAGGGAATAAATAGTTAAAGTACAGTACAAATATCTTGGTCAAAATATTTCCGACAAAATATGTCAGGTTAGATTAGATTTGCTTCTCGTATTTATATCAACAGTATTTATTATCGCCTATGGTACATATGATAACACAAATAGAAAAGACAAATATAAGTTTTCTGTTCAAAGTTCAAGTCACTACGAATATTTTGAACTATATTATAAAAGCATTATTTTCGCAAATTTTTTCGTTTTTCTGACATTTGAATCACGGATTTCCGAATTATTATAAAAACCACTTGGAAAATCAAAAAATTACCTCCTTTTATTACTATGAAGATAAAATCTAAAGATTTACCATAGAGTACTAACCAAATAAAAATTACGTACAAAACTCACAAAATAAAAATACCTATAAATAGCTAAAAAAATCGCTAAAGTTTGTTGAAAATTTGATACCATCTATAAAAGGGAAATATAAGTTTTACATCCAAATTTCACATCCATAATGTCCATACTGATATTTTTAACTGAATATCAACAAAAAATTAAAATTTGTATGAAAAGCTCAAAAGTGGCTCAAATGTTTTGAAAATGCTACCATGTCTAGAAAAGATAAATATAAGTTTTTGTTCAAATTTCAAGTCTTTACGAATATTTTTTACTGAATTACAACTAATAACAAAATTAAAAATAATAAAAAAGGTTATTTTTGTAAAATGTCCGCTTTTCTTATGTTTTATACAAGGTTTTCCCAGATATTATGAAAACCGCTCGAAAAATCAAAAAATGACCTTCTCAAAGTTAATCTGGATATTTCCTATTAAAAATGATGCCACAAATAAATATCGGAGCAAGATTTCTAGTAGACATTTTTGTCACAGTTTAAATAAAAATAATAATAATACACATCATTGTAAAACCAATAAATTCTTCGCTACACTCAGAATCTAAAATATTATACAGGAATATAATATAATAATAGGTAATAATAAGCGCCTTTTCAACATTTCTATAATAATATGTTATGTAACGGCGAAAAAAAATCCTGATACTTGTAAGTCGATGTCACACTATCGATAAATCGTTGGAAAACCAAAATATAGTCAATTATAATATATAGGTATAGGTATTATATTATTAACACATCAGTACAAAAACTCCAAAAGTACCTACTTATAAAACCGCTAACCTAAAATAAAAAAAACTTGTATGTGGATACCGAAAACGATACGACTCTGACAACTCTAGTGACCGCTTATTTTCATCTTGACAAAACGAAGAGTTTCGAAAGTTGCACCGTAAAAATAAGAAAAATACAATGTATTGACATATTTCGCATGATGGGTGGGACACTGTGATAGGTGAGAAGTTTGGAAGATGTAGAGGAAATTGAACGTATATCTGTACGGAACTATTAAACATTTCTAACGAAAAACGTTTCTGAGTGGAATTCGGTTTATAGTGTTGCTTTGTCAACAGTATATATTATATGTATAAATATCATATTATGGTTAAATAATTACATATGCATTATACATTTTCTTTAATAATATTTATTTAATATTAGTACCTATTTTACCGTTTTTTCTACGCTTTTTTCTCGGTTTTTCCCGTGTCTTTCCTAGTTTTTCCAATTTATTTTGAAATCAGCTGGGAAAATCTAAAAATATCCTCTCTAAAATATCACTCTAATCAAATTTCCTTTCAGAAAAAGTGCTATAATCACAAATTGGAGCAAAATTTCTCCGCTCAGAATCTAAAACAATAAATTATTACAACACGAGAAAAAAACCATTGCAGAATAATACTCTAGCTCATACACTAGCCATATCACTCGGATCATTCGTTTTCGGTTTTAAATATACCGGTATTACATATTTTTCTGCTCCGGTTTTGATTGAATATAATACCGGTATCAGTTTTTTTCAATTTCAATTCAATGTCATTTTCGATAAATACCAATTTCAAACCCTAAAAATTATAACTATAACAAATAACAAATTTATTCGTATCATTATTGTCTTTTAGTATTTATTTTTTTTGGAGAGGGGATACAACTGGCCACGTCCATTCATTCTCAACCCCTCTGAAGCATAGCTCCACCAAACTGGTCATTACGTCGTCGACAGGTAATAGCAGATTAAGAACATGGAGGTTTTACACAAATATATAACACAGAATAAAGTCGATGCACCGTTGACTGGGACTACAAAAACTTTACAACTGATACTCCACAAACGTATAGAAATATGGAAAGATAAGTGTAAAACCGATGGATAAGGTCAATAGAGAACCACTCCTTTAGCAATTTGAAGTACGGACTTCAGAAGAGTTTAAACTACTAAAGGGTAGAAATAGTAAAAACAAAAAGGTACTTCGTGCGATGGAAATTAAAGACTGAAGAATGCAAATGTGAAGACGCATATACCAGACGATTTACATCTAATGGAAACGAGCGGTGCCGTAAGTGATTTTTATAATTTCACGGAGATTTTTATGATTTTTTCGTCTTTAGTGGGTTCGCTCGTTCCCTTGTCATTTTCGCCACTACTATCATCACTGTATATGTTCTTAAGTACTCCGTACACTAGAAACGCTATACTATTGACGGGAAATGTTCGTATGCATAGTAACACGAGTCCTCTGAAAATTATCGTCGCGCCGCCTTGCGCATACGTTTTCTTCACACAGTCCCACGTGCCTTTGTACAGCGGCTCTTTCGCAAAACTGTCCACTATGATTTTAGTTTTAATCACATCAATTAGCAACACCAAAATCCAACTGGTGATACCTAAATAATAAATAAGTAATTAATAGGTACTTCAACGGTTTTATCAACTAAACTATGTAAAATTTCTATTAATATTAAACAAATTTGTGTTGAATAATATACTAAAATCGGTTTCAAAATAAAAAAAAATTAAATGGAAAATTCTAGAATATAAAATGGTGTCAAACTTACCTACTAAACTTCCAGCTATGATTTTTATATACTTGAGCATCGGTTCGTTTTTTATTTCATTATGTTCCCATGATTTTTTCAACGCGCAATAGAAATAGTCACATAAGAGAAAATAAATGTCCATGCTTGTTACATCTGTGTAAAATAAAAATTTTAAAAACTTTTAACATATCATTTATTTTATTAACGTATACAAACCTCAATATCAATAAAGTCGATCCTCTATACAATGAACGTAAACCACCAATTTTGTATTGATTGATGATCAATTTCAACGGACTCATTATTTTCGGAGGCTCAGTTTTGATCGAGTTTTCGAGTTTCTGTTCGGGCTTCGATGATATATCTGAAATAATATTATATTCAACAGGAATAACGAAATATTAGTCATAAATCATAATATATGTTTTACGTACTGGATGCTTGTAATATTGTTTTGACGACTTCGATCGGTATGTTTACCGCAGTGGAAAAAAATCCACCTACGCAGCCAGCTATAAACGTATCGAATTGCCAATATGTTTTGTTAAAATTATTGTTTGCATCACAACAATATCTGACATCTATATCGTCGTAAACCATAAAATAATTTAAATTACAATTAAATGTATTTAAGTTCACGGAGGTCATATTGAACATTTACTTTAAATATTATTTCTTTATTATCTGATAATAATTAATTATAAAACAATTCAATAAAAACAACTGAATTTATGCAATTTTTAAATATTTTTTACAGTCAAATGAGTCGTATTTTATGGGTAGGATCGTTAAATTGACGCTTAAATAAAAAAAATCCCTGACAAATTTACATACAAATTCATGTGTCATACAAAAATTACGATTTTGGACATGATAAGCCAAAAATAGCGGTAATAATGATTATTTTTGGTAAAAATCGAGTGACCCCTTATTTCGTAGCAAATTTTGAGATAAATTCTCTGGAATGGTTTATTTTTATTTTGTATGGGTATTTTACAAATAAAGCGGGTAAAACCAAAGTTGTGATAAGAAAACAAAAATTCCAAAAAACCAATTCTTATAGCCACATATAAAGTCACAATCCGTAAAGTTGGCCAGTCTTTTCTGATACACCCTGTATAATACACATTGGCCAATTCTTTCAAGGCAGGAGTTTTTTTTACAGCGGAGCACCTAAATTTTAAAATGACTTTTTTTTGGATTTTTATATCTGGTCACCAAACGTATACTGCAGTTGATTTAATGAGGATCAGTCGGGTTCAAAATAGGTTCTTGAGCTTTGTCGGTTATACTTGGAAATCAATCACACTACCCATGATTATAGCCCTATTAACGACATTTTTAAACTTGATTCATTAGAGTAGAGGCGTAAAAGTTCTGACCTAAATTTTATCAGAGGCTTATTAGATGGTAACATTGATACACCGCGCCTATTGGAACGGCTGAAATTCCACATTCTACCAGGTCTCAGGGTCAATTGTATCTACCTACTATCCTGAATAACTTCTCCAAACATACCCCTTTAATACGCCTGATGCGGTTGTACAACGACTAAAGTTTTGTGCTGAGTTTCCCTATAATTTTAGATTTTTTTTTATACCTATTATATGTACACAATTTTTTTTAATTTATGTGATTTCTACATATTTATACTAAAAAACCTATAAGGTGTAAATAACATGCAAAATCTACATGTAATAATTAAATAAATACAAATTATTAACTATTTTAAATTTACCCATATATCTTAGATGTATTTTCACCGATATCGATTTTTGTGGTTATAATTTTTCATGAATACATTCGCAATCACTATCATAATCTATAAAGAATATTTTTTTCAACAAATTTATTTTATTAAAAAATAAAATAAAATGTTAATCTGTATGTTAAAACTATAAAATATTTATATCTAATTAAATTAAATAACAATTAATACGGTATAATTGACATCAACATAAAAAATATGGCAAAAAGTGTCCTGAAAAACCAAACTTGGTCTGTTCGACAAAAACAATTTTATTCACATAAAACCAAATAAAAACTACAAAAAACTCGTAAATATAAAATATCTGTAAATAGATCGAAAATCGATTTTTTAATATAAATATTTACTACTGTTAATATTTTTTTTCAAATGAAATTATTAAATACTGTTAACTTCTATCTTAAACGGGTAAACGGGTTTATGAAGCAACTATTAGGACATATAATAGGTATAAATCGTGTAAATCTAAAGACAATTTATTCCATTATTTGTCACTAACTGACAATAGATATCAGGGAAAATCATTATAATGTATACGATATTTTAATTTTTTTTTAAATTGTATAACTGATATATATTTTTGAATTTTACTAACAAACTGACTTAAACTATTGTTTTAAAATATATTTTAATATACATCTATTATAATTGTTTTTTTTTTTATTATTATTATTATTATTATTATTAGAATTAATACTCAACAAAGGTTCTCTTAACTTCTATACTATTAATTTCAAAGTAAACACTTGAAATAATGATAAAAAATTGTTAACTCTAAAAGAAAATTATTATCAATGTTCATAACCATGGTCGTCTTAAAATATGTAAAAATAATAATTTATTTCATTAACTGTTGTTGTGTCTTACACTGGGGTCATATAACTAATATATTAATACGTAAACTAATACGTTATGGCAACGTTGAAGAACATTGATTGAATTGCACACCGTATCTACGAAAAATTATATCACCATACATAATAATATTGGCAGTGTTGGGAAGAAACACTTTCCTCTCATACAAACGAAGCTTGAAACGCCTTCTTTTTCAAATATAGGAACATTAGAAACAAGGAACGGAAAATAGTTTCTATTATTATGTGGAACGTGAACGCAAATTTCCGTTTCTTCTATTAGGAAAAATAAAATAAAACGCACATTATTTTAATAATAATATTATTTAGAAATTGTTTGGTTTTGGTATAGTTATATTGGTATAGTTATAGTACAGTTACTAATTTAGTTACATATTATAACCGTATTAATAAACGGTATCTCGGTGATAATGGTTTAAAATGGTAACAAACAATATAACTTATTAAATATGACAAAACGTCGAATTTACAAATGTTAATTGATATTATTGATTGTCAGTGTAATTTTTTTTTTTTTTTTGCATAATTAATAAAATATTAGGCTTCGAATTTTGAGTAAATTGATGATGAATTTTTTTTTTCAAGTAATTTTTTTTCATTTTTCATTTTTTAGGGTAGGAACTAGGAAATTAATTTTATTTGATTTATTAGGATTTTAAACATGTAGATTCTAAGAAGTAAGAAGGGTTTTTAATTTTAATTATCGTACCTTCCTAATTTCCCAGCTACATTAGTAGCTGTACCCATCCGGTATAAAGAAAAATTGTTTTAGTGTTTAGTAAAATGTTGGGTTCCCGAGAACGAGTTAGACTTGGTAATTTCATTAATCCGATTCTGATGATGATTTTAATTTATTGTTTATTATTATAAAATAATTTAATTCGAACATGGCATTTTTATCATGTATTATTATTAAGAAAAAGGATCCTAGAAATTCAATTTTTAAATTAGTGCGACTATCAACTATTTATATGTTATAACTTTATAAGACAAAGTATGTAGGTAGGTACATAATATTGAAAAATCCTCGTTTCGCCTCATGACCCCGTACACTTAAATTATATACTACAGAGGGAGCTAAATTCTGTTTACTAAACTGTGTCCGATATAACACCTCACTCCCTATTACATTCAGTAGTACGCATGCGTCTCACGGCTACCGGCAAGCCGGACGTTTCTAATTGGTCAAATCCCCGTTTGCTCGTCCGCTACCGCTGACACTACTACTATAGCTACTACTACTACTACTACTGAAAGTATTAGATAACGCATGCGCACTAGCCAGTGTAACCCAACTTGCAATGCAGTGGACAGGAGGTGATGAAAGAAACGTCCAGAGGTCAATAGGCGGTCCATACTTCTATTAACAATATAACAAATAATCAAATTTCTTTTTATAAGTTCTTCGTTATTAAACACACGTACCTATCTATTAAACCTATAGTATAGGTACATTATATTAAATATATAGGTATCTCTATAGAAATTATTGTAAAATAAACAAGGTTTTCAATTACAAACAATACCTAGAAACAATAGGAAAATATTTTATTTTAAAATTAAATAGATAAGTAAGAAATTATGTTCAATTTAAAAGTTAATTGAAATAATAACTCTTGAATAAATTAAATTTTCCATGTCGATGACTACAATTATTATTAACTAATATTATGCTGCATATTATATACATTATTTACATATCAATAATTAAAAAAAAATGTTTCAAAATCTTTTCAATTTTTATAACTCTACAGGAGTGTTTCTGAATTCAGCTAAATTCCTAAGTTGTAAATTTATTTTTTTATTCTTTTGTTTGAATAATTATAGAGTACCTAATATTCAAAATAAAAAAATGATCAATATTGATATTATGCAACAGCATATACAAATTTTATAATGTACCTATAATAATTTGTTGTAAGTATATTATTGTGGCAATTCCTATTAAAAACATTTAGCTTATATCAAATGTCAAACTAATACCTTATGTCCTATATCGGTTGAAAATAAAAAAATTTAGACCTGAAATGAATAAGGTTATCATCCTTAAAAGGATAATGAAGTTTATTAAACTTTCCCTACATTTTTAGTCTAATTTTTAAACTAATAGGTAGTAATAAGTAAGTCATAAATAGTATAGGTATTTATATAAAAAAAATTACTAATCTACTTTACCATACTTTTCCAAATAATAGGGAAAACCAGGAAGATTTTATTTTATTTGTAAACTGAAATATTGACTATTTTAAACAGCTATAAATAAGTTATTAAAATAATTACAAAATAAAAACTATCAGTATTTTAAAAACTATAGAAAAGGTTGTTATAAATATTCGATGGGAATTATAGATCTCTCTAAAGAAAGATTACTTTCTAATACTCAGAAAAAAAATTAACTTCCCCAATGGATCAATTATACAAAGTTTCCTACTAGAAACCATTCTAATAGTTAATAATTTAATCAAGACTTTAGGCTAAAAAAAATCAATGTATTATTCACTACATGTAGAATCTAGAATTAATTAGATAATAGAAATAAATTACTTAGGTATATAATATTTATTAACATTTAAACTATTCAATAGTATTCATAGTTTTAAATATCTAATTAATAACTAGATACAATTTTTTTAAGTACATTGGTACTTATTGGTAAACAACTATACTTCTTCTAGTCTCAACTATAAAACACCAAAGTAAAAAAATGACTAGATACTTAAACATTTTACTAATTCAATTTTTAAAATTTTATGAAAAACAATAAACATTTTTAGCTAACAAAAACTTAAATTATAAATTAAAAATAAAAATGCAATAAAATAATGTATACCTATCATTTGCAACCATGTCAAAAGGTTTGTCCAACTATTAACATTTTATGAATTTCTAAAATAGCTTAATTGTTTGGTTAAAATAATTTACCCACCAAGATAATATTATACTTTAACTTTTCATTTTTTTATTATTGAATTCAATGTAAAATTAAATAAATTAGAATTATGTCTATCAATAAAAATTATTTAAATATAATTAATTATATGGTTTTATATTAATATGGTTTCATAAGATTATATAAAATAAAATAAAAATACAAATTCTGATATTATTAATAACGAAATTTAATCTAAATTTGCTTTTTTAAAATCTTAGAAAAGAATAGTATTAGTTAAAATATACCAAATACCAAATTATGTTTAAGTTCTTTAGGGTTCGTTATAAAAATAATAATGATTGTATTTAATAACAAATTAAAATCAAATTGACTTAATAATTACTAAACTCTAAATTCAGTTCAAAATAATAAATAAAAAAACCTTAGTTTTAAAAATGTATAAACATTAGATTTGAATTATAACCATATAATTTACAATAAGACATTCTTGAAGTCTGAGGTTGTTTTTATAAATTTTATTTCAGTACATTAAAATTAAGATTTTATATTATATAATAATTGTTAATATGAATAAGGAAACTGTCATGATTTTAATATGCAACCAATTATTATTTCTATTATTTATTTTAGATTTCAACTAATTAAAATAGAAAAAAAATGGTCAATATTCTTAAATTTAAGTTAGGTCTTGTAATAACACTTTAAGTGATAACTAGACTAGAAATCTTAAAAATGGTAATATACTATACAAATTACCTATACAAATTTCCTTATAAATATTATTTCTTTTCAAAAAATCATTATTTCATAGATAATTTAAAATAAAAAACTACAAGAATATGCTTATTATAATACAAAAAAGGCCAAATAAACAAAACAAAATTATTTAATTGAACTCCTAGATAATTAATATAATTTTAAATTTCATCCCTGAAGAAATTTAAGAATATGTTATTTTTTTAATCGCAGAACTGCAAGCACATACTGCACACAGATATGAAGTTCCAGCAAGATAGTTTCAGAGACAGTATTTCAACACACTCTTACATATTCTCTTTAAATATGATAAAAAATATTTAATTAAGTGAAATATTTTATTTTTATTTATATACAATATAAGGTAGATATTATTTTCCTAGTAGTTTTTTTATAACAATTTTGAAATATTTTAACATTTGTTTCACATAATAACAAATACTAGATATATTACTTCACTATACTAAAAAATAAATTCTGAAACATTATACAAATCAAATACCCTAGAGGCCTAAAATCAGAATGGAGACATCAAACCAGTATAGTACATTTTATATTGCATATTTGAGATTTTAAATGTATAATTTATTACATTTTTTTGTGTATGTTTTGTGCATTTTTAAGGTTCTTCTTTTCACTGCATAGTCCTAGTCGTTAAATATGAAATTTTATTGTTTATTAACAATCACAATATGATACTATGATTTTGATATTTGGGTTATTTACTTTTTAAAAGAAAAATATGCTTTAAATTATATTTTATTACTTTGTAAAATTAAAGTATTGTATCAAAAATTCTAAATTAAAATGTTCCATTAATTTCAACAGTTGACATTTTAACTTGCCTATAATTTGATTATTAATGATTTTTATCACACTCAAATATCTTAGGTACAATTTTTATTTTCTTATGGTCTGCAGCAGCTTGTAGGATTTGTTCTGAATTTTTAGTTTTTATCTGTAAAAATTAAACATAATATTACAACACGAAACCAATAGTACTTTATTATGTACAAATCAATATCAAATAATTAAAAAAGTAAAAAAAAAAAATTTAATTAAAATAAAAATAATTTATAATACACTGATATAATATATGGAATATAGAGAAATAAAGATATACAGAAAAATAACAAAAATAAAGCAAATTTATTATAAAATAATGTTTATACAGAGGTTTCGATTTTAAAAAACTAAAACCAGGTAATAGAATAACATAACTGAAAAATTTGAATATAAAACTAATATAAGAAATACATCGTAAAAAACTATTCGGAAACACAAGTAGGAAACCAATTCTATTTCAAATCATGGTCCAGGTAGCCATTTAGCCTTGTAAAACAGACTAAAAAGATTTTAAAATGGGATGAAATGACTGATTTGAGAATTTTTATTGTTTATTATACCTTACAAAATATTGATGCAGAACATAATTTTAAAACCTACTGTCTGTAAATTCAACTCCCTGTTGCCCGGGGAGCAGAATGGTGGCAACAGTAAGCCTATGAGGTAGGTATATAAGCATAGAAGGTGACTAATGGGCAAAAACAGGAGTGAGCGCTCCGTGTAAGAGCCTACCCAGAGCTCGGGTATGCCTCCCCAATCCGGGGAGACCGCAGCAGAAGGCTAAAACCTGACGATGCTCCAGGTCGAGCACCCCAACAGCGATGTTAAGGCTGGTACCATGGGAGGCGGGAGCCCTCGAGGACCTTGGGGTGGTGGCCCGTCACAGCGGCCGGTTTCCGGTCTCGGCCGGATTTCGACCGATGCGGAATGGTTTCGTGGTAGCTGTCACTGAAGTGACTATGTGGTTATGAGTCATGCTGACTCGAGCAAAGCTCTAGGTCGAACGGCCTCGCAAGCAGGCGCGGCTACAAACCGGGGTATTACTCTAGAACCTAATCAGTTTATCAGCGGGCTAACACCACACCGAAGGTTGTCCGTGACCAAAAACGGAAAGCAGTGAAGCAGACTGCGGCCATACCAACAGCGAGGACGGGTGGCGCTTGGCCCTAACCCATTGGTACGCGAGGCTCCATGTTCTCAGAGTCCTGCAGTGCTGGTAGTCCTTAGAACGACTCAAGCTCGCAGCTCCGGAAACTCTTGAACCTCCGCACCTCCTAAATAGCAACAGACTAACACAAGGTGTGTGGTTGAAGGTTGAGATAATCACCAAATAAAAATCGGATTCAACTGTCTATAAATTCAATATTTGTTTAAGCTAATTTCCTTAACCTCATAATACATATGCCATTTAATTGTAATACATTATACATTAAAAGAAAACTATTAGAAACACTAAAAATACATACAAAAAGCATATTTCTAAAATTAAATTAATGTATGCTTTTCTTAATTATTTATTAGCAAGGTATGTTTTAAAAAATACTCATACTGATGATTTTTATATAAATAATGAGTATTAATATTAAAAACTTTTTAAAATTATTAGTATTAGTGTTATTATTATTCACATCAAAATATTGTTTCATAATATATCTTTAAAATTGTAACTTTAAATTATATTTCTATTTTCAGTTTCAAAAAGAATATAAAAAATACAATAAAGGAAACATAACACAAGGCTCCAATAATTATCACAAGAAAAGAACTTAAAATTATTGAACAGAACAAAAGTGATTTTAGGTGACAGATCTTAATGTTATGGGCCATATATATTTTTTTATTCATTTATTTAATTTGTATATTTTCATATTTTATCAAGTATTTATCTAACCGATTGATTTTTTTATTTTATTTTATTACATAGGCTATTTTAATATTCAGGCTTGCATATACAAATATAATAAAATATTTACTTTTAATGTAAACTAGGTTGAGTTTTGATAGAACTGATAGCAAACTAATCCATAAACATGACAGTTCAATTTCCATTTGTTGCTAAATGATATGCTTGGACATAAAATGTGACTGCCTTATCCTGAAAAAATTTGATAAACTCAATCATAATTCAATATAACACAGGTAGATAATAAAAAAACCTCAAATATAAAAATTGTCTCAATAATTTAAAATTAATTTTTTTTTCACTTTCAAATTAAGATTACATTTTATTCAATTTTGCCAAAAATGTTATGTGGTACATAAACTATTTATGATATCACTTAGAAACATTATTTTTACATATATAAGAATAAAATAAGGCATTTAAACATATATATTTTATAAATCTGATTTTTTTCACTTGGTGACATTTTGTAAACAGAAATTGCATAATGGTTAGTTTGCTTAATGGCAATAAATCTTATTTGCAAATTTGCTAAATCACATTATAAATTAAACTAAATATTCATGAAATTGCAACAGATAAAAAATTATTATCATATAATCATAATCAACTATGGTAGATTTCATTAGTTGACTAACAACAATTTAGTTGTATCTAGTGCTTTCAGTATGTATAAAATATAAAATAACTTATATTAAGGATGTTGCAATCAAAATAATTACACCAAAATTTACACCAAAACATTTTTATGGTATATTTTCTAAGCTATTGTTCATTAAACTATTGATTTCGACCGATGCGGAATGGTTTCGTGGTAGCTGTCACTGAAGTGACTATGTGGTTATGAGTCATGCTGACTCGAGCAAAGCTCTAGGTCGAACAGCCTCGCAAGCAGGCGCGGCTACAAACCGGGGTATTACTCTGGAACCTAATCAGTTTATCGGCGAGCTAACACCACACCGAAGGTTGTCCGTGNCTATATTTATATACATATTATTATTATCAGTAAAAGTTATTTAATAAATTTAAACATTTTTATGGTATATTTTCTAAGCTATTGTTCATTAAACTATTCAATTTTTCTACAAATTATTAATATACAAAAGAGTTTGTGTTAAATTGATTAATTAAATAATTGTATAAATTATTTTAATGGTAATTTTTGGTTCATTCATTTTAAATACCTTATTAGGTTCTTTTTTCAATTCACAAAACTTATTGAATATGATTGAAAATTGTATAATTAAAAATGTTGCACTGTTTCATAAACAATAGTGACATTTGATCAACATACACAATTATAAATTCAAATTGAAATTAAAAAATTGTGCCAGTACATACCTGTTATTACGTTTAACTAATCGCTTCATCAATCCTAGACAATTATTATTGTAACTATTGCAATATTTTTAATTTCCCCAGTACAATCAGAATGCTATTTACTCATTGTAACAGGACCATTTGAACAGTTAGATCTAAATAAAATATAATTATTACCATATAGGAATAATTATAGATATTGATAAATAACGGTACCTACTTTTAATCAGGCGGTTTCAATTTTTTTTATTAACTTAGAATCTTCCAATGACAGCTAGTATTTTGTTGCGTGCCATCAAATTATGGACAAGTACTTCTTCTTATGAATGTCTAAAAGACTCAACTGTAATATCAAGTGTATGTTAGTTTCTTTTCACACAAAAATTAAATGTTCAAATAATTAATAATTACAGAGAACAGAGTGACTTGTAGATGAGTTTTGTTGGTTGTTGTGAAACCAAACACTGCAACCACCATAGTGGAGTGTTCTAAAAACTACTTGTTTCAAGTGGCCTCATAAATAATTGTAATGTTTCAATTTTGATTATCCCTTTTGTGTTGCTGCTATGTACATCCTGTTGATTGTCTTTATGTTTTAGGTGTTCCCAGGAAACATGTGTTATTTCTAAAAAATACAGACATACTGTATAACTGTCCCCTAGTAGTTATTTTACAAGTTAAATACAATATTATGATTAAGCTACACTATTGCTAAATTAAGGTAATTCAAAATTGTAAAATGCATCCATTTGGTACTTTGCAAATTTCATGGTAATTTAGTGAGTTTTAGTTTGTGATTTATTTCTTTGGAAAAAATGCCACCAGTGAGTCAAGTATATGACATGCAAATCAACTAAGAATTTGCTAATACTTAATCCTTAATTTTAAGTAATTTCAACTATGAAAATATTAAAGTTATTTAGTCACAATTTAGAAATTAAAGTTTTAACTAAAATGCGGAAAGACACAATTAGATGTCACAATAGTATAAATGACTATAATTTATTCTCTAGCTCAGGCATACAAGAATAATTATTTTAAAACCGTATTTAATTGTAGTTACAGTGAAATCTAGATAAGTCAAAATTCAAACAAAATGCAATTTTTTTCGACTTTTTAAAGTTTCCGAGAAAAATTTGACTTTGAATTTAAGTTTTTAAATTGTATGTTTGTATTAGTTTTAAATTAATATATAGTACATATGAACACATAATTACACTTTGTGTTGTTATTATTATTATTTTAAAATTGTAGAACTAAAAAGATTAGATGAAATCATGGGAGGCACAAGCCGAATGGACAAATGATTACACAAATTATTCGTCTATATTCGGAACACAAAATGTTCAAGTTATCTATAGCTTTTCGAGTAATCAATGTTTTTTTCAATGGAAGTACATTTATTTCGGTTTATAAAGGTGTTCAACTTGTCAAGTTCCACTGTATTACATTTTTTACAATTTCGTTTTGGTTTTTTAAACACATGGACACCTATTGACTACCTCAATTTCCTCCTCCTGCCCTAAATAATTATCATCAAAATTATACCTCGTGTCAATTTCATTATAGCTATAAATTGAAATGTGTTCAACCTGAGTAAGTTTAGCTTTTATATTGTTTCCTTAAATTATAATTGTTAATACAAAAATATATTTCAGAACTTGAATATTTTGGATGCAACTTTACATATAATCATAATAATAAAATTAAAAATAAATTTAGATGAAACTTTACGTTTTTTTAGTCAAAGTAAACTTAATCGTTTCATTTACTTCAAAGTTTGGAAATAAACGGATCATTCTTGTCAAATGGATCCCAGGACCTGGTTCCCCATTGACGAATAGAACCACCATCACTGCAATGCCCTCTGCCAACTTTAATCATTCATTATTAAGATACATCGTTATCAAACTACAATATTTTTAAAATTAATTAATAAAAGAAAATTGAATTGTTTATATGATACAAGATATATTACCCCATGGCTCGTCATTTGGGAACTTTCAGGAATGCTGATGGACAATCCGATCTTTATTATCTTATGGCTAAAACAAAATACGAAACATTTATATTTTAATAAGTAATAAAAAGGTATATATATAGAATGTTAAATAAGTTATTTTAAAGTTATTTCATACGAATGGATGACAAATTGAAAACTATAAATTCTTATCACAAATGATGCTTGTTTATTTTTTTTTACAATCATGATCGTAAAGATATTGATAAAAGATAGTGGTTGATAAACTTATGTGATAAAATAAAATAAAACATTTTTTTCTCTTCTCGTGCGAATTTTCAGTTTTCTGTGAGCAACAATACACCGTTACTAACGAATAAAAGATTCTGAGTGGAGTTCAGTTGATAGTGTTGCTTTGTGAACAATATATAATAATATTTGTTTAATATTATACCTAGGTAAATAGGTACCTACCTATTTTGCTGTTTTTCCGTCTTTTTTAAAAAAAATGTATTAAATTCAACACTGCTACCCATCATTGTTACTGTTGAACGTGTTTTTAGTATCGGTGATGCTGTTTTAGCAAAAAAGGGCAAAAATGAGTGATACGAATTTTGAATATGTATTAATGTTAAAATGTAATAACCATATTAAATTATTGAGTAATTTGTCAGTCATGCGATATTTTTAACAATTAAACATACAATAATAGTATTTGAGGTTTTATAAATTTGATTTTTTTTTTGAATTGTCTTTCTACCTTTTCCTTTCTAGAAATAAAATGCAAATATTCTAACAGATTTAATAATATGAATTTCAAAGATTTTAAAATAAATTGTATTATATTTATTTATAATTTTTTGTTATTTAGTTTAAGTATTGTGAAATAATTTAATATACCTTTTTTTGCACAACATAATATATTACATAAATATAATTACGTTAATTATCATCATGTGGTATCTAGTTTCCTATTATCTGAATTTAATTTCACATTTTACATTGTCAGTTAAACGAAGAAGCTTATGGTTTTACAAAGATGTTTTTTTTTCTGTAGACAACTTTCTACCAGAGATGTTACTCCGATTTTTTAGTATAGCACCATTTTTAAAAGAAAATCTGACTGGTGCGGTTCTATAAATAAGTAATTTTTTGATTTTCCAAAGAATTTTCTCAACAAATGTGAAAAACCTGGAAAAAACATTGGAAAAACGTTGAAAAACAGAAAAATTGAATCAATATTAAACAAATATTATTAAAGAAAATATATGTACCTATTTAATTATTTTACCATAATGTAATACATATTTTGCTGAAAAAGTATCACTATTAATTGAACTCCGCTCAAAATCGATTTTTCGTTAGCAATGGTTTAACGTTGCTTACAAATGTACATTAAATTCCCTTCTGTTTCCTACCTTCTCAACTTCCTGCCTACAACAGTGGCTGTACCCGTCTCCATTATCCTAGGACAGCTTTTTTATATATTATTTCTAAAGTATTCAGAATATTTTGGAAATACTATTGTTGTGAAACATTCGAATATATATTCTAAATATTTGTTAGATTTAGACCGTAGCGAGGGAGCTATTGGTATTACAATGCTGTTTATTATTTCTTCTTCTTCTTCTTTTTCATTGTTCTAGTCTGTGAACTCGTTTTTTCCTAGTAAATTTGCTCTGATTTTTACGTGTAGCAACTTTTCTGAAAACTCAAGTTGTCTAGATTATACTTTAAAGAAGTCGTTTTTAAACAAAAACTTCAGTGGGGAAAAAATGTAGGAAAACTTACAATTTCAAGATTTTATTATTTTATACAAATACGGACGACGTTTTCCATCAGAAAAAATGATTTGATCGAAAAATCATAAAATACCTTTCTTGTTACCTTTTTGATTTACTTTCTTACGGTATCATCGCCAAAACTTTTAAGCTTTTAAGGAATTTTAATTTTTAGGAGTTTTTTGATGTAATTTAATTATAAATACACGTAGAGGCTTTAAACTTGGTAATTATACTTAAATTGAACTTACCTAGACGTAGCAAAATTTTCAAAATCATCGGACGTTTTTTTTTTGTAATAGGCTTTTTAAAATCAAATTTAAACGAAAATCGTAAAAAAATGTACGGCACTTCAAATTATGTATTACCGAACTACGCTCGGAGTCGTCTTTCGTCAAGCAATGATTTATCACTACTTACAGATATAAATGATATATTATGTATGATATATCTTACTTTCTCAACTTCTCACCTACAACAGTGGCCGGACCTATCCCCAGGTATCAGCTCTTTTAGAATTATTAATATTTTTTGAACTTTTTCTGGCCCTTTATAAAATAATGTATAATATCATAGGTACATAATAATTTCCGTTGTGAACAGTGCTGGAGTTGATAGAAAAATGATGAAACATTCGCACACGAAACAAAACACGTTTTATATTGTGAAACTTATTTTCAAAATATTTTTACGTCAACGTTTCGGAAACACCAGTATGTGTTGTTTTAAATACACGCGTTTTTAACTAACAAATTTCCCCAATGTCACCGGCCTTAAATAACAAAACGATATAAGTACCTAACAATAAAGAAATTAAATATATTTGTCATAGATTTATTTCCATTTTATATATAAAGTTACGGACAATTTTCGTAATGAACATTCTAATACTCTATGTGTTAAAGAATAATTTACATAATTATAATTAATATTACTTATTAATAGATGTTCATACATATTATAGTAACCAAAGTAGATGGGTACACAACTTGCGTGAATTTAGCCGTTACACTATGTCAAAATAAGTTCCAATTCATGCAAGTTGATATTTTGGAAGTAATTCGCAAAAATGTGTAAGTTAATAACAAACGTCATCACTTTGGCACCGACAATAATACTAGCTCTCAGAGAACTTCCGTTCCGTTAGGTTAGTATTCGATTATTTGTTTATTTTTTTGTATGGTGGTATATATTCTATGGTTAGGTGGCTCACTCTTGTGGTCAGACAGATAACAAAAAACAAAACGGAATTCAACGTTATTGTGCGAACGTATCACCTATTTTGTGGTTTTTGAATGTAGATACATTTCGATCAATATAACAAATAGAGAACAGCCTCTATCCTATAAAATGGGATTGGACCAAACCAGATATTTATGACAAATTGTTTAACCGGATTAGACCAATTCCTAAAATATATTTTTCATTCCAGACCTATTTAAACCAAGTTTACACTTTTATTTTAATAGCCCGGATCAGCCCAGTTCAGATTAATATTTAAAAAAAAGGAACCAACCTAGACCAGGACCGTTTAGGCAACGCATAATCCATTGAAATTAAAGGAATTTCCAGTAGCGGTATCGTTGAAAAGTGAGTATTGGAATGGGAATAATATGTTTTTGGACGACGTTAGTGGTTATATGACGGCGACGGTAATAATATGATATTATTCTAAAAAATTAAAATTTCTATTATTTTTTTTACCCCCGATGATTTTATGTCACCTCTATACTGTGTTCATACTACCCCAGAGCGATATTTCACCCCGGTTGAGAACTACTGGTCTACACTTTATGGATATAAATTTAGAATATGCATGTTAAAAAAATTATACCAAAAAAGAGCTGATTCTGCTAACAAGTGTGTCATTATTAGAGATTAGAAGATGGGAAGATATAGAATAGTGTTATGAGCTGCCGTCGAACATTATGTTTCAAGTGAAATTACAGCAGATTCAAAAAAAATAGTAACCAATTTGTACAAGTTATTTATTTATTTATGATTAGGTGGCTCACTCGTGTGGTCAGACAGAGAACAACAAAAAACAAAACGGAATTCAACATTATTGTGCGACTGTATCACCTATTTCGTGGTTTTTGAATGTAGATACATTTCGATCAACATAACAAATAGGTACACACTAGAAAACAGCCCGCTCCTATAAAATGAGATCGGACCAGACCAAATATTTTTGACCAGAACACATTTCTGAAATAAAATTTAGAAAGACTGTCCCTAATTTAAATTTCGTTAAACATGTTTCAGAAAATAACTATTATATAAGTTTTGATATTAATCTATTCTACCAAAACACAATATCAGAAAAAAAATTCTGAAATACCCTAATATACAGTGTATTATCGAAAATATATTATCTATTTATAAATATATATTAATTAATTTGTCCTGACTGACTCAGCATCGTATAACTTAAACTACTGGACGGATCGAGCTGAAATTTGGCACAAAGATGGTTATTAAATTTTATTTGTTCATTTATAAGTTACCTTTGTGACATGGATGATATTTTGGTTGTCTTGGACAACACAAATATTATTATTATTATTTACACTATTATCTAGTAATGCCGGGTTAGCTAGTATATTTTCAATGATATAAATTAACATACATTAATCATAATTATTGTTCATGAACTCTTACCTCAATAATTCTTCTTAAAAATGTATGTCAAATTTATCTTTAGTTATAAGGAGCAGTTCAAAAGCAGGTCATAATTTACTGCTATATAACATTGAATTTGG